CCACTGTACCGCATTCTGGTTGCAATTGTTGCGCTGGAAGGCGTCGCACTTCCGCCCTTCCGGGGATTCCTGCGCGCCTGTGCCGCGTTTTCCAAAGCGCCCACACAAATGACGCCGCTCGGCTTGCAGCGCAGCTGCATCCGTTTTCCGGGGGGGGCGGTGGAAAGCGGGCACTGGTGGGGGCGTGGCCACGGCACAGACTGCTGCCAACAAAAACAGGCGACCAGGAAAGGTGAGAAGGTCATGTGCTGTACATAATATACCTATTGCCCCTTGGTATGTTATAGAGCGGCTCCACTGTTCCTGGAACGGGTTGCAACCCCCAAAAACGAGTGCAATCTCGGGGACTGGAAGACGAGCTGCAGACTGGAAAGGGCCAAGCGGGATACGGATACACATTAATGCGGAGGAGTAGCTGGCGTCCAGGTCCTGCAGCTCCTGGGCCCAGAATAGTGTTCCAGCAGGCGCCGAAGGCAGCGCTCGCTCCGCGGCTGATTTTTGGTCCAATTGGTTGGATAAAGCCGAAGCCAAAAGCACCAGGAATCAGCTTGCAATACCCCAACACGACTCAAAAAATAGTAGGTTTTCCAGATCCCCTTGTGCTGCAACGTAGTTTAACCCACCTCTTTTTCTTTTCCCTTATTTTTAGCAGGTGAAATTTTTGCAAATATCTTCAATTGACAACGACAGCAGCAACAAAAACAACAACAGGTGGGTTTTTTCACATACTGTGCAAATAAATATAAAAACAAAAGCGGCAAACACACAAGATGCTCTGCCAAAATGTTTACGAAAGTGAGATATTTATAATGAAAAAGCCTTCCTGCTATTTTTGGCATTTTCGCTTGGCTGGGGATCCACTTTTTGGCGCCCACACGAGCAGACAGATGGCCCACCCGCCCACACAGATACTAAATACAAATGCAAATGCCCAGTACACACACCAGTGCACTGTGCATCTGCAACAGTTTTCAATGCCATGTCATGAAAATAAATCACCCTGCGATAAATACAACAAATGCGCACAAATTATATACACCGAGCTGAAAACAAAAGTGATATAATGATCAGCACATTGTTGATAGATTTGAATCGGTAGACCCATTTGCGATGAGCAGAGCTCTCACAAGCGGGGAAAGAAATGAGATGAGACATAACTACATTCGAAAGCTGTTTATTTTAAAATATGATTTTACAGATAATTAGGAGGGAGATAAAAAATAAAAATGACATATGATACCAAAAATTGCATCACAAGTACAAACTTTTCTTTAAGAAACTTTGAAACTTTCAAATCACGTAATTAGTTTATCCCCAAATACTTTTTTTTGCCTTTTTAGGAAAGCTTACTATAAACAATATACAATAACAAAACCATCGTCGATTTGCAGTACCTAATCAAACTAGATCAATTCAGAATGGCCGAGTATAAGCCATCGACTTCGTGGCCGCACCGGATGATGAGCTTCCAGTGCCGGCAGGCGGATCTGAACCGCCTGGTGATGAACTACCTGGTGACAGGTGAGGTCCACCCAATCAGCTCTCTTCTGCACTAATATTAACTCCTGATTTAGAGGGCTATCAAGAGGCCGCCAAGCGGTTCATGACCGAGGCGTCCGTGGCACCGGGACCCCACATGAACACCATTGGGGACCGACTGAGGATCCAGGATGCGGTGAGAGTGGGTCAGGTCAAGTACGCCATGGACCTGGCCACGCGGATCTATCCGCGGCTCTTCGAGACCGACAACTATGTGTTTTTCCACATGCAACAGTTGCGACTGATCGAGATGATCAGGGATCAGAAGATGGAGAAGGCCCTAAAGTTCGCCCAAAGCAAGGCTGCGGGATTCTCGAAGGTCGACCCAAGACACTTCCACGAGGTGGAACGCACCATGGGACTCCTGGCCTTCGATCGCCCCGAATACAGTCCCTACGGGGAGTTGATGTACTATTCCTATCGTCAGAAGGTCGCTGGTGAAATTAACGCAGCCATGTTGCGCTGCCAGGAGATGGAGGACGGTAAGGACAAGGACGAGCCCATGGAGCCGAGGATGATGTTCCTCATCAAGCTGATCCTTTGGGCCCAGGCCAAGCTGGATCGCGAGGGCTGTACCGACTTCCACAAGATCGATCTCGGCCACGGCGATTTCGAGGAGGAGTTTCGCCGGAGCTTCCAGGGCTTCTAAGGCGATAAACAAACAATAATTGTCCAACGATCGGTCGGCGTCTACTGCGAGACTATATAAATGTATTTTTTTTTAGCAAATCTACACACATAAAAGTATTTTTTTTGAACCTACAAATATAAATGTCATTTTTTTTGAATGGATGTTGAATATTAAATATTTCCATATCTTGATGTAAGTTGCCACCTTGCTTTCGTGTTTTATTTGGGTTGTGGTTGGGAAACCGTTCAAAAATGTTCTTGATAAGGCCAGTTCCCTTGGTAATCTAAAGCGCATATTTTTGTGTCACGTGCCAGTCGAGCTATTTATAATGGTTTGTTTTTGTTTGTACCGATAAGAGAACGAGCACAACAAGTATGGCACTTTGGATTTGGAATTATTTTCAATTCATTTAAGGGAGAGTTTACAAAAGGTTTGGGAAATTAATATAAAAATTTATTTAAAATGCAAAAGTTGGGTATAGCATTTTCCTATACCATTTTAAATACCCCGAACATTCCCTGAAATATTTGAAAGATTCAGTCATTTCTGAAGTACTTGAGTATTTAAGGCATATAAAATCCATTTAAATAAAAACGTATGACTAACAAAAGACTTTGTAGGGTAATGTTGAATACTTTTTATATTCGTATAAATCAGTTACAATAAATACAGTTTGTATTAGGTACCAAATAGTATGTACAATTCTTCAAGGTTTTGATTCTTTCTGTATTATAACACTTGCTTAATTTTTTTCCAAATATATTTATTTTTAAGAGATGCCTCTTTACCTTTTTCCAGGTTTGTCATGTCTTTTTAAAAACACTTAGTCAGATAGTCAAAAACCCGCAAGTGTCATAAGGCCTTTGCATTTTATAGAATACTTTTAGCTGGAAAAATAAATTTTTGCACACGTTTCGAAACGACCTCTCATACTCCTGGGAGCTTTAAAAGTTATCGCCGTCCTACGTCATTGGCTTAAATATTGTGCCTTTGGCTGGGCGCCTAATCTAATCGGTGTGGCTAAACCTAACCCTGAACCCTGGGAGGACGGGGAAATAAACTGAGGGAGACAGACAACTGCACACATAATTCACCCTTTGTACCCCAGCGAAAATGCAATGCTTTGTATCAAGGGGCAGTAGCTTTTTGTTTGTGCCTTCAAATCGCTGGCAGATAAGGAAAATCAAATCGAAGGTTGGCGCCCGGTTGTTTGGAGCGAACTGGGCGATAAGACTGCTCCTATTGTGAGATAAAAACACACTTTCGCAACCGTTGAACTACTGCAACAAAGTATTAACCCTTTGGTAAAGGTGTATCAACTATATGTGTCGATTGCAACTGAACAAACACCATGCAAGATCGCCGCGGAAACGTGAGTTACGTGCCAAGTTTTCACTTGGCTTTCCCCGCTCTGTTTCCAGGTGCCTGGCTTTTGGCTTAGATATTCACCATATTCACTGGCATGCAAATGAGCAGCGGAACAGCCATTCCGATTCCGATTCCAGTCCGCTGTTGCCAAGTTGCCGTCGCAATTGTTATTCTGTGTTATTGCCGGTTAAGCGGGCGATAACACGGAATTACATACTAGACTATTAAGAGGCGTGCGTGACATTCAAGGGGGTAAAGTAGGGTGGGGAGGGGCAGGATTGGATGTGCTGAAAAGCTAGAGGCAAAGCTAAACACTAGTGCGTGCCGGGAAAATAATGCACATTAATGCGTGAATCGGGAGCAGGCCTTAAAAAAGCCATTAGGCTTTTAATTACCGCTTAGCTATTGACTTTCAGCAACAATTCGAGAACAAAAGCCATAAAGGAAAGTTTTCCGGTTTCGGAAAACCTGCTTGGTTGGAATTTCTTAATTTAATTAAAGGCTGATTTAGTAACCAGAAATAATGCGACTTGCTTGGTTTTGAATCCTAACTTGACAAAAATGTTTCCAGAATTTTACATTTTAACTATAGAGAGTGTATTGTTCGTTAAGTTGATCAAGAAACTTAATAAACAATGAATTAAATAGATAAATATGATTTTTGTTGAAGCTTTAAAAAAATAAATTGTTTGTTAATAAAATTAGACATTGCTGTATAGTGAAACTATTCAAAAACGCCTTTTTGAATCATTTATTTTGCGATCCACAAATTAGTTGGGGATACCTAGTTGGATTACAAAATATAAAATGTATTGAAAACTTATAGTGAAACTTTTCAAAAACACCTTTTTAAATCATTTATTTTTTCGATCCATAAATTAGTTAGGGATACCAAGTTGGATTACAAAATATAAAAAGTCTTTAACTTAGACAGACAAAAATTAGACAAGTGTCTCACAAACAACCGTAAAATAATGTGAAATTCAAATGGAAACTGATCAGTTAAGTAGCCTTCTATAGCTGAGATAAATAAGGGGTTGTGATCTTTTATAGAGGCCTGCCAATGGTCTTGACTGCCAAATGAAAAAGCAAATCCTGCTCCTGCACGATTGCAGACCATTAAGCAAATGACATGTTTGAGCGCCTATTGATTTCCATGAAAATGCGATTTTCCCCGCAGGAAGCTTAATGGCGGCCATTTTGAGTGGCTGAGTATTTTGGGGCGCGGCAAAAAGAAGACGAGAGGAAGAGGAGGAGAGAAAGGAAGAGAAAGAAGAATAAGAGCAATGGGAGGACAGGACATTATGACGTGTCCTCGACGTAGGCGCCACGCACACTAGCACGCCAAGCTTTCCGCCAGCCTGTGTGTGTGCGTGAGTTCGTATGTTTTTGCGGCGACAGCACGTGCACGTGCGCCTAAATGTATGTCACACCCACACGGAAGCGCAATTGCTTAACTTACCGCCGTTCCTTCCTCAAAGGCCGCCGCCTCGAAGGACTTTTTTTCGAAAGTTTCCAATAGATCGTGTAGGTCCTGCTGCGTTACGTTGACCATGTTGTTTAGCGTCAGGCTGGACATTTCTGCGGCGCTGCATTTACCGTTCGATTCCTTTTTATTCTCCCAATCACACGCACACACACCCGCTGCTACACTCGCAAAACGATGCCGAATTTGAACAGTAGTTCTCGTGACTTTTTCTCTTATTGTATTTTATCTGCTGCGTATTTGAGTCGCTTTTATCGCTTCTACGCCGTTTACACGTTTCGTTTTGCTTTTCGCGATTGTTTGCTTTGCTTTGCTTTTTACGCCCTAGAAGACGGCGACGTCATCAAAAATTCGCGGCCGCAAACGCAATACAATTTGTTGTTGTCCCTCCGCCACTCGATTCCTATTGTTGTTGCTGTCGCGCCCGTAGTTCCGTTTGTAACAACGTGTGCTTTTTAGTATCATTCGCAACGGAAGAGAGCCTCAAACGGCAAACAGCGATAATATAATCCGATTTTTTGCTCACAAATATATTTCGGTTCCGGAATTATTCGGAGTAGCGCGCTTGATAACCGTTTCGTTCGGATTTCGTACATAAATATTATTTTCGTACATATGTATTAGAGGTGTCAAAACATCGATGAAAACATCGATGCATCGATGTTTTTGAAATTTTCTTAATCATCGATGTTATTTTTCAACCATCGATGTTTCTGTGCCGTCACTATTAAGAAAAAAGTCAAAGGAAAGGTACGTAAGAAAGCAGATTTTTTTTCATTTTTTCTATTATAATATTAAAGTTCTTCTTCTGCTGTTTTTCAGTAATAGAACATTACCCGACTAATTAACAAAAATCCGTATTTAGAGGGCGATGAATCAAGAATTTTGGTGTAAAAATTATTGTGGGGACGCGCTTAGTTTAGCCAGGAGAAATTTTTAAAGTTTGCCTCTTTACCAAATCGACTCTTTTCAAATGATTCACATATAAGCATAAATGTATGTATATTTTGTGTATAAGTGAGGATACACTTACAGTTATTGGTGTTTATTTAAAACACACATGTTAAATGCAACTTAAATCATTTCAAATTACTAAAAACAAAACCAACAAAACTAAAAACAATAAGAAAAAAGCAATAACATTAACTTAAAATTAAGTGTGTGGTGTGTCTGTGTGCGTGCCCGCTGTTGGTTTTCGGCGATCACCAACGGTTTTTTAAGTGCAATTTGGTCAAACTTTAAAAATTTCTCCTGGCTAAAGTAAGCGCGTCCCCAACATAATTTTTACATCAAAATTCATGATTCATCGCCCTCTAAATATGGATTTTAGTAAATTAGTCGGGTCGTTCCGGCCCGACGATTTAAGAATTACCAAAATTTAATTTTAATTTTTTAAAACATCGATCTTTCATCGATGTTTTGGGTGAAAAACATCGAAAACATCGATGTCTCAATACATCGATGTTTTGACAACTAGTGCCCGTCTCTGAAATATTTTTGGTATTTTTGTACTAGTACTAGTTATATCGGATATTCCTGATGACTATCGATTGGTATTGAAGTCCCAACCCTTGGTGCAGAGCTCCGATAAGCGCTAGCTGGAACTTAAACCATTTAGGAAATTTTGAGATTAATCTTTAAAGTATACTTTAAGTTTGACGTGCGGACGAGAATACGTTCCATAAACGCTCTTCTCAGTTGTGGGACTTTTCTGACACCCCAATTTACCGATGATACATATAAAGGTTGGAGAAGGCTTTGCATGGTCAATTACCGCCAGTTATCGAGTCAATAGAATCGCACCAGTTGCTATATGGCATATTTATTTTCAAATTGATTATTAGAGTAATGGATAGTCTAGGCAATTGACTATAGTTCTAAAGATTCTTCTTACTTTTCTGAAAAATGCTTATTTTACTACTTTTGTGCTTCAATAGAAGGTATTTTCAAATTAAAAATGTTACTGGCTAGGCTCTTTTTATTTTTATGGTGTTGTGTCATACAACTTGTCGTTTTGATTACAAATAAAGTGTTGTCACTCTGATTTTCCCATTTTAAAAAGTTGACAAACAACTGATTAAGCAGAGTGAAATACTGATTCATCGCTCGAAACATAAGAGATTCGTCCAGTTAAAGAGTGGCGAGATTCCTTGTTTACAGCCTCAAATTGATCTAAGCTCCGTTCTGATCCTCACTTCCGGAAGTCGCACTTCGACATTCATTCGATCTCGTATTGTGCGCATTGATCGTGTTGTTTGGATAAATTCTAAAAAGAAATAAGTACAACATGAAAAGAAGGACTTTTTAAAATGTAAACTAAAATTATAGCTAAGTAAAGACTGAGACAAACCATGAATCATCGAGCTGTGTTTTAGTAGTAGTAAAATGAGGGTCTCCAACACCAAATTAACATCGAAGCAAATTTTTTTAGACATTTCGGATTTATTGGTCTAAATTTGAATTCCTAACCGAGATCTGTTCTTCGATGTCACGACCATCCTTATTTGCACCCTCAATGCTGAGGACCTGGTTGTTCTACGAAACCATAGAATACTTACATGTTCTTTAAGAGTTTTAGAGTGCTAGGCTTCAAAATGAACAGCACAAATATAATGATACCCTGGGACCAGTTTAAATAGTCAGCCACCTGAAACCTTTTAGCCCAAACCGTATTTTTTCGCACAGAATAGCTGATTATCTCGAAGATCCACGTCAAACCCATGAGAATGAAAAGCCGCAGATAAAGAGTGTAACTGAAATGGTATAAAATATCACAGAAGATATTTTAAAAATCCTTTTATATATCATCGGACTCACATCTGTTTGTCCGAGTTGACCTTATTCTTCCTGACATTCTTCTTTACTCCCATTATACTTAGAGCCGTCAGGATGAACATGGCTGTGTTGAACACAATCAGCAACACCATTGGTCCGTAGAAGTAGAGTAAGGCAACATTGTCTGCAGCTGTGGGTGAAGAGAGAAGATGCATAAATCCCCATTAAGGTAACTGCAAATGATATTGAAACCCACTATAGATCCAACATTGTGTGGTGGCGATGCGAGGAGCCCAATCCTTGTTCTCTATGACATTATCAGCCAGGAAGGTGGCACCGGTCAGAGCTAGAGCCAAGCCCCATGCGTATCTGTTGTAGGCCAGAAAACGGTGCTCCGGCACGAAACGCTCCATCCAGGGGGGGCTGGCAAGCGTTATCCAGAGATGAAAACTGATGACAGAAAGCCAAAGGAACGTAGCCATGACGAAAAAGTAGCCCAGAAATGCTACAGATGATATAACAAAAGGTGGTGTTACTATTTAACTGCTTCATGGCCGCGTAATCGCTATAAGCTAACCTGATGTGGTGCATATGGTCGAGGGTAGTTTAAACACGTGCCACAAGTTGAGGAGCAGGAGTAGGTAAACCATGAACAGGGCGACCATGTAGCACATAAAGCACTTTCCGTGCAAGTTCCGTAGCTTCTTCATGTAGAGGTACACGCTGATCGTAAGAACCATACATATCAATGATATTATCATCACTGTGGGAAGGAAAGGAGATGGATGTCAAAAACAGTCAACATAAAATAAAAATTACAACCTACCGACGGTCTGCCCGGTTTTGGAGGGTTCAGTATCAAGATGGCAAAAGTGGGGAGCAATGCGAATACTATCACCTTCAAATTCAATGTGTTGCACGCAGTATTGCGTCTTATTCAAGTACGTCTTGTCATAAGCCCGAAAAAATGTTCCGTTCTAGGGAAGATCAAAAGCGATTAAACTCGGCATTTGGTAGATATACCAGCAAAAGGAACCTCGAACAGTGTGAAGCCGTGGTCAGGCTTTGTGTGATCTGCGTGATGCATACTTTCGTCACCACAGGGCAAGGGCAGATCCGACTGGACGACTAGATCCTCTTTAAAGTGTCTTTTGGCCACCGTTCCGTTGTTGAGGGTCACGTTCACGTAGCGATTGTGGCTCTCCAGTTCGTCTGTTGACATTTCACCAACGCATTTGCTGCTCTTCATTTTGTGGTTGTGAGGGCAGCAAAATCTAATGCAGGGCCTTAGTTTGCAGGCACATCCTCTCATGTGCCTCGAACCGTATTTTTTTGTTCCATCGGGCAAAATCTCGAAGTCATATTCACCCACCAAATTGGCGGGAATCAGTAAGTTGTCATATAAGTACGAACCGTTCGGATACTTTTGACCACTTGAAATATCCACAGTGTCGTAAAAGTCGCAATTATTTATCTCGGCTCTTGTTGTTTTAATCGTCAACAGCAAAGTTACAGCGGCAAACAATCTCAAAATTGGCCGCATTTTCAAAAATTTTCTTTATTTTGCCGACACACTTATAAGCGTCTGCGAGGGTAAAATTCTATTGTACAGAATCCTACAGATACGCTAATTCTCAAAAGGCTTCCCGATCGACTGTACCTGCGCCTTAAAACCTTAAAAAATTTGATTTATTTGGAATACACACACAGAACTTTAATGGATCGCACCAAAAAAAACTTACAGAAATGAATACCGCTTTAACTATGAGGGTCTTACAAGGGTTCAGTCGTGACTGATGAACTTCACAGAATGTTTTAGAGTCCGCGATAATAATATTACTCACTACGCAATGAAAAAAGTAACGAAACGCACAAAAAACCAGGGACCTGCATACTCATTATTGGTGATTTTAATTTTAAATGAGCTACTAAGATATTTTGGTATTTCTTTTTTCAATTTGGATAATTTGTAGATACTTTGCCGGCAAGAGTAAATAGACTGATATTTTCTCTTCAAGTCGAGTAATTTATACAGCCCTCGTGGACAAGAGTAAAAATAGTGGCATTTTTTACATGTAAAAGTTAGAGTCACAGTACTCTTTTCAAAATGTTCAGTCATATTTTTGTTTGATAAGCTCTAAAAATATAAATTAAGCTGGGGTTGCATGATGGTTATGTGAAGGTTTTATGTGAACTATAAAATTTCATTCCACTCATACACTTTAAATGTTGCCCGAAATGTCATAATCATTTCAAAAACTTGAATCATCCACAGTGGAACAAAACGAAGAGCTTCCAAGTCCAAAGTGGAGTAATTGACTTGTAGTACCGCAGTTCATCGAAGCGATATTTGCGCTGCTCTTATATATAATACAAGATAATATAAGAAATCATTTACAGTCTTAATTTTAGATTGCAAGACCAATTTAAATAAACTCAAAATCAAATGGTATAAATATGAAACAATATATAATACTGCAAAACAAATAATGAATGCTAAGAAAATATATATATTAATCACAAAAAAATTCCAAACTGCCCATAAAAAGTTGGGCAAGGAAAAAAAATTCGTCATAAATCATTGCTTTTTTAATGTTGCAAATTTTTATTTATTTATTTTTATTTGAACCTGGGGGCTAGTAAAAAACATAACATTACAAAATGCTTTGCGAAAACATGTGATAACGCTTCATTAATTTTCACAAACAACACGATAAGAATAATCACAACAAAGGTTAAATAGTTTATTTTAATATTTAAAAAAGGACTAGTCACAAATTTTTCATAATTATGTCATTATTGTTATTTGATAATTATTCATACGAAAAATTCTTGTTAGTCTAGTTAGTCATGACAAAAATACGTTGCTTTTCCAAAGACAAATGTATTCCTTTATTTTTAAACTAAACGTTTAGTTCTTCGGTAAAATGTAAGGAAGTTAAAGTTTCGAGTGACTGGGCTAAGTCGAAAAGGTAGCCCTCTGATATACTATGTAAACTTACAGTTGTATGTTAGGTAAAATGGAGACGTTATATCTAGAAGCTCTAAATAAAGGTATATTCCTTATCGATTCACACCCTCTCTTCTGGTATTCGTACTATAACCTAGAACTCCTTAACTACTGGTACAGCACAAGGAAAGTAAACACAAAAAAAGTGAAAAGTTTGTAAGAAATTTATTTAAATTTAAAAAATGCGTACAGCTGGATATCACTGGTCGTGATCAGTCAAGAAAAACGTATTATCTGTTAGAAACAAAATCAATTAAAAAAATTTTGTTATTAAAAGAAGTACATTAAAAATTTGTTTCTTATTTGTAATTTACACGTAATCTCCCGTGTAAAATTTGAGGTAATTAAGGTTCCGAGTGGCTGCGAGTGCTGCTCCATCCTTATAGCTTCGAAAATCTTCCAGTTGTAGGCTAGGTAGAAATGAGACTTTCTACCAATAAATACTCAAGTACAGACCCTCACTTGCAGAAGGCGCACTTCAACTTTCTCTGGATCTCGTATTGATGGCACTCCAGGTGTATTTTGGTTGTCCCCTAGGATGGAAAAGGCGTTATAAGTGTGACATAAAGTGAGGATCTAATAAACCCACACATAATGCAAAATTAAGGTTATTTAACGACTGAGGCAAACACCATGCTAAGCGAAATGTTAAACGCAAGAAATACACGTGAGTCAAGGCATATATGGGGCAAGCCCGTTGGATTAGCATAATTCGATTTTCGATCTGACATTCAAGATCGAGGGGCAGCTTATTAGTGGTAGTAAAAAGAGGGTATCCAGCACCAACATAACACAGAAAAACAATTTTCTTTGGATTACCTATTACAGGATACTTGGGTCAAATTTCGTATTATCAAGCGAGATCTCTTCTTCGCTGTCACGTTCTTCCTCTTTCTTTCCCTTAATGCTGCTCATTCAGAGATAATGTGGTACCTGGTTATTCGATCTATTTTCAGAACCACAGATTACTTACCGATCCCTTAAGAGTTTTAGAGTGGTAGGCTTCAAAATAAACAGCACGAATATGATGGTGCCCTGGGACCAGTTTAAGTAGTCTGCCACCACCAAAACCTTAGGCCAGAAAGAGTCACGTCTCACAAGGAAGGACACAATCTCCAAGCTCCACGACAAACCCATGATGATGAAGAGACGCAGGAAGAAGGTGTAACTGTTGTGGGATCATGAGAGGTACTTGAAACGTTAAGATATGAGTGCCATGTTAGAGTTACGTTCGTTTGTCCGAGTTGAGCTTGTTGCTTCTTCTTTGCTGTTGGGAAAAGTTCTGGACTTCCTTCTTCACTTTTACTATGCGAATAGCAGTCAGGATGAACATGGTTATGTTGAAAACAATCAGCAACAACATCGGCCCATAGAAGTACAGCAAGACAACGTTGTCCCCAGCTGAGGATGAAAAAGGAAGTTGCAAGAAGTTCCTACCACCACATTTCAAACGGATATCAGAACCCACTGTAGATCCAACACTGAGTGATGCCCATTCGAGGTGCCCAGTCCCTATCCTCTATAACTTTATCAGCCAGGAAGGTGACTCCGGTCATAGCCAGTGCCATGCCCCAAGCGTAACTGTTGTAGGCCAGAAATCGATGTTCAGGCAGGAAGCGGTTAAGTGAATGGGCAGTGCCGCTAAACGTGTTCCAGAGATGCAGACTGATGACAGAAAGCCAAAAGAACGCGGCCATGACGAAAAAGTAGCCCATAAATCCTACAGGTGATGCAACAAAAGGTGGTGTTACTATTTATCTGCTTCAAGGCCCCATAGCCGCTATAAGCTAACCTGATGTGGTGCATATGGTCGAGGGTAGTTTAAATACGTGCCACAAGTCGAGGAGCAGGAGTAGGTAAACCATGAACAGGGCGACCATGTAGCACATAAAGCACTTTCCGTGCAAGTTCTGCAGCTTCTTCACGTAGAGGTACACGCTGATCGTAAGAACCATACATATCAATGATATTATCATCACTGTGGGAAGGAAAGGCGGTGGCTGTCAAAAAGAGTCAACATAAAAATTACAACTTACCGACGCTCTGCCCGGTTTTGGAGGGTTCAGTATCAAGATGGCAAAAGTGGGGAGCTATGCGAATACTATCACCCTGAAATTCAATGTGCTGCACGCAGTATTGCGTCTTATCCAAGTACGCCGCGTCCCAGGCCCGGAAAAAGGTTCCATTCTAGGGAAGATTAATAGCGATTAAGCTCGGCATTTGGCAGATATACCAGCAAAAGGAACCTCGAACAGTGTGAAGGCGTGTCCAGGCTTTGTGTGATCTGCGTGATGCATACTTTCGTCACCACAGGGCAAGGGCAGATCCGACTGGACGACTAGATCCTCCTTAAAGTGTCTTTTGGCCACCGTTCCGTTGTTGAGGGTCACGTTCACGTAGCGATTGTGGCTCTCCAGTTCGTCTGTTGACATTTCACCAACGCATTTGCTGCTCTTCATTTTGTGGTTGTGAGGGCAGCAAAATCTAATGCAGGGCCTTAGTTTGCAGGCACATCCTCTCATGTGCCTCGAACCGTATTTTTTTGTTCCATCGGGCAAAATCTCGAAGTCATATTCACCCACCAAATTGGCGGGAATCAGTAAGCTGTCATATAGATACGATCCGTTAGAAAACTTTTTACCATCTGTAATATCTACAGTATCATAGAAATCGCAATCGGGAATATCAGCTGTTTTTGATTTTTGAACCAACGTCAGTAGAACGGTGGCAAGCAATCCTATGAGTAACCGCATTTTCTGTAAAAGAAAAACTAGAGATGTTAAGTAATTCTTGATCAAATGCTGATTAGAGGGGGTATTAGAAAATACCTCATTGTTGTTGTCGTATACAACGTTTTATAGCCATTAAGTTGGTTGATCAACAAATAACGTTAAATAAAAAATAATAACTAAAAAAAATTGTTATGTTGAATTAATTAAAGAGTATAAGGCTATTTATATTGTTAAGGAGTGCTGGGCAAAACTTTTAATCTGCGTTTACGATCTTTTTACGAACAGATACATATGTACATACATACATATGTCTGTATAAAATTCAGCGTATATAAAGTTCAATTGGGGAAAACATTTTTAATTAAAACACGAATTCTATGAGATGTTTTCATTTCAATTCGCAGAACTGTCTAAATTAGAATTCTCGGTATTGTGTATAATGAAATTTCCAAGAACTGGCCAGCCGCTTTATTTTTATAGAATTGCCAAGGGTATACAACTTTTCAAGGTCAACTGACATCTGTTTCACGCAAGAACTATTTTTATATATTTTTTATTTTCTTATCAAAAAGTTTAAAAAACCAAAATTATTTAACGAAACCAAATCGTGTACATACTATATATTTCATTTTATTAGCTTAAAGGGAGACTAAAAGTCATAAGTTTATTTGTCAATTTTACAATTGTTATTACTGCAAAAAATGTTAAATTAATTATTTTAGACAAAATTGAGCATCATATAATAACAACAGTTCTCATAAAAATAATCATATATAAAAAAAAAATACTATAAAACATAAAAAATATATAAGATGAAACTTTAAAAACCTTACAACTACAAAAAACTGACTTATAATAAAAAAATCATAAAAAAATACATCTGACATTCTTTTTTGTTTTTTAAGTCTTTTATCTTTAACATTTTGGCGAAAAGTTGAACTTAAACAAAAAAGTTAAATTCAAGATAAGATAGGACAGCCAAAGTAACCGGCAATACCGAGCAAGAGGAGCATTGCATTTGTATACCGCAAGAAGCCATCTTTATCGGCGATGACACAAAAATCTTTTCCAAAGAAATCGCCCCTGTTGATCTTAGCTAGAATAACATCTACTCTTGAAGGGTATACAACTGTTTGTTTTACCAGACGCACGCAGAAAAACAAGGAAGAACGCTATAGTCGAGTGCCTTGACTATCAGATATCCGTTACTCAGCTAAAGGGGCCAAAGGGAGATGGAGGTATGCACGGATTGTGGGCGTGGCAAACTTTTTTGTTTAATCGATAGGTATTGACGAGACTAAAAAAACATCTTGAAAAAAAAAAATTGTTTTCTAGCATGAAAATTTGGGCGTTACGGGTTCGGGCGGTTTGTGGGCATTAAAGTGCGCAAGAAGCTCACGACTCTACACACCAAATCGCAAATTTATAGCTCTTGTAGTTACCGAGATCACAGCGTTCATACGGACGGACGGGCGGACGGACATGGCTAGATGGACTCGGCTAGTGATCCTGATCAAGACTATATACACTTTATGGGGTCGGAAACGCTTCCTTCTACCGGTTACATACATTCTGACGAGCTAGTGTACCCTTTTACTCACAGTAGTAGCAGGTATAACAAGATTGTTGTCACGTACACATGCATATATACACAAACAATCTGAATGTGCTTATGGAGATCAACCGGCATCAGAAGCAAATTCAAATGCTCTCTTCAAACACACGACGCTATTGTTGTGTCTTTTGGAAACAAATTAAATGGGCGTAACCAGCTTAAAAGCCTAGTTATAAGACTGTTTCAAATTTAATACTGATGTACTTTTTATAGAAAACGAAACCACTCACATGCCAGGGTAGACACGAACTCGATCGAGCTTGTTTTGCGACTGATTCACAAAAATTAAGATTGTGACTTTCACTGCCAAAATTTTCAGCGCAGTCCACAGAGAACGCTACAGCTGAGTGCCTATCAGATAGTGATCGCTACAGAACGCTAAAATTCGCAAAAGCTACAAGCTCACACGCGTAGCCGAAAATGCATTAGTATTGAACATCATACGTTCTTTTTGCATTAATTTTTTGTTGCACTTTTTTCGGCAGTCTTATAGTTGAATTTCATCCGCAACCGCTTGCTAATCGCAAGTTAGGGAGAGTAATAAGTACACAAATTTTTGTAATATTTGAAAAACATTTTAAAAAAAGGAATATTTCTACGCACTTGGAGTTGGCAAATGTATCATCAGCATAAGAAGCCAAGACGGTAAACAGATTCCGAATCCTCGTCGTTTGCTTTCTATCTTTTCGCGGCTTTAAAAATTGTAAAAACTTGTTTGACGAAAATTCCTTTACTTGGTCACTTTCCAAGAACATTTAAAGAACGCTCTCTCTCTCTGGCTTTTGAGCAAAATTTCAAGAGCCTGGAGCCAGTTCGAGAGCCAGCCGTATGACGTTACTCACCTTAATATTAATACTATAGTATATGACTGCAAAGCACGTGGTCTTATATTTAAATTTTGGATTCCCAAGTAACGTGATTTAAAAAAAAAAAAACACTTTTTAAATAGGTTTTATTGAAATACTTTTGTTATTTCATTTTTCAAAGCTATCATGCGCATTCTGCACTACTAGTACTGTTATTTTGGAGTCTGGGACTAATAGAACCTCATTAGTTTTTGTGCGCACTCTCAGCATGACCAGTTCATCTGTGGGATCAATTTTGCTCATCCCACGTTCCAATCTTCCTCGAATGGCCTGGAATTGTCCTGAAAACTGCACAGCCTCGGCTTGCTCCATTGTACTCAAAACCGGATGTCCCGAATCGTTGAGAATCACTACATCTCGAACATTTTTCTTTGATTTGACTTGATCAAATGCTTTTTCCACATAGCGCCGGGTTCGAGGTGGCTTTTAGGGAAAGAGTTGTGAATCAATAGTGTAAGGGGAGATTTGACTTGTTTTACCCTTTTTGGAGTGTCTAAAAACATTTTTGGATTCGTTTATTTGCCTTGGTTTTGGCAAAACTATTCCATATTAAAATATATATTTGTTCGTTGAACCAGTTATATTGTTTTCTTGGTCTCCAAGGTGCGTGTTCGAAGAAAGTGTTGCTATATGGGTCAATATGTCATTTTGACGAAAACCGTTGTTACTTCGATAATGGCTTGTTTCGAGTGTTCGAGTTTCGAACTTAGTCTATCGCAATATCTTACTCAGGTCTGGCAGCACAGATTCTTTTCTTGTGGCAATGCTGATGAAGAAATTTTAACTTTAAATCTAGTATTTTTTAAATAGCTGGCATTCCTATCGATAGTTCTCTGTTAACCTCTGTTAAACTTACACCAGACCAAGTGCCACCACTGGCAGTCCGTCTCTAATATTGAACAAACAAAATTAACTTAATTTTTCATAAAACTGAAAATTACGGTGTTTTTTGCCGTGATTTAATCAAAATTATAAGAGAAAATGGTAGGTAGGAATGTACAGACATCAAGGCGTTTCACTGATTTTATCGGTTACAGTCGCAAGAGGTTGAGGAAACACTTAAGAGGATCCAGAGCCACAAAGGTGTTGTGGGAACCATTGTGGTCAACAATGAAGGTGGGAGTTGAGCCATGATATACAGCGTATCCCTTGCTGGTTTCTATAATACCCGACCTTTTAATTAGGCATTCCGGTCAAGTCCACGCTCGACAACACGACGACCGTTCAGTACGCTGGCCTAATGAGTCAGCTGGCGGACAAAGCTCGAAGTGTGGTGAGGGACCTGGATCCTTCGAACGACATGACATTCCTGCGGGTGCGATCGAAGAAGCACGAGATCATGGTGGCGCCGGACAAGGACTTCATCCTGATCGTCATCCAGAACCCAACCGACTAAGTACTTGGTGCGGCGCATTGCTGAAGTTGTCTACTGCACATTTATACACATATTTAAATTGGCTGCGAGCGAAAAGAGAGTTAAATTATAATGTAATGAAATTGTACTTGATTCGAGTAAAATTATTTATGCATAAAATGACGTCAGGTCAACAGATCTCGGGAGCACTGTTAAAATTGAGGTGGCTTGAACGTTACTCATTAGGAATTATCTGAGGGCGGGAATTGGAAAAGGGCTCATATTTGGGTAAGCCTTAAAAACGTTCAATTTAATTTGTTTAATATTAATTAAGGTATAATTATTTTATATCCAGTAAAAACTATCGGTACATAAGCAACTGTTATGTTGGCGTATGTCTCCACTAAGTGGCTTTTGTTTCAGAACAAGACCATCGAATTCATCAACCCGACCCCTTGCGGCGGAGCCGGAAAAAAAATACCGAAAAACGTAAACGTTTTACGTTTTTTTGTTCTCGATGTTACCGATGCTTTGAAAACATCGATGCCTTGATATCGATGCTTGACCGTGTTGGTGAAAAAACCCGTGAGGTTTTGCGTCATTTAACGTAAGCCAACGTAAGTGTCAGTAAAAAGGGAGACAGCCTCAGCGTAAGTCAGTAAAAAAGCGAGATGCAAGATGAGAATGAAGTGACGAGAAGAGAGAGAAGAGAGAGCGCATATTTACCGTGTTGGAAAGTGCCGTCGGAAGTGAGTACCCTCAACATCGATAGTGCCGCCGAGTGGCTCCATCGATAGTACCAAACATCGATTTAACGTAAGCCAACGTAAGTGTCAGTAAAAAAGGGAGACAGCCTCAGCGTAAGTGTCAGTAAAAAAGCGAGATGCAAGATGAGAATGGAAGAAGAGAAGAGAGGGAAGAGAGAGCGTGTTGGAAATTGACGGAAATTGACGGCGCTTCACAGCACTGACCCGAGCCCCAAACTTTTGCAACACTCGAAACAGAAAACAGAAGAAGCAGAAAACAACGGCCGTGGAACTCGCATTGGTTGCTGAAAAAACCCGTGAGGTTTTGCGTTTTTAAAGAAAAACCCTCAACGCCCGTGGAATAGTCAATAAATTGATTGGAAGCCCAATCAGCCTCGTTTCGAACCAGTGTACGCGAGTGCAGCGAGCCAAGCGATCCCCCGATCGATCGAATCGAATCGAAAAAAGGTAATTCGAAAGATGGGCGTGCAGCGAAAAGCTAACGAGTAAAGAAAATGGCGTAATCACGCACTTCGGAGCCCCAAACGCAACGCAAACGGAATCGAAATCCACGAAACCCCAATCGGCTAGTCAGCAATACTTGGCGAAAAATCGAGCCACAAAAAAGTGAAAAAAAGTTAAATAGAAAAAACTGAGTGCTGCAGCCATATTTGTTCCGTGAAAACGAAAACGATACACACAAACACACACTCGAGTGTATATACAAAGTCGTCGGTGCATATATATCATACATATCTGTCTATACATATGTGCTGAGAATTAACTGAGTAAAAAGAAGCAGTTCGTATCGGATCGTCATCGCACCGTTGTTCGCAATTTCATTTCATTTCCAACGCGATTCTCGTTCAACGTACGTTGGTACATAGCCTGCCCGTACATACATACGTACATACGTACTTATGTATGTACACATGTACTTTCAATATCGACGATGGCATCACAAAAACACGACGCGCACACAGACACGCACGCACGTACCGTACATACGTGCGGGCACAGAGACAGGGTCTGTACGTATGTATGTATGTATGTACGTGGGACTGGTTGTTGTTGTATATAACGGAGAGTTGAACACATAAGGGCTGGCTGGCTCAATATAGAAGCAAAAGCATGTGGCTGCGCTGCCAGCGTCGCTGCCTGCAGCGCGTAAGGGATTTTATTACGTCGGACGTTTCGGTCGTCGGTCGCTGGGTTCGTTTTATATTTTTGGATATTTTACACATGTCCATATGCCCGTCGATTCCCCTGCATCCGCTCCCACATGCATCTCGCTGTTCGCCGTCGCTCTCTTTTCGCGTGCGTGCGTGTGTGTGGCTCCTTGAATGCAACGTAACGGTAAACTGGCGACTGCAACGCCAACGGCGAGTGGGAGGGGGACGGCACTAGACCCCCCCGCAACGCAGGGCTCCACACTCGCGTCCATAAAACCAGTGCTCATAGCCTCCAAAGTGGCCTCGCCAAACAGGACTCAAATGTTCCAATGAAAACAAGTGAAAATCGCAAGAAATAACCCGAGTGAATCACTTTAACAACAAAGTTTCAACGTCACGAGCATAAAGCAGTGCACAGAAAGAAAAATCGATATAATATGATCAGTTTTAACGAGACTCACTGTGCTACGGAAGAGACATAGTTTTTGAAGCATTGGTCCTAGGAAGTTATTGAACTTTGTTGTGCTTTTATTTTCGGCAGTATTCAAGTGGCAATGGCAAACGAATGCGTTAAATTCAAGCAGAACAACAAAGCAAATGAATTCCCAACGGCTTCTAGCATAGATAAATTCAACCAATTTTATTCAAAATAATTATTTCTCTGTGTGTACATAAACATTTCCCTGAACATGACTCAATTTCCTAAAATCTTATTAGTCAGCAAAAAGATCCCGGACGGAGTTCAGAGACTTATCAAGGGCATTTGATTAGATTGTACGAAAAATCAGAAACTTTTAGGCCTGCCAACATTCCAAGGGCTTTGAAACGCTGGCGACCAGCATCGCTTTAAGCTTGCAGAGCTGAAGCTACAGTTTCCCCTCCAAGTACAACCAGTTTTCTTGGCTTTGTTTTTGTATTTTTTGGCCGAACGCAAGGCCAAAGTTCACACAACACTAAACAAAGGTTCTCGAACTATTCGGCTGTGTGTATATGCTTCTATATCTTATCACATGGGTTGCGAATTCGCAGAGCAGCAGCACTGAACCATCAATCGGAGCTCGGCGCTTATTATCTCTGCAACTTTCAAACTCACAACTTCCCTCTAATTGCGCAGAAGAATGCCGAGTGCGCAATCAACTTGGGAAATGAGCGGAAAATGCTGTTCTATCGATTAAACCCAGCTGTTTTACGCAAATCGTAGAAAGCCGCCACCACCGTCACAATGATAATTAGAAAACTTGGCAAAACAGTTGATCAAACAATCGGATTCGCTTGGTTTCTGTCTTAAATTGGCTGTTTTGTTCCTTGCAAACACGTCTCAAATGTCCCTATTCTTTATTTATTCTATCAATAAATTGTGTTAAAGCTGGCCAGCTTAGAAATTTTTGATAGGGGAAATAAGATTTAAATTTTAGTAATTGATTGTCAGTGACGATTATTATTTTGTCCAGCACATGAGCATGTAGACACGTCTTTACCTCTTCCCATTGAGATAAATGTAGTTTTTGGCTTGAGTCTACCTATGTATACTTCATGAACTTATGAATCAAATAAACTGCAGCAGTATGTAAAAAGACGTAATCTGCGGCCTTGTAGATAGTACTATGACAGCACTTGTTTGCCTTAGTTTTGTAAATTATACTATAGTCCATAAAAATAATGGTCCAATAATAGGCTTCATATGTTTACAGTTCGTCAGCTGATAGAACTTAAGAAAACTTCCATTTGAAACTCAAGAACTCGCTTTATCAAAGGGACAAAGAAAGTCTTCTTTATTTTAAGAAAACAACCATTTAAGCGTAATTTATCATTATATTTGTGTAAACACCTTTAACTGATTGATGTGATAATAGTTAGATTGACGTGAGATCTTTGCTTGGGTGTGCAGCATATGATCGCCTTTCCCTGGCTGATTTTTCCAACTTTTTCTAGGCTGATTCATGCCATATTGGCTCCTGATTGGCTCGCAGTCCCCTTGCATCTTGGCAAAAGCTGTTCGGCCTGGCAGCAGCGCGTCGAAGGTCTTCTCCCGTTGAACTTTCGACCCGCTGACCAGGCCCGGAGAAACTTTTGCCCCAGCTAGTCGGCAGCACAGGCAGTCAGCAGTTTCCAGGCACACAGCCATGTCTACATCTACAGCCACACAGCTGCAGCAATTTCGATCGGAAAGCGACCGAGTTTGCTGCAGCAGCCACACAAAAGTACACACAGTAGTCCTTCGGTTGACACAGCCACCCCGGCACATCCACAGATATATATCCACATACATACAAACATACGAACGAATGCAGGCAGCAGCTTTCTTCCCTTAGACGAATCGAAAACTCGATTTTCATCCCCGTGGCGAGCAGAATTTAGTTTTAATTTCATTACAGACACGCTGGGCTGGCGAAGGGAAAAGAGTGGAAAACATGCGTATTAAAGTCGCAGTTTGTTTGGAGTTGGGAAAAGCTATCCAGCTATTCCCGGGGAATGAAAATTATAAGCGCGATTAGATATAGGTGCATTACATGTTGGGATTTCTGGACGGTACCGGGTGCCTGCGGGGCTTATGGGTGTGAATGGGGCATGTGCTGCGTGCGCGTGTCGCCATAGGAGTCGTCATCGTCATAGCCATAGCCAGAGTCAGATGATAAGACGGCCAATACATACACATAGTATTCCCGTGGTCGTTCTATATAGCTCATAATATCGGATAGAGCCGCAGCCTTATCGCTCCGTTGGTTGGGAAAACAAAAATAAAAACAATGCCAAATCGAAGTTGTTATACCCTTGCAGTAAGGTGTGCCTACAACCAAGTTTTTATTAAACCAAAGAATAACTCGGAACTCTAAAAGGAATATAATTTTAAATCTTCCTATCACTTACCTTCGAATAACCAACTGGGTGTCGTCTTGCATTTTTTTTAAATCCTAAAAGTATATTTGAACAGTCTTAATATTTTAAAATCTTTAAAATCATACATACCTATATTATTTTACGGTTCCTATTAATATGACGGTAATGTCTGTGTGAATAATACCCTTTAAAAGGGTATACGAACAAAAAAAAAATAGAAATGAAAATAGCAAGGGGAATCTATTTTTGGCTCGCCAATCGCGAAACAATTCTCTGCAGGATTTGCAACACCTGCCCTCAGTTTTTGGCATCTTTATCTCGCCTCACCTTTTCCGCTGCTGCACTTTTGACCCTCCAACCACTTGTTTCGTGTGTGTTTTCGTCCGAAAAGGAGGACACAAAACAAAGGGAAGAGGTACCGAAAAGACCTGCTGGCAAAAGCAGAAAATTGCAAACGCTGAAGATTTCCAAAATGCCAGAAACTGCACAAGTGTGCGTTCCTTGCTGCGTGTGTGCTCCCATTTTGGTTGTACTTATTTTTTTGAAAGAGAATACTCGAAAGGCAGGCCCGAGTTGAGGAAAAAGGGACCTGAAATCCGAGCTCAACGAACATCTGTTCCGAAATGTTGTGTGTTGATTTCACCAGCCGACCAGCCGAAATTATTGAATACATGTAGGCTGCATTGTACACGCCGCCTTGGAGATATGTGTATATACAACTGGGCACATACACAATGCAAAGTGTGAAACAAGACTCTTTTTCACATACCTGCTTTTTATTTTATTCCAGGTAAACCGACGTCGGCGACAGCGGAATACCCGAGATACCGAGAGCCAAGGCAGCGACAGAATAAAGAAACAAGGAAACATTTGCACGCCAACGGAGCAACTGCAGCAGAGCACCGAGCGACAAGAAAAACCACTTCAACAAAAGAGGATAACATACTGGAAGTGCCCCACACACACTGCCACACCGCCACTGCTGCCCAGCTACAAACATACACACACTGTACGTGCCCGACGGTGGGAAAGTAAACCGACATCTTTTTACGACCGCCGAGAGTTTTGCAATCAGAAGAAGTCGGAGAGCCGAGCCGTGTCGATCGGCCAGCCCTTTGATAAGCCAGAGAGAAGGGAGCAGCCCAGCTCAGCTCAGCCCAGAGAAGCGGAGAACAAGAGAGAGGAACAGGTTGCCAAGTCGAACGCGCAACGAATTTGGAAATCGAGCCAGCCGAAAGTGCGTGAGCGTGATCGTGATCGCTTGTACGTAGCCCAAAAGCAGAGAAAGAGATATAGAAACCCGCAGATCCGGACTTGCATTTAACTTTGAAGCAGCTTGAAGGGTTTCCAACCCGTGGCCCATGAGCAGCTGAGCCCAGCGGCAGCAGCTAAGACGGAAACCAGACTTACACCTTGAACACCCGACCCAAGCCAGATCCAAATGAAAACGCTAGTGCTCAGTCCGGATGACCTACAGAACTTCAACAAGTTCATCTATGACCCGAAGTCGGCCGCCCAGCTGGCCGCCAGTGCTGGAGCAATCGGAGCAGCGGCGGCGGCGGCAGCAGCGGTCCACGGGCCACCTGCCGGCACCACAGTACAGCTGCTCCAGGGCAGCGTGGGCGGATCGGTCAATCCCGGCGTAGTGCCCGTGTCCGTGCCCGTACCCACCAGCACAGCCAACAGTGCCAACAACCTGATGGCGCTGCACTACTACCTGAAGCATCCGGGTATCCAGCAGATGCCCATCCCACAGCAGCAGCAACATCAGCAGCAGCAACAGCATCAGCAGCAACAGCAGCACCACCAGCAGCATCAGCAACAGTTGCTGGCCCAGTCGCAGACGCAGCTGAAACAGCTGCAGCTCAAGCAGCCGACGATCCACCAGCACCAGCAGCACATCAGCTACCACCACCACCATCCGTACTACCAGCAGCAGCCGCAGCAGGCGCCGCCACCGCAACCGCAGCCTCTCAAGAGCCAGCCGCAGTCGCACCTGCCCGTGCACGCCCTCAACCAGAACTCGAACTTCTCGGCGGCTAGCTCCAGTACGGGGGGCACTGCCTCCAGCCATGCGCCCACCCAGCAATCGAACGGATCCAGCGTCTCACCCACCATTGTGTCGAGGGTGGCGGCCGTGGGGGCACCCAGCAGCAGCAATATTGCAGCCGCGGCCAATGCTCTCCTACGGGCATCGGCCGCCTCCACAGCCCCGAGCTCCTCCGCCTCATCGTCCTCTTCGTCCTCATCCGCGTCGTCGAGCTCCTCGTCCAGCAGCTCCTCCTCCAGCGCCAGCAGCTCAGCGAACTGCGCCAAGAAGCTGAAGACGGAACCCGTACTCTCTCAGTACAATCAGACGGAGCGCCTCAATTTCGCCAACACGTACATCGTGTGGAGCGAGGAGCACTGGCGACGGGTGATATTCCACGACGAGCGCAGGTTTAACCTGGACGGACCGGATGGCTTCTCGTACTATTTCCACGACTTGCGCAACTACGAGCGCACGCTGTCGCAGCGGCCGCGTGGCAATTCCGTGTACATTTACCTGATGGTCTGTGTGGGAGGAGCCGTGCATCTGGAGGTGTCGTCTGCCAAACAGCGACCAGAATCCTGCATCGAGGCCATCATGCGAGAGCGGCCCAATATCGTTACCAAACTGGGCGGGAACTCGGAGTTCGTGCTGCAGGACCACAACTGGATGTCGCATGCTCTGCCCACCGCCCAGGATCTTCTGAATGCCGAGGGTCTGAAGACCCAGAAGTGGCCCACCATCGCCCACGATCTGAACATCATGGAGAACGTGTGGGGCTGGCTCATCCGCGAGGTGTTCGACGGAGGACGGAAGTTCTCGCGCAAGGACGACTTGATATTCCGCATCAAGGAGGCGTGGTCCCGCCTGCCGCTCGACCTGATCACCAACCTGTACAGCACGCTGCCGGAACGGATCACGGAGCTCTACTACACACAGGGCGTCTACACGAATTGTTGACATCGGCGTACAGAGCAACCAGGACGTGGACAGGGCTCAGGACAGCACTTGGCCGCTTTGGCGGTCGTGCAGGCGGTGATCGAACGGGATCGTGTTCCAGAACCTGATCCGAGGAGTGCCAGCTCCTCGATGTCTGCCAGAGACCGGAGAGCGAAGGAAGCAAATCATTATATACAATTTAACTTAACTTTTTGTGTATAGCTTTAAGATGTGTGCGAAGGAGCGGACAGGACTCTTGGAGACCGACGGACTGAAAGCAAGAAAGACAGACGATTAAACGGACGGACAGACAGACAGACGAACCGACTTGGGTTATAAGTTATCAAGTTTTTTAGTTATTTAAAAATGATACAAAACAGAAATCAGCAGATTGTGGGCAGAACACACGTTAAGTGTTGCCATATCGCTTTGTAATTAGTGTTTTATCCTCCCCTGTTTCCTTTTGCCCCTTAAACAACAACAACCCTTCGCCCCCAAACACCCTCGTAATTCGTAAGTCTTAATTTAAGTTGTCGTTTTCCTTTTTACCCCCATCCCCCAATCTATTAAGAATATACAAAATATATTAGTTACAAACAAGTTTATTTGAACTTAACTCCCCTTTTGTTGATTGTTTTTAGTTGTGCCAGCGGTAGATGAACAAAATTGAAATGCCAAGCGAGCAGAGAGGAAGAAAACAAAATAAATTGTAACTAAAGTATTATTTTAAGGCATAGTTTTTGTTGTAGCAAATTACGGAGAACTCACACACGTAAATCTTCACAGACACACACGCATGAACACTCAGAAGAAGAATCCTATCATGTAAAATTGTTTACGAAAACAGAAATTATGATTAAACTAATTATCAATGTAATTAATACATATTAAACGAGAGAGAACTAACAACAAATCGAAGAGCAAAGGCAACTTAGTGTTAATGTAAGATCAAAACAACTAACCAGAGCATAGGACCTAGAGATCGATGAAATCATGCTGAAACCCAACACTCCTTCAATCCCGAACCTGAACCCAAACCCTCAAATCCCCCAACTCAGTCCAGTCATCCCCAATGAAAAATCGAGCTCTGAGCCCACGAACAAGTTTCCCAGCAGGGCAAACTTCTGTGACTACCGATGGCATCTAGAAGTGAGCTCCTCTTGGGGTTTCGACTCTGACCCAGACAAATTCTTAGTACGCCATATTATGGTTTATTCGTACGCACCCAATACTTAGCAATACAATTGAACTGAACAAACTGATTGCACTTTGCAAGTGCAGACAACTAATCTGTAGAATACTTGAGCCACTATGAAAAGTATCCTTGAAATAAATGCAACTTATACACATTATGCGAAACACCCCCTCTCTCAAAAGAAATTTGGCAGTTATGTGAATGTGATTTCCCCCTTGTTTTCGCTTCTGCATATTGAACGGCTCGATCAGAAAAATCGTCAACTTTATACATGCATATTCATATACAAGCAAGAACAAGAAAAATCAACAAAAATTGAATTATTATGATTAATTAATAAATCGAAAAATGCAATTACCAATAAAAACTACCAGCAGATACGTAAAAATCGAAACAAATGTTTTTTTTATACCCGTAATTCGTAGAGTAAAAGGGGTTACTAGATTCGTCGGAAAGTATGTAAAAGAAGAAGGAAGCGTGTCAAACCCTAAAAGTATATATATTCTTAATTAGGATCACTAGCCGAGTCGATCTAGCCATGTCCGTCTGTCCGTCCGTATGAACGCTGTGATCGCGGTAACTATATAAGCGAGAATGTAGCTTTCTCTGTTGTTTTTTTTTGGTGGGTAAGTAAAATCGCCTTTTTCAGATAAATGTTTAGTAATTTTCGAGTAAAATCTTTATTAAAAATTGTGCGTTTTCATTGCAATACGTAAATATATTGTATTTATATATATATAAAAAATTTTATATGCTCTACTTGGTCTATTGGCACGCAAAAGCGGTTGGAATTGTAAATATTTTAGCATAATTCCTGTTTACGATGCCAAACAAATTAGTCGGTTCAAGAACTTTAAAAGTGTGTTTGCATAAAAACGGAAATCGAACCACCTTTAATAACAGCAGTCAATACTTCTACTACTGATGCTTCCAATTTGATTGACATCCTAAATTGCAATTAGGTTTTTTTTAAATGCAAGTCTATTCTAGGCACTTTGAGTCTGTGGCATGTATTGATCACTAGCTGGTTATTAAATATTGTGTGCATCATCATAAACCGATGATCGTGTCTTTGATTGTGTATAAAAATATGAAAATACTGTTGTGACTGCTTAGCTGCTCACTTAATCAAGCTGCGGACGCAGGTTGGGCTGCAGAAGGGCATGTTCTCCTTAACGCAAAAGCGTCCTCCTATAAGCGGCTTGGAGCACTCAACTCCGGCGCAGACAAAGCAGTTGGCATGCCAGTGGACATCGCCCCAAGCCACGCCTTGGTCCGCCGGTCCAATTGCTATCTTACAGCGTTGGCAGCAAACGGCGAACAATCGGTCATAGCAGAGCAAACACAGAGGCATGTTGGACTTCTCATCCGCGATATACTGCTGTCCGGCCAGCGGCTCATCGCACTGATAGCAGCAGAAGTGCTTTATGTGGAACGTTGCTTCCTCCGCTGCCGTGTACTCCTTGGTGAAAATCAGCTCGTCACAGGCGCGGCATCGCGGGATCTTCAGCTTGATGGCCAAGTCGCGACCGCAGAAAACTTGTCCTTGGTGAAAGAAGTAGACCAAGTCGGCCAAGAGTTCCCGGCATGTATTGCACTTGAAGCAGCCGGGGTGCCAGGCGATCTCCTTTCCAGCTCGATCAGCCTTGACGGCCACATCGCCATAGGCGATTGGCTTGCTGCAGTCAGCGCACAAAATGGTCCGCTCGGGTTCTTTGCCTGAAGACTCCTCCCCGTGAAGGCGTAGCTGCTGGAACTGCTCCGGCATGCCGGCGCAGCTTGGGTACATGTTCATGTCCTCAATGCCGGGAATGCTGGTGAATCTGCCCTGTCCTGGGGTTAGATCTTCGCTGCCATAACCCGGAGTTGGGGGTTTCGAGTGGAAGCCAGAATCACTGCTGTGGGATGTGGGTAGCTCGCCTAGACCGGGTTTCGGATATGAAATATCTTTGCAGCCATTGGCCATGTCGGCAAAGACCTTGTCGATCTCGTCCAGCAACTGATCGTCGTCCAGCAGCCAGTCGTGCACTTGCTTCAGTGGCTGCAGTAGCTGGCATTGGTCATGCGAGATGCCCTTGTCCTGCAGCGAGCGGAAAAGTCGGTCATAATACGGTGCGTTGGAAACAGCGGATTGTAGCATGTTCTTATCGAGTCCCACGGACTGGAGCTGGGCCTTGGTGGTCGGATTTAGACCTTTCAGCTCCGCAAGACTTGCAACAGGAGCTGGGATATGGGAAATAACCACGGAGGAGGGAGCACGTCCAGCGCGCGCTTCCTGCAGCGCCTGTTTGAGCGGCTCCGCCTGAAGGATCTGTGCAAAGACCGGATCACGATCGTAGTCCGTGTTGGCGGGCAGTCCGCAGTCGTAAACTATGGTGGAGACGCCACCAAACTTGACCCTCCGCATGGGCGTATCCTGGCGCATCTGTGCTCCGAATCTTATCTGCACTGGATTCTTCAACGGCAGCGGGGAGTTGAATGGTGTGCCTGGAGAGGATTTCATTGGCGTCATGGGCTGCTGCGGGCAGATGGTATTGATCTCGGCTCTGAACTGCGGATTGCTAACATATTCTTTACGGAACTCAGCGATGGGCCCAAGTTTCGGATCTCTCGAGATGTTCAGCTTTTTCTCCTTAAATTAACAAAATAAAATAATAATATTTGATCTGCCATGACATCTTATACACCAAACTTACCTGTAGTATTCCCAGAACCTTGTCATAGACAACGCCATGACTCACAAGGCTCTGCAAGGCGGGCTTGCTGATGCCCAGCAGCTTTTCCTTGGTCTGAGCCCGCAGAGCTCCGTTTTCCTCGAAATGAACTGCCGAATCGGACAAAGGCTCTGAAAAGGCCACAAAAAGTTTGGGTTGGGCGCTGGCTGGACCTGCCAGGGCTTGGGCCACCTTCGGATTGGCCAGCAGTTCGTTTAATGTGTCATCGGCCACCGGCGAGAGACCCAGCGATTGCCAGGCTTTTGACGCCTCCTGGGAAGCCATCGAAACGGGAACAATGTGCTCCACTTGAGCATGGTTGAGACGATCTCCTAGGCGCACTACCACGCCCTGGCCGACGCACTGCTCTCGCAATTTCTGGACGTACTGCTGCAGCTGGATGGCCTCCGTTTCCGTCAATCCATCGCACAAAGCGGCATCCAGATCGTGCGGCGGTACTTGGAGCTCAAGCTGTAGTTTCCTCTTCAAAGCGGCGTCACTTCCGGCCACCGGTATTTGGGCAGTGCCCAGCTTCTCCATGTAATCGGTGACCACATCGGGAGCAGCATTCGGTGGCACCCACTCCAGCTGCACCGGTTGACTGGCCAGAGCTTTGATCTTAATATCTGCAATGGGGCATGTCTTGTAGAATTTTCTGTTAACAAACATATACGTTGTTAAAGCACTTACACGCTGGCTTGGCCCTAATCTGTCCCAGAATCTCGAACTGTGCCCAGCCGGTGGCGTCATCGTCGTCCGGACAAACATGCTGATTCTTTGGGCACTTACAGTTGCGGCACACCTTCCGCCAGAAATGTAAATCCAGTCCGGGGCACTTATCCTTGCACTCGGCGCACGGAGCTCCAGCTCCGGCTTCGTGTCCCAGTTTGGAGCGCTTCAGCTGCTCTCGACGGCTCTCCAGCTTCGACAGCCATTCCGGAGCCTTTGGCGTTTCCACGCAAGAGTTTTGGCTCACGGCGGACATTTCAAAGGTTTTGCTTTAGCTGAGCATCTAATAAAAACATTAATTTTGCAGATCCTTTGTGCTAGCAAGTTGGCATTTCGCGACGCGTTCGTTGGCCTGGACTTGATTTGGACTGCTTCACACTAGAGCTGCAAAAAAATCGATGGAACCATCGATAGTATCGATGGTTGGCCGCCGGTCACTGACTTCGAAATTTTTCAGACTATCACGATAGTTTTACAAAAAATTCGATCTAATAAGAAGGTACGCACATTTTCCATACGGAAAATGTAATATATATTAATTTTTTCTCGTTTTCGACAGAAATATTCAAATTCTGGTGGTTCCGGTGTTGTTTTGGTACCTTAAAAATGGCTGGCGGTCCAAAAAGCAAGTGGATGGCAAAGATATAAAGAGCTGAATTTCACATATATTCTTCATGAAACTATAGGTGGAGACAAGGATAGGAGCAGAATGTGAAGCAGAGTGTGGAGCAGGATGTGGAAATCGTGTGCAACGTGCAAGGAGCAAAGTCGTTAAAAAAGGTTAATCGGCGTGGAAGTTCGGTGTGGGATCTTTTTGAGAGGACCAAAGATGGAAAGACAGCCAAATTGGTTTTTACCAAAGAAATGTGATTTGATTTCTCATAAATATAAAGATCTCACTTGAATTTAAACTAATTGCGATTTTAGTTGTCAATAATTGAAAATAATAATTTATTTTTAGGAATACCCCTATTATATTGGTTTTACATGAATACCCCTAACGTTTATATATGATCGATACTATCGCGATAGTATCGAGGCTTAGTCCGCAAACTATCAAGACTATCGATGGGACTACCATCGATGTTTTTGCAGCTCTACTTCACACTTTGCACTGTTTTGTCATTCACATTTTGCTCGGCCAGCAGCTGAGTTTTTTTAACACAAAAACGTAAGAAAACGTAAGTGTCGGCAAACGTAAGTGCAGATCCTTTGTGCTCGCAAGCTGGCTCTCCTTGGACGGCAAATATAGTATATTTGCCAACTCAAAAAATACCAACCAAATATCGATAAGACGATGTCGATGTGCTGATTTCTAATTAGCTTATTTAATCGTCTAGTTCTTGTTGGATTTTAAAAACATTTATAAAAAGCTTATAACAGAATATAATTTATTTTTTTAAGAAGGGCCTTACATTGTTGTATATTTTATTATACAAGAATGAAAAAACAGAAAAAAGACGAATTATTGAATTGTTTGACACACCGTGTTTTAATTCCCACACATAATTTAAACTATATAGACCTTACCGATGTTTTCATTATTTACTGTGTTTCCATTTAACAAATATTTTACAATTTGTGTTGTTTTGAAATTAGTAAAATCAAGCATCGGATTTCCATTTTCCAGTGCTCACTGTATTGCCCGCCAAACTAGTTGGTATATTCGCGCAACGCGCTATTCTGAGCTTTTGAGGAACGGTCGCACTCGTAGTATTGTTTTTTTCGCGAATTCAATTGCAGTTTTTTCGCAAACTTTTAAATTAAAAGCAATAATCGAAAGGGCCAATTACTAGGTAATTAACAAGGCCTATTTTCTGCACTCTTTAAGAGTGTTTGTGTAGTGGAAAGCCCAGGGTAAATCCACTTGCAACCGAGCATTAGAAGCAACAGAAAACGCTCGATGCAATTTGCAAATACAGAAAAAAAATAGGTGAAAAACTGCGTCCACTGAAAAGTGAAAGTGCAGCTTGGGTCGAGGGACGCGGGCGGGGGCACCAGTTGGACACCGAGGAGGAACAACATTGGAAAATGGACAATCCAGGGTCTATTTTTGTTATTCCAGAATCCAAAAGGATAACACCGTTATTACCGGTTCTGTTTACTCGAAGCTTTTGTGTGTGAACTAGGCAACAATTTGATTTTCGCTCAATTTTGCACGGTGGTTGTTTTTGCCCAGTGAATGTGACTGCGTGTGTGTGGGTGTGTGTGTGGCGCGAGAGTGTGTTAGTGAAAGCGTTGTTGGTGGCTGGCCGCCTAATTGATTTCGATAAATAGTTAACATACAATTTTGATTCTAAAATACCCTTGCATATAACACATCCTGCAAATTTCCAGCATGCCAGAACAAAAAATAATCGAAATTGATTAACCGTAGCTCACAATAACTGTTTGAAGAGCTATGAACATGTCCTTTTTCAATTGCTTGATTATAATGACTGCAAATAATGAAATATTTAAACCAATCCCAAGCATTACATTTTCAAGTCGAAAGTTTTATTTAACTTGAAGGATCATAGAAATGGTTCAAGCTTGATTCGAAATATTTTTCAACTATTTTTTAACACAGCTGTGTAATCACCATAATAATATCACCATCATTATAATTCCTATCCAATTGTAGTACAATAAGTGTATTTGGAATATTATTAAACTTACTATTTATTTTTTTCAGACCGCAGCTCCGGGGACACGGGCAAGGAAATCATGACCGAGAAGTACGACGGCAACGGTGACTTTTCCGCCTTCAATGACGATGACAACGACTTCGGCGGCAAGCCTCGCAAATCTGGTGGTTCTATTGGAGCACCAGGCGGCGCCCACAACGGCGACAGTTCCGCCCACGACCACGGCCATCATGGCGGAGATCCCGGCGGCAGTGTCCAGATAAACGAGAAGGCCAATGAGTACATACGCGATTGTATGGCCGAGCGAAATCGCATGGACAGGAAGTTCCCCATTGCCGAGAAGCTGCTGGAGGGTGGTAAATAGAGTCCTTGGTTTTCATGATATCCAGTGTCTTAAAAGCATATATTTATGCCGTTTTAGAGATCGAAAAAGTACAGACCACAGGAAGGATTCCTTCCCGAGAGCAGAAATACGCGGATATCTATAGGGAGAAGCCCCTGCGCATCTCACAACGAGTTCTAGTGCCCATTAGAGAACATCCTAAGGTGTTTATTCTTTAACCTTAAGTTTATGTTTCGAATCAGCTTTTTTAAAATAAATAATTCCTATTTTCCAGTTCAACTTCGTTGGCAAACTGCTGGGACCCAAGGGCAACTCACTTCGCCGTCTACAAGAAGAGACCCTTTGCAAGATGACCGTCCTGGGGCGCAACTCCATGCGCGATCGCGTCAAGGAGGAGGAACTGCGCAGCTCCAAGGATCCCAAGTACGCTCACCTCAACAGTGACCTGCACGTAGAGATATCCACAATAGCGCCGCCAGCCGAAGCCTATGCCCGAATTGCCTACGCCATGGCCGAGCTGAGGAAGTATCTCATACCAGACAGCAACGACATCATCCGACAGGAGCAACTGCGAGAGTTGATGGACAGCACTAGCCTAAATGATAACGACAATGCGAAGAGTGGTTACAAAAAGACGCCACACATGCAAGGAGGTAACAACGCCATGGGTGGCGGTTCTATTAACGCCATTGGAGGGGCCAAGAACACACCGCATCATAATTATAGGTGAGGCCTTCTGCTCCTCCTTAATTACATTAATTTATACCTCTTCTCGAACTATTACAGGAGCTCGCAGCAGACCTCCTTCAGCAAAAATGTGCTTGCTCCCAAGCAGAAAGTGATGTCCATATTGGAAAAAGCCAGGACTGCCATGGATGAAACTTATGGGTATGGATCACTATGAGATTTCGAAGGCTTCAACTATATTAAGTTTTTTTTTTTGCAGTCGCGGCTATGACGACGGCATTGGCTATGATCCGCACCAATCGTACGATAGTTACTCCTATGGAAGTCATGGTCATGGACCCCATGGACCGCCGGCTAACATCTTGGGCGGGGTGGGCGGCATCAGCGGTGGCGGAGGGCGGGGTGGACACTACGAAAGCTCAGACTACGAGCCAGACTATGGAAGACGAGAGTACTACCAGCATTCGCCCGGCTATTCGGGTGAGTAGAACTATTAATGTTTATAGGCAGTATGATAAGATTGGATACACTTACAGCTGGCGGCGGCGGAGGCGGAGGTCTGGGCACCGTCGGCGGTTCCCAATCAAATGCCATCGGCGGCTCTGGCCTCAGTTCCAACCACAATCGCAGCCATGTTAACAGGTGAAACTTGCTGGACCCCAGCAGTGCCAGCGGAGGTCGAGCCACCAATCCAGCGGCAACCACTCAAAATCTGACCATGAAATCCCAACCCAATAGCAACAACAACTTTTTGCCCAATCACGGAGCAAGTGAGTGCCACACTGGCAAGAGCATAAATCCCAACTACTACTACAATTCCAACGGCAGTTCCAAGGTGAGTCTAAATGGCTGATAAACGGTGGTCCATTATCATAATCACAACTGTAAATCTTCTAGCTAAATCAGCAACAACTTCAGCAATCGCAACAAAATCTCCCACCGCAGCTATCAGCCCACAACAGCAGCAGCAGTAACAACCGCAACATCAGTAACAATAACTCGAGCAACAACAATAATTGCAATAGCAACTTTCACCCCATGGGTGACAAAAACTCCAACGACGTTTCATTTCTGTCCTCCTATCGACTTGGCACAATGGATGGCCAAAAAAGTGCCAACAGCAACAACATCAACAATCACACATTAGGCAGTAAAAACCACAACAACAACAACACCACCACAACAACCGCTTCAGTGCCCAATATGCTATTAGTAAGGTATTGAAATGCGATATTAACGAACGTAAACGAGTACTCCTTCGTCCTTGCACACAACCCACACCAAATCGATGTCTTTGGACAGTGTAAATGAATACTCGGGAACCGCTAGCTTGCTTTTTACCTATACCTCTCCGCTTTTGATCCAAGGTTCCCCCGTATTGGATTGCACTGATCCAGAAACCCCGAGAACCCTCTCGATCACACCGCAAACCATCGACAAGAACATCTCTCTAAATCCAAATTAACATTCTCTTACAGACCTGCTAATCCTTCGCTACATATTGGCACATTTCCGTTCTTGCCCGTGCAGTTTTTCTGAACCCAACAGATACAACAACTACAACCAGATCAACCACATCAACATCACAGAAACTTTGTACACTTGAGTTCATAAGGTTAGAGGAAGGCGTGGGAGGAGTATTTACAAAATGGACAAAATGAACTTTACGATATATACCACATACAAAACATATACATAACAAATATATTTATACATCTATTTTTGCGTGCAAGGATCGACGTTTAGTGAAGACGAGTCTGGATCAACAAATCGAAACGTTACTTTCGCGTTGGCTATAGAACACAGATCACAAGAAACTGTGTCCGGTTTTTTATCTCTATTTACAAACCATCTTTAAGATATTCAAGAGCCTGAACGATTAGTGGGAGCTGTAATCGGTAGAGAGAGGAATCAGTAGTTAAGCTCACGGCTCAGCTCAAAGTTGAGCTGGGATAGTCTGGCATATGGTTACAGAGCGAATCCAATTGATACAGCAAGACAAAGGTATGTATAGGGACAGCAGGGACCGAGTTCCGGTCGGTCGAGACAAAATCTATGAGATTATTAACTTAATAGAATATATAATAATTAATACAGAGGGCACATTTAAACCATAATTTTATTTATATACGCATATATTTAACAAATCTAACGATACAGATAAAGAAAATATATATATATACACTTACAAATTCTAATATTTACATAATTAACAGAGATCGACTAATCACATGTTGACACGAAAGTAACAGATTAACCTTAACGAAAATTATCTAATACTCGAGCATTCAGAATAAAATATATCGAATACTAAAGATCTACAAATAACTAACAAAATACAAAAATATATACAAGTTTATTGTGAATCAATGTCCATAAGTGGACAGTGCTGCAAATGATTACTTTATTAAAACACCAGATACGAAAACAATAACAGAGTAAAGAGAATACTTAAATGCAAACGTAAGAATAACAATACTCGATTTACTTATACACGAATCAAATACAAAGTTATAATAAAGCGACAAACGTAACACAAAATAGAATTAACGTAATAACAATGTAATTCAATGTACTTAACCCATTTAACCCATGACGCCGGACGAAGCATTCAACGAGGGATTCGTTTACCTTACTCACTTTTCGATTCCACAATTGTTCAACAATGAGTCGTCTGCTTTGTCCAGCTGTCTCCATTAATTATATACTAAATCAAACTAACTAACAAAAGTAAACTAAATACAACTCTGTAATCGACAATTCGATCAGTTGCCAAGCTCAATATTTCGTCTTCTGTTTACCTTAATTAGTTTCTAAATTAAAGAGAATTCTCTGTAGAGCTTAAGTAGAACCAAGAAAGTGTGCCAAATGTATGAAGGAAGTGGATCGGCCCGATGGGATCCCTTCCAGGTCTGAAATTACCAATTGAAATGCCAATTTTTAGATATTATCATTTTTTATGCGTAACCCCATTTGATTTTTCGAGCGAATCAATTTGACTCTACTAACGCAATGGAATAAACATCTACTCGAATAGGATTAAACGATATCTTGTCCAAAAACCATTTACTTACAACCATGTGAACCGTTAAATTGTTGAAAACAATTAAAATCTAGTTTTAATGGAATATCAGTAATACAGATAATACAAAGGAATTACAACCATTTATTACAAATAATTATTGTTGTTACAAATTATACAGATAACTAATATGAAATTATAACAAATGCTACTTTAGGGCGGTTCGAAGCCCCAGGTAATTTATGATAACAAGTTAATGAAATAACCGAACAACAAAACACCCCCGCCCTAACAACAATAAGAATATATACACTTATATGATATACCTACAAAATGAATTAAAAGAAATAATATATTGCGATTGAGTTATTCTCATTAATTATTATATGTAAAATCAAATAACACAAGTAATAAACAAATGAATAAATAAATATATTTAAAATGTATCGAAAATCGAAAGAGAAGTGGGTGTTTTTTATTGGAAGCTGAAAACGAGAATTGTGGGAAACCAACCAGAAACAAAAACATGTTTTTGTACAATTAAGTTATTAGTTTATTTCTATATTTCGTTGTTGCTTATGATTTTTATATTGCTTCACAATAGTTGACTAGAGTAAACAGCTTAGGGTTACGCAGACTCCCGGGATGCCCAATTTCCACCCCAGGACTCTCTCTCTCGTTTTACTTGCAATGAGATCGCAGCAAAGTGACTAGAATGCGGAGCAGCTCCTGCCCTCCAATTTACTCTCAGGCGTGCAGCAGTCCATCGCTCTGGCCCACCAGTTTTCCGAGGAGAGTCTGGTAAAGTGGCGACTCCGTGGGTATTCCCTCGCTCTGGAGGAAGAGCAGCGTTTCCCTGGCGCACATGGCAAAGCCCATTGCCTCCGCCTGACTCCTTTGGGCTGGAGTGGGTGGTCCAAACTGGGCTGCCACTTCGGCATCCTCGGCCTCCTCCTCCTCCTGTTCAGCTCCTGCGGCCGCATAGCCATCACGCTCATCCAGATCCTGTTCAAAAGCATCCAGCTCGGCTTGCAGCTCCATGATCTTTTGCAGGGCTTCTAGGAGGATTCTGTTGGGGGCATCGGGCTCTGCTGGGTAATCCTGTCCTGGTTCCTCGGCGGGTGGAGTAAGCGGACGATGACGTTTCTCCGGAGCTGCCACATCCTGCTGCTGGTGCTGCTCCTGCGGCTGGACAAGTTGCTCCGGCGCCTGCTGCTGCTCCTCCTGGCTTGCCCGCTTGCGCTTCATGATCAGCTTGCCCGACATGGCTTGGTTCGTGGATGATCTGCTTCTCCTGCAATCTTGTGGCTTCCCAAAATCGACTCTGCGCGACACAACCTTCGTTCACCTGGCGATCGCCACGACTGAGCTGCGACCAACTGCACCACGGCGACCAACTGGCAACTGGCAGGGCAACTCCAACCCCAAACTGAGGCAGGAACCAGAGATAGTGGCATTAGGGGATGTGCCGCGCCAAGGAAATTAAAAACAACAATCCGACAGGGGCTGGGGCAGGGAAACAAAAAATTGTTGCAGCTGTTTGAGTTGCGGCAGCTGAAGCGGGAGGGCAACAGGATACTGGCTACAGGCCACAGGCTGCCGACTGAACTCTGCAGGCTCAAAGGCAGCAGCAGGATATTGCAACCCTCAGCTGGCGCTGGTCTCTCTCCGGCTGCTGCAGCCGCGCTCCGAATATCCTATCCTCCCTTCCTGCGTCTGGCACCCCATCCCCCGGGATCGCAGGCGCGCCCCTGCTCGTCCTTTCCTTTCCGCCCTTCGGTATCCCTGCGGTGCGGCATAGCAGATAGCTAGGTGACCTGCCTATCCTTTTGCAGGGCACTTTGACAGTGGAAGGGTGTCTTTGAAAAGGGGATATTTTAAATAAATTTACCCAAAAACATTATTCCTCCCGGTCCAATTTTTTAGATCATAAGTAGTTGATTGTGAACATATAAGTTTCCGGCTTTTACTTATTACAGCTTCACTCAAATTCTAATTGCAGAAATGCTTATGCTTAGTCGGTCAAAAAATATTTTTCTATGATAAAGGTGTGGCTAAGCATGAGGTCATGCTCGATAAAAACATGTCTATAACACAACGTTATTGAACTTTCATCACAATTGCACTAAATATTATTAATAGGCAAGATTTTAATATAATCATTTTCTTGATTAGTGTAGTTGAATTGCCATCACAACAAATAGAATACTGTTATTGCTTAATCGTGTTTAAACATCTGCTTTCTAAAACAACTTAATTTAAACTGTGTTAATCATTGGATCTGGTTTTAGCGAACAATGACCGATATTATTGCTTAAGTTGCTTTTCTTGGAAAATGGGTGCTGATGACGCATTTATAAAATAACTGATTGGGTTTAGATAGTACAGGTATTTAATAAATATTCATTTCTTGGTAATATATACATTTTCTAAGTAAAATATACCTTTTTTTATCTTTGGTAGACAACATTTCCTACAAGATTTCATAAAGGTAATAAAACCAATTTATTTTGATTGTTATATAGTCGTTATAAATATATGGCCAAGTCTACTGAGCGTTATTTCTTTGACTGCTGATATGGTATAGCTTTTAAAAGATTTTTTTCCCTAAGTGTGTAGCGGATTCCGAAGTCTGGTTGACCAACGCCGATGAACATTTGCAGCTGGCACGCTTCACATTCATCTCTTCGATCGGCGCTTCCCCTGCGAGTTAGTTTGACCTGCCATTGCAATGATAAGTGCACACCTATAAGCACTGCGAGAAATTTTGGGTAATTCCCTGTTCAGTAACATTGTTGTCATGGATATTTAAAAGGCTATGATAGCTAGAAAGTATTGAACTATGAATGAAATCAAGTTTACTTCTGTTGGCATGGAGAACCAAAGCTTATCGGAGTTATTACAGGTTGTAAACCGAAAAAAGGTAATTGTTAATCGATAATGCTTAAAGTGGATTTAGGAGGTGACAAAAATATGAAAATATATGAACCTAAATGGCTAGTAAGCCTATTAGTTATACGTAGTCCTGATAATATTTTAACAAATACTCTTGTGAACGAAATGATTGGTTTTAGGAAGTTGAGGACAATAGTCTTTAAAAATAAAATGACGTAAAAAAATCCCCTATCCCTTGTCCCAACCGACTTTCTTATAGATAGCAATCAATTTTTATTTATGGTCAAGGAAATTGAGCATTAATAGATTGATTTGAGGTTCCGATTTTGACACTATCTTAGCGTATTGTTGTTAATGAATTTTGGAAGGTATTTAAATAACCACGCTTCTGATGTCTGCGAACTTTTGATATGTCTGATTGAATATATATCTCCCAGCAATGCAAAAAACAAATAGTGTGTACGTTATTTACTTGATAAGCAATATGCTAAAGGGCCCATCCTAATTGAATCATATATTATTTTTATCTGGTTTATTATCGCACACTTGACATTGTGTAATATTGCGTGTTGTTTTGCCCCTCATTTCAGCTCAACTTTGCGAAGCATCCACTATGTATTTTCGAACCAACTCAATTGCTGTTGTATCTTGTATCTTTGGGATATATTTAGGCGACAACGCGAGCAGGAAAGTTGTACCTTTCGTCTGAAGTATTTGTTCGACCACAGAAAGTAAATACATCATCCGCAGCTGTTGTGTGTATATAGAGGCGTTATATATGATTGAACAGTTTGAAAAGCACGCGACAAGTAGCAGCGGATAATTGGGGGAGTTTTGTGCTGTTCTACCGATCCCCACAACAATTGTGATCTTTTCATTTGGCGAAACACTCGCATGGAACTGGGTAAGTGATTTACCCGAAGCGAGGCAAATAAATCTTTCCAATAGTATCTACCCCTTCTTTTTTGGTGACCATAAATCAGTGAAACAAGCAGGCCTCATTGTTATCAATGGAATTTGCCTTATTTTCGCAGAAGACACTTGTTTGGAATTTTCGAGAAATTAATAACAAAGATCGAGTTACTTGGCTCAGGCAGAAATTCTAGCTGAGGCAATAAACTTGTACAGTATGCGCCCTAAATAATGAACAATTTGGTATAAAACTTCCTGAAAGTGAAACAATTTTACAAAGAGAAAAGGGAAAAGTTTTAGTTGCAAACTCAGGATTAAGTTAAAGTTAAGCAACTTATACTTTAAAAAAATGTAACATGTTTTTACCTTTTTTCGCATTCATTTCTGTGTGTGTAATAAAACAATAAAAAGTAAAATTTTCACAGATATTCTGGAGTTGTAGTTGCTTTAAAGATAAGATTTCACATTTAGGCCAAGTCATTAGAACCATTTACTCTCCCTAACAATTTGTATATGTGAAAGTGTGAGATCATTTTGGTTATGTATTAATAGACGTCCAAAAAATATCATCCAATTCTATATGATCCTTTTATATTTTTTCTTATATTTGTAGATTGTGTAGAACTGAGGAAATTAGGCAGTTCAAAAACGTTCCTCGCCAAGTGGTAAAGTTATGAATTAAACAGTGGTAATATCCAAAATTAAAGTAAGAAAGGAAATGTTCTATAGGTTTACTGTACCTAGAGCTACCTGTATATATTTTTTAGCACAATTCCAATTTTGGCGTGGGAATGTCGCGTTGTGTTTGGGCAACTGTTTTTTTTGCCAAGTACCTGCCTCTGTCTTGCTGGCGATGGGTCAGATAGATATAGCCAATTTACCATTATCTGATCTATAACAGCCGATTATCGTGCGACAAGTCTACTTCTGTTGGCTCACAAAAACGGGCTAATATATAATCTAAAGAGCATCAGAAATCGCGTTGTGACGTTCTCGGCTAAATTAACCCGCTCTGAGCCGCAACAATACGAGGCCTTATCGTAATCAGTTCGCTCAGCGAGTCAGTAAATTTCGGTTTACTGTTTTAGGTATTCGGTTTTATGTTTTCGCTTATAACGGTTCGCGGACTCTCAGCCACTTTGGTGGGTCAGTTAGCCCGCAGACCGTGCGACGAGTGCATGTAAGTAGCGATCGGTGGCTTGGTGAATCGTTATTTTTGATTCCGATCGATCGATCGATCTCAAAGTAGCAGAGTTTTTTCTTTGTCTCTTTGAGGGCTTTCGAGTCGAGAAAGCTTTTGGGCCAGTGGCCGTGAACAACTTAAACTCCGAGCTCGTTTCCGAGTTCAATTGGAAACCAGTTAACCGAGTGAAGTGGGGTACCAATTTAGACGATCTGAATGGGCTGGGGATTTGTGTGCTTTCGCACACGCAGTGTGATAAGCGGCGATTAGATTTAAGGCACACAATAAACTAACAAATGACTGGTAGTGCGATTTCTACCCGCTCGTGATTGATAAGTATTTGACTTTAAGTAGTAGATGACAAGGGTCGGGAAGGACCTTCAAAGCTAAGGAAGAAAATCAGGTTTATATCTATCAAAGTGTTTTTTATATCGAATAAGTAGTGCAACGAACTATCTTATCGCTTGTTTTATTACATGTTAATTATAAAGTTTCATATCACGGTTTTGTAACGAAAAACATTTATTATCATGCACATTTTCTCAACAAATCTAAAAAAAATCAACTTTCCATAAATAAATCACTGTTTATTACGATTTTGGCATTAATAAGCCACCTACTTCTCATCTCCATGTCTGTGATAGCTTATCAGCGATAATATTTATTATTCTAGCCCCAAAATGATGTCTGGCCGGAGCCTCTTTATTGGATCATGCTGCCTTCTGGCGCTGCTGATCCACCCAGTCCAGCCGAATCCCATTGTTCCCCGGGCGGATGTGGCCACCGAGTTCATAATACTCCATAATAATGATATGCATGCCCGATTCGAACAGACGAGTGTGACCAGTGGCATCTGCTCCCAGGAGGATGCGAATACGAATCAGTGCTACGGAGGATTCGCTAGGGTGGCCTACGAGTGAGTTGGGCCTATAAGCTAATATAACTCTTGATATAATTAACATCCCACTTTAAATCAGGGTTCGCAAGTATCGCAAGGAAGCGCAGGAGGGTGGAACTCCAGTGTTTTATCTCAACGCAGGTGACACCTACACCGGAACAGCTTGGTTCACCGTCTACAAGGACAAGATCGCCAGTGCTTTCCTTAACAAACTGTCACCTGACGCTATTGTAAGTACAGAGTAGGGGCCGATATATCGTATCATGTTAGGGTTATATTTTGTTTGTTTTTATTACAGTAAGTTAACATAAAGCTAAATTCTCTTTCTTAATGTGATGCTAGTTATGTCTTAACATGAATGATCAATTTGGTCTAACAAACCTGATCAATTATATAGACGAGACGTCCAATTTAAAGCTAACAAACTAACAAACTAAATTTTACCGAATAAGCTATTCAACTCAATGAATGAAAAATCGACCCATTGTAGAACAGGAACATTATTTAATTTTCTATAGTCCCTGGGCAACCATGAGTTCGATCAGAATGTGGAGGGTCTTGTGCCCTTCCTCAATGCTGTGGATTTTCCCGTTCTGGCCTGTAATCTGAACCTCACCGATGTACCCGAATTGGCGGCTGCCAAACAGCTAGCCAATTCCACGATCTTGGAAACAAACGGGGTGAAGATTGGCGTGATCGGTTACCTAACACCCGATACCAAAGTACTTGCCTTCCGGAACAAAGTGGAATACGAGGAGGAGATCGTATCCATCAAGTGAGTATTTCTGAAAGGAGCTACTAAACTTTCATTATATTATAATATCCCCCAGTGCGGAGGCCGAGAAGCTGAAAGCTCAGGGCATCAACATCATCATCGCCTTGGGTCACTCTGGTTACCAAAAGGATCAGGAGATAGCCAAGAACTGCCCGGAGGTGGACATCGTCATCGGTGGTCACTCTCACACTTTCCTGGATGCAAGTCAACCGGTGGCCGATCCCACTGACTCCGATCCGGAGGCTGTTCGAGGACCCTATCCCACCACAGTTGTGCAGGCGAGCGGAAAAAAAGTTCCGGTGGTGCAGGCATATGCCTACACAAAGTACCTGGGAAAGATCCATGTTCAGGTGATTGTAACAGATTATTTCAGCTATTAGTTTTAAAATGTATATTAGTTTTAATTCTTTGATGATAATTATTACTGATGTGGAGTGGTTAGCTTATGTATATAGATTATTGGACACTTTTGACAGTGGTTCTTACCTCTACTATCCTTACATTTATGGATAAACCATTAATCATAAAAGCATGCTGCCGGTTTCTATATTCCCAGTTCGATGCAGAGGGAAATCTGATTGATTTTGACGGTGCCCCCATTCTACTGAACGCCTCTGTGACTCAGGAGCAGGATCTCCTCGATTTGCTGGAGGAATATCGTCCCAAACTGGAGGAGCTGGAGAACACGGTCCTGGGCTACACCAAGGTGTTCCTTGAGGGAGGCAATATCTGTCGGATGAGGGAGTGCAACCTTGGAAACTTGGTGACCGATGCCATGGTCTATGCCCGCGTGGTGGAGAACAAGGGTGGAGAATTCTGGACAGATGCACCAATTGCCTTTATGCAGGGAGGAGGTGGGTTGGAAAGGTAATCAGTTGGAAGAAAAAAAGACTAAGCTTTAACCCATTTAGGAATCCGCGCCTCCGTCGATAAGCAGGATGATGGAGCCATTAATGGTGCCACTCTGCTGACCGTTCTGCCTTTCGAGAATAACCTCTATATAACCAGGGTCCTTGGCAAGACGCTTCTGGCCGCCCTGGAGCACTCGGCTGCTGTGCGGCTGCAGGACTCGAATGGTGGGTTCCTCCAGATGTCCGGACTGCGGTGCGAGTACAACTACAATAACGAACAGGGCAAGCGGGTGGTTTTCGCTCAAGCTCTGTGCTCCAACTGCTCCGTTCCCACCTACAAGAGCATCAATGAGACGGAGTTCTACAAGGTGATCGTACCGCAGTTCCTGCTCGAAGGCGGCGATGGATACGATCTGATCGAGGAGTCGGATCCGTTCAGTGAGAGCCTGGAGCGAAACGATCTGAATGCCACCATGGAGTACCTGAAGCAGCGCCATTTCGTATATCCCGAGATCGAGGAGCGAATTGTGATCCACGAGAAGGTTGACGGTGGTTCGGCTTCCGGAATTGTAGCCTCCATATCGCTGCTGCTGCTCTCTTCCCTGCTAACTAGATTCTTCTAGTGTGCGTAGGACCTAATAGCTTTTCATTTCGCAACCGTAGTACATCTATGAATGCATGAAGTCCCAGCCATCTGTGGTTATTCGATTGCAGTTTAATAACATACGTTATTAGTTTAAATATGTTGCCCATGGGCGAAGTGTGGCTTGCTGTTAGTTGACCTCAAATTGCATTAGTAAGTGCACATAAACTTAAACCAATTAGCAAATAAATGTTGTGAAAAGTTAATATGTCTTCTTTTTCCAATCAGTTATAGCTTGGCTGGGAGTTTATAATATACTATTCATCGTCTTTTAATCGATCATTTATAAAAAATCACCATGACGAATAATTACTGAAACATCGTAAAAAATTCATAAATTGTTTATTTTTTTTTTAAATTACTAATTTATTGTTCATTTATTAACATTATTGTTAAAAAAAAAAAAAAAAAAAATTCTCAAAAACATAAGCGTAATGCCTCCGAAAATGTTTTATGCAAGCCAATAAAGGGTAAAACATTAAAAAAATGTATCACAAAAAGAAAATATTATAATATATCATTGTTGAAATATGTTTACAATTTCTTTATACGCAAAGGACAAAAGCATATAGATAAACTATTAAAAAATACTTCTAAGTAATAATAATTTCCTGATAATGCCTTAACGAATTAATTATTTCTGCAATCGACTCCGTATATGTCCTAGCATTCTCTATAACGTACATGCCATTTGATGAGTAAATGACAATACCTAATAGAACAAAGTTTATATTCTTTTCTGCCAATATATCTCCAGGTTTCACAAATGACTGCCAGTGATTAGTTCTGAGTATATGAGTGACGCAAAATTGATTCGGCTCAATTTTTTTTTGCACATGATTTGCACATCCTTGGGTGTCTACAGTTTCAACATTATAGTAATATTTGTAACCATCTTCTGTACTGCCAAATATATAATAACTACCAAGCTGGTCGTGCTGCTGAAGGTAATTGGTCCCGAACATACAGATCGGTTTCATTCCATCTGCAAAACAGAAATTCACAGATCTTGGTGAAAGGAAATTAGGTTCATATAAATTTACCCATGGACGTCACCTGGTGCTGTAGTTCTATCAATGCTATACCACTTTTGAACTTAAAAATGTTTTGAACTCTGTACATCGTATTCATCACAACGACAAATCTGTGGAAATAGTTTGTAAATATTCGGATGAGATTAAACATATTGAAACAACTCACAAAAAGTCGCTATTATGTGGAAAGGTTACGTCATTTGTCATGATATATCCTTTAAAGTACAAACAAAAATATTGAGTATCGGAACTATACAGAATGTAAGATATTACGTACGGTCTGTGATCATCACGCCCTCTGTCTTGTGATAGCCTACATAAATTGTTGCCCGTAGGATTGGTTTTAGGCTATAGCCTGCACAATCCTTGTACAACCACATATCAAGATTGGTAGTTACCGCTCTCACAATCCAATCAACATAGCCCGATACATCGGTATATATTCCCAGTCCTCTGCAGTGTAATGTACCAACACTGATGATTCCGAACTGCGTTTCGAAATTATGCATTCCATCAGTCAGTAAACTGGTCAACGGACCTCCCGAATCGCCTCCACAAGTGTCTCCATTATTTGAACTTGTTGCACATATCTGCGTCTCCCTGGGAATCAGCCCCAAGTCCCGTTGGCACTCTCTTGGATCTGATCGATAAAGAGTGATAGTTTGAAGTATATCGCTCTCCGGGGCCTCAGATGTTTGACCCCAACCATAGGCATCGAACTTCCGAATTTGTTTCCCCATTCTCTGGTCCAAGAAAATGCATATTGGTCTTATGTGTTCTACGGGGGAATACATTAATAGTTTTAAGAGAGCGATCACACTTTCCACTTACCATCGTAAGTCACACTGGGTTCCAGCCTAAGCAGTGCTATATCATGGCGGTAATCTTTGCTCTTGTACTCTTGATGCCTTATCGCGTTGCTCACACGGATTGTACGGGTCCCCAGTTTTTTGTTATATGCTCCAAGTTTCACGAATCTTGAATACAATATAGGTTAGCTGTGCTACTCAATACTATATGTATAGATCACATTAGTTAAAAATTGCGAGTTTCATCATTTCGTTAAAATTGTTTTAAGTAGGTTTTTTTTTTACTACAGTTTCTTTCAAAACCTCTTAGATTAAATACAAAATGTAAATATTTGAAAAATAAAACAAAATGAACCGCAGCTAAGCTTACCATATAGTCGTCTGGTTTTTATATGACTAAGATCGATGAATGCCGACTTGGTTTTTTTTTTATCGTTTTAGACCCAATTTTAGATGTAGGTTAGGTATATTCGAAATTCAATGGGCATTCCGATTATACTTACAGGTCGCTGTTGTTGTTTTCAACGCAATGAGCTGCAGTTAAAACAAAACTTTTGTGGATCAAAGTGCCGCCGCACAGGAAACTCGTTGAATCAAAAACGGATGCCATCCATCTAGCAGCTTCAGGTTTTGCGTTTTTGCCAAGAGATATTTTAGCTACAAATTTCGAGGTTCCACAGGAGTCGTCCAGAAAATCTGAATGTCCTTGGTGGCTAAGATGCAATGCGCTCAATAAAATCCACACGAATAATGACGGCATTTCCAGACTAAATTCGAATTATTACTGCAAGCTCTGTCTATTGCCGAATTCAAATTGTTATCTCCAATGGCTAATCGCTTATTCTCCTTGGTGTTTCCCCAGAATCGAGCTATATGTTTATTTATGCGGTCTGTTATTGTTATTGACTTTCTAGTGTTTTAAAATTGCCCTTCCTGTGTTTTTTCTTTAAAAAATAGTGGATGTTATTTTAATGAACTTACTAACTCTTTGGTGGCAGGGTATTATTGCTTGCATTCTGCAGCTAAATTTGGAATGCAGATCTCATCTCCCTTCCAGCGCAAGTGTGCAAGTATAATTAGCTTTTTGCCACGGATACTTTACTTTTTAATTTGAGTTCGGAAACATTTGAAGCAAAATTTTGATCATTCATCAGACGAAATCGACGTTATTCTACCAATTTTTTAAACATATATTCTTGTGGTTTCATCTTGGAAGATAGCAGTATTTTTTAAATGCATGCGGTACACCCAATCTGCTGTCTAGCTTTGTCTTCGCAATTGATTTATGATTCGCAATTGATAACGCCAAAGAGTACCGTACTATATGTACTTCATAATTATACATTAGCTGACAGCTTCCTGTCGTACGTTACGTATACGTAACGCAACGCAACGTAACTCCGGAGAGTGAAAAATCTGTGGAGAGAATCTCACCTGCAGTTGAGTTGCTTTTCTGCCGGTTCGGTTCGGTTCGGTTCCGTTTGACTGACAAAGATACTCTTGCCAACACACATGCTCCCATGTGCCGGCGAATAAATTCGATATAAAAATAATTTATAATAATAACAAGGGCTGCGCTGCAGCAGCGGCAAGCGCGACAGCGACTGCGACTGTGACCGCAGAAAACGAGGAGAGGCCAGTGCGATTATAGACATCGGTGGCAAAGGTTGTATATACTTTCAGCGCAAAACGCTTGGAAAACTGATCGTTGTTTGAGTTCCGTATAGTGTGGAATACAATTAACTTCAACGTTGGTAACAGCAACTGGCAACTAGGAGCAAAAACGTATCGCAAGTGCTGATAAATTTCTGTAAAAGCTTAGTTTCAGTTAGGAACGGAAGAATGCTTGAGGGCTTGAAATTATTATATGGAAAATGTGAATCAAGAACCACAAGAATTCCATTACGTGATTTTCTCAAGGGTAACGGATTTTCGTAGACTCAAAGTGCAACTGGATATACTTTTTGTTATTATTTATTGAAAATGGTGAATGATGCACAAATGGTATGTTCATGAAGTACAAATACAGTCGAACTCCATAACCGGTACCTTTGTCTGCATACATACAAAACTCAAGTTAGAAAGCTTTAAAAAAAAATCTGTCTTTTTTTTAATTATATATTTTTTTGTTTTACTCTATAATAGAAGTGTTTCAATTTTAAGTTCAATTTTCCATTGCATCTGCCACTTATCAGCTTTGTGAAAACACCATTGGGTGTGAAATTGCTTCAAAGATTTGCGGATGAGGTATGCAATAAGTTGCATTTATTTTTTTGGCAATTCGGATTGTTTGCTTTTCCGGAATGTTGGCACTTTGTTGTTTATCTCTCAAAATGCACCTGCAGATGCATTGGAAACAAGGCAGACTAGAATTTATTTTCCCTTTGGAATGGGCATTTTAAAGGTGCGCGAAATTTCGTGTCGCCCACTGTGGGGGGTTTTTTTAGATGACCCAAGCACTCACAATTCCCGTGATATATTTGCTTCATCAGAAAATTAATTAGATTTAAAATGTGGATATGTGGAGCGACACAACGCTTGAGTTAATTGTATTGTTATATTCTCACTTGTTTCTGCTCTGCATTTTGTTTTGACACTTTTGGATGAATACTTTTTACTCTCGAGCTGTGCTGAGTAAACTCATTTTTTCTATAGAAACTCATTTGCAAATAGTCTGCTGTTGGGGAAAACTTGGAACCAAACATGAAGTTCTGTTTTTGCCACAATGGTTCTACCTACGGTTTGTTTAGACAGTGAGTTCTCCAAAAGGCGAACACTCATTTAAGCATTCAACAATTGTAAATTAATCATGGAAAACTAAAATGAATGCTTCGAGTAAATTTGTTGAAATCACTGTCTACATTTTTTTTAATTTCTGTCGTAAAGCAATTAAAGTTGTTAGCGGCTATAAAGATAGTAGCGAAACACTTATCGCCTGACACTAATAATAATCTGAACCCTCATACCTGATTGGATTAAAGATGAAGTCGTTCTGGCTCGCCGCAATCTACGGGATTCTCCTGATTCACTGGACGCAAGCCAATCCTATTTTAAGCGATCCCAAAGTGGCCACTGAGTTCATTATACTACACAATAATGATATGCATGCCCGGTTCGAGCAGACGAGCGTTAATAGTGGCACCTGTTCTCCGGAAGATGCACATACAAATAAATGCTATGGAGGATTCGCCCGTGTGGCCTACGAGTGAGTTGGGAATACTAGCTCAGAATGAGATACATTGCCACACAACAATCTTTTCTAGAGTTCGAAAATATCGCAAGGAGGCAAAGGAGGGAGGAACTTCCGTTTTGTATTTAAATGCCGGTGACACCTACACTGGAACCGCTTGGTTTACTATTTTTAAGGACAAAATCGCAAGCGCTTTCCTCAACAAATTGGAACCCGATGCCATAGTATGTATTTTCCGCTGCTTCCTTCAAAAAAAAAAAGATCAACCTCTACTTTTATATGTAGTCACTGGGCAACCACGAATTCGATGAGAGAGTGGAGGGTCTGATACCCTTTCTCAACGAAGTTAACTTCCCTGTACTGGCCTGCAATCTGGATCTCAGCAAGGTTCCCGAGTTGAAGGCCACCAAGCACTTGGCCCACTCCGCCATCCTGGAGGCTAATGGCACCAAGATAGGTGTTATTGGTTATCTGACCCCAGATACCAAAAAACTCACTCTTAATATGGATGTAGAGTTTAAGGAGGAGGTGGAGTCCATCAAGTAAGTGGGTGAATGCCCTTAATCATTGCAAGCTAATCCCCAAATCTTTTTCCCAGTGCTGAGGCCAAGGGACTAAAGGCCCAGGGCATTAAAATCATCATTGCTCTGGGTCACTCGGGTTACTCGAAGGATCAGGAGATAGCCAAGAACTGTCCGGAGGTGGACATCGTGATTGGTGGGCATACGAACACATTCCTCTACAACGGTGCCCAGCCGGATGCGGAACACATTGATGGACCGTATCCCACGATGGTCAAGCAGAAGAGCGGCAAGGAGGTTCCAGTGGTTCAGGCCTATGCGTATACCAAGTACCTAGGAAAACTCCATGTACAGGTATGTAACTTGAAAAATAATAACATTTTAAAAATGATATTTTATATATGATCCCGCATTTGATGAGAATATTACTTCTAAAACAACTGATTTCCCATACATGTAGTTAGATCGTACTTCATGTTCTGTATGGGTACTTATAATGTTATACAAAATAGTTCACTTCTATTACAAATAGTAGTATGCATTTGGATGTAGCTTTGATCCGTATTAAATAGGAACTTTTCGTTGTGATAGTTAAAATACTATAAAATAATAGCCTTTGGGTATTTTGTAAACATATAAACATATTCAATTTACAATTTTGTTGAATGGGTACATTTAGATAAATTTGAAAATTTAACCAATGAAATGCAAATTTAAATGAAACATATAGTATTTCTAAAACAACTAACATATCTATCAACTTTTAATTACAGTTTGATGCCGAGGGCAATCTCATAAAGTGGGATGGTGCTCCTATTCTGCTCAACGCTTCAGTGGCCCAGGAGCAGGATCTCCTGGAACTGTTAGAGGTCTATCGCCCGAATGTAACTAGATTGGAGAAGGCGGTCGTGGGACACTCGAAGGTTCATCTGGAGGGACGCAAGGAGATCTGTCGGGCTGAAGAGTGTAACCTGGGCAACCTGGTGACCGATGCATTTGTTTTTAGTCGGATTATGGAGGATCAGGGTGGAGATTTCTGGACGGATGCAGCCATATCTCTGATGCAGGGAGGAGGTAACTGGGACCAAGTAGTTGTATCAGTAGAGAAACAAAAACTTTTCTGTTCCACAGGCATTCGCAGCTCCATTGAAAAGCGATCCGATGGCTCTATCACCGACAGCGACATCCTGTCCGTTCTGCCCTGGGAAAATGATCTCTTTATGGTGCCCATGTCGGGCAAAAGTCTTCGAAGGGCTTTGGAGCATGGTGCTGGGTTAAGGGGCAAGGATTCGGACGGTGGCTTCTTGCAGGTATCCGGAATCCACGTGGTCTTCAACCTAAAAAAACCCGAGGGTCAGCGAGTGGTCTCCGTGCAAGTTCGATGTGCCGCCTGCCGAGTTCCCACCTATAGCGATCTGAATGATACGGCCATCTACAATGTCGTCGTGGGAGAGTTCCTGTTGGATGGTGGAGATGGTCATGTAATTAGGGACTCAGTCCACAAGCCACAGCGCCTCAAAAATAACGATAAGCAAGCCGTTTCCCAGTATCTAAAGCAGCAGGAGTATGTTTATCCCGAGATTGAAGGTCGTATCATTTTCACAAATTCCGCCAGTGTACTTATGGGCTCCTCAGCAGCCCTGCTCCTTATCTCTTCCATCCTGATGAAGATGATTAGTTAGAATATTTTAGCTATTAAAGAGCTTTAACCATACCCCCAGTTTCTGCTTCGATATTATGGTATTTAAGATGTTGAATCAAAACTGTAATATTGGAGTACAAGTTCAAGGTGCCAAAATAGCTTGTATGTATAAAGTGAAAACCTGCAAGTTAAAATAAAAATAAAAAAACTTGTATTTAAAGAAGTTTTTTAGTCGGGTAAAAGTAAACTTTAAGGCAAATCTGGATAAATGGAATTGGCTGTTGGTTTACACTAGAATTTGAAGTTTCTTACATTGTGTATGATACTGCATAGTTTTAGGCTGGGTTTAAAAACTATAGAAATTGTATCAACAATGCAACAAAAAAAAACCATTCGTCTTTAGGATATCCGACCAATCCCAAAAGTAGGCATTTCTACACCCCAGGTCAGAGTTTTCTATTGTTCTTCCATCACTTTACATTTTTCAGTAAAAATGCTTCGACTTACTCTCCAGTGGACCTTTGTCCTTCTGCTGATCCCAAGCTTTCCGAATTGGATATCCAGCCTCAAGATCACCCTGCTCCACACCAACGATATGCACTCCTGGTACGACCCTATTTCCAGTAAGGGTGGAAAATGCAAGGCTGGCGACGATGAGCGGGGGTTTTGTTTCGGAGGATTTGCCAGAGTGGCTGCTGTGTAAGTTTTTTCGGGATAAGAATCTTTCTCAGAGGCGTCCGATGATTTAGTTTTTCTATTTCACGTTTCAGGATTAATGACACTAGAAAGGGTGGAACTGATTCAGTTCTATACTTAAACGGTGGCGATTCCTTCCAGGGAACTCCCTGGTTTTCGGTTTACCGAGGGAAAATGGTGGCCCAAATGCTGAATTTCTTATCTCCCGATGCTATGGTAGAGGTATTCAAATTAAATATAATTTGTAATTACTAAGAGCACTTCTGCAGACCCTTGGAGTTCACGAGCTCGACGATGGAACTGCTGCCTTTGCCGAGTTTTTGGACATAATTAATTTTCCAGTGGTTAGCAGCAATATCAATCTGAAAGGGGAACCCAAACTTGCAGATCACAGTAAATTGGTGACCTCTACCGTTATCACAAAGGGAAAAACAAAGATCGGCATTGTGGGTTATATAAGGCCGGATACCAAGGAACGCACTCAGCCCAATAATGTGGTGTATAAACAGGAGGTGCCCGCCATCAAGTATGAGATGGTATGTAATATTTAAATGGTCCTTACATTTTACTCCTCTTAGTAAGGAAACAAGAAAACTGGTGGATCAGGGAATCAACATCATCATTGCCTTGGGGCATTCGGGCTATGAAAAGGATAAGGAGATAGCCAGGCGCTGTCCGGATGTGGATCTCGTGGTGGGTGGTCAGTCGCACACGTTTCTGTATTCCGGAAAAGCTCCGATTAAGGAAGTTTCGGAGGGTCCCTATCCCACCATAGTCGTAAAACCTGATGGCAGGAAAGTGCCTGTGGTTCAGGCCTATGCTTATACGAAATATCTGGGAAATCTGTTGCTAGAAGTGGGACCTTTGAATCTTAATCATGTATCTCTTATTTCGATAGTCCTTCCCTTTTCCAGTTTGACAATGGTGGTAATCTTTTGAGTTTTAAAGGAAGCCCTATTTTATTGGACAGCCGCTTTCAGCCTAGACAGGATGTTCTAAATTTTCTTGATCAGTACCGCCAGGTGATCGATGATATGGAGCGCCATGTGGTGGGGACCACCTCTGTCTATCTAAATGGCGATAGAAGAAGCTGCGGTTTTGGCGAGTGTAATTTTGGCAATTTTATAGCGGATAGCTTTGTTTATGCCCGAGTGCTGGAAACCATGCCGGATAGAAGATCTTGGACAGATGCTCCCATAGGGCTTATAAATGCGGGGGGTAGATGATTAGATCCAGCTTTAGAGATCCTTTTATTTTCAACTTATACCCCATAGCTATTCGAGCCTCCATTGAGCCCGGGGAAACGGGGGCCATTACAGAGGCCGATGTGATGACTGCACTTCCCTTCAGCCACGACATGTTCTACACCAGGATCAGTGGCAGCCAACTGATGAAGGCCCTGGAGCACTCCCTTCAGCTGCGCAGCAAGCATGTGTCCAGTTCCTATCTCCAGGTTTCGGGACTCCGTATGAAGTTCAACCACAGCCGGCCGAAGGGCGAAAGGATCACCGAGATCAGGGCCCTGTGCTCCGCCTGCCAGATTCCGCACTACGAAGCCGTCGAGACGGATAAGTACTACGGCGTGGTACTCACCTCCTTTCTGTTGAACGGCGGCGAGGGCTACAGTTTCATCGATCCAAAACGACCGGAAGTGGAAAACCTAACCATCCTTGACCGCAATGCTGTCATCCGGTATCTGCAGGAGCACAAGGTCATCTATCCGGAAAGGGAGGACCGCCAGGCTCCTCAGGAGAAGCACTTATCCAACTCGAGCTCTAACCTATTGTTCGAACCCTTCCTACTCTACCTTCTGCACTATCTATGTGTTTGTCGCCGTTTTCTCGGTTAACTTTTGAGCCTTCCAAATGGGAAATAGGAAAAGAAAACGATCTGCGTCTCCATGGAGAATCATTATCATTAGCATTCGCTTTCTGTTTTTGCCCATTGCGCAATCGCTTAGAACCGAGATCAGCGATTAAGACTGTTGTGATCAGTGACCTTTCCTATATAGGTGTCTGGGCTCTAAACAGCTATACTATCAAGTCTAGATTAGCTTTAGTAGAGGTTTTAATATTTTTACGGGTTTGAAATGCTAATATTAATATTAATAATAAATTGTATGGTTTAATCTGCTTAAGTCGTTTTTTTTTATTTAAGATTATTGCTTTCATGTTGACTAAAATACTTTAAATAGACTTGGCAACCAGAAAGTTCATAAAGTGTTAATATAATTATAAAAATGTCTTAATTGCCTTTAAGCTCTAATCAATCCACCAATTCTTTATCTTCCTTAACTACGATTTTCAAGAATCTTTTCTGTGCTAACGCCAGTTTTAAATTTGAAAACCAAGCAGGGTTTAATCAAAGGCAAATTTCTGCGATAAGCCTTGAGGAATCCAACCTTTTAGGTTTCTGAAATCATTTCGTGCTCCTCCCTAACAGCATTTCTGACTTTGACTGATCAGTGAGTGTCTCGGGCATATTCATAGTGCCAGGTGCTACCAGCATGACTCCACTTCTGTGGCTGGCTGTAATTTTGACTGCCAAATGAAGGCTACCAATCTGTATCTGCGGCTTGGACTTGGGGCTCTGGTCTTTGGGCTCCCGTCTCTGTCTTTATAGCTCTTTATAGCGGCTCTGGTCTCGTTCTCGGGTGTCTTCTGCTGGTGCTAAGCACTATTAAATTCCCCATGGTTAGGCTTTTCATGAGAAGTTCACGGCGCACCGACCCCGCCGACCTCTGCCCACATAATAGTCATCAAGCTCGTGTTTGCCGCCCCTGCATCGTCTTTTCCCCTCGATTCTCCTCGGTATCCCAGCTATTGGCCATTGGCTTTGGCTTTAGCTTTGGCTTGGGCTTTGGCCCCAATGTCTGCTACTGGCGGCGTGTTCCAGCTTCAGATCCAGCCTCAGCTCCATCTCCATCTCCATCTCCGGCTGCAACAGCAGCTCCGGGGTTCTGCTGTCGTGAGAAGCACATACACATCATGGATATGCACACACATTGCATCCACATCCGCATCCACATCCATGCCCAACTCGATCGTAGGCGACACAAACACCATCTACTGTCGGCAGTTGGCCAGGGAATTGCGTGCACAGAGGGAAAATATTGTCCTGCACCTTAGAAAATAAGAATTAGAGGTAATATTTATCTACCTTATCTGACCCTAAGTTTGGGAGGAGCTGTAATTTATTTTCAATAGGTTGAAATAGACATTTCATAGGATTCAGGTGTTCTTAATATTTAGAGTGGAGTGATTGTCACCGGCATAAGCAGTGTCTCTACCCCATGGGATACGATTTGACTGCGCCGGCGCTTGGCCGACACACGCACAGTATACGGCACATACACATTAATAAGCTGGGGATCTGGGCCTTGAATATGTTTTTCTTGGAAAGGGTAGATATTAAATGTAACATGTCTAGTAATTTAGTAGTTTCTTCTCTCAGTGAGTGATAAAGGTAGAAGGGTGGGAAAAGGGGGCGGGTCAGCGGGAGCTGGCATGTAATTATGTGGCCCCGTATACCGAGTCTGTGCCTCTGGACATCGGTCAAGTGCAGAATCGGGCACTTTTGCGCGGCAACACGCTACAGTCGGCACCTGGTACTCGGCTATCAGTCATTCGGTTAGTCATGGCTCAGAGAGGTTCTTGAACCCGTACCCATGCCATACCCACACCCACACTATCCGCATCCGCAGCCACATCCACATCCACACCCGCATAAAGGTTGGCAGTGGCATTTCAATTTCGCAAATGAACCCCACTAACTTGGGCCGTTCTAACTTGGCTATAATCTTGGCTGTCGGTCGGTGTGTCTGCACATAAAAGTCTACTTCCGTCTTTCTTTCATTCCTATTTGATTCCCTTCATTAAGAATGCCTCTTGGTTTCCTGCCTAGCTCTCGTACTCCTCCACCTCTATAAGTTTCGACCGTTTAGGTCTAATGGCCGTATTAGCGACATGAGAATGGAGAAGATCGCGCGCCATTTGTTGGGGCATTACCAGCAATCCGAGTATCGTATCTGGCATCTGTTCTATATCGAATTGAGACATGGGAATTGCGGAGTGTGTGTGTTTGTGGAACTGGAAGCAGATCATGCATGGGTCAATGAGTTGCGCGACTCACAAATTAGTTGAAATCATCCAAAATCCCCCTTCGGAGATGTGATTTTCGTGTTGATGCGGTTAGGTCTGCGCTTGCCATTGTTGCCAGTTATTCCTGTAGTTGTGCCGGTCGTGATTTTGTTGCCCAGTTCGCCAGAAACGTTGAATTGGCTTCACCTTTTGACATGGAATCTGAAATGACGTGAAGCAACAGCCAAAGGAAGAGCAGCACCTCCTCCTCGATGGACTTCTTTCTTCTGTGTCCCCAATTCCAGCTCCTCCGCTTTGATTGCCAGTTAGCCATCTCAACCCCATCCCAATCCCAGTCCCAAGCCCCATCCAAATCCCCATCCCATCCTCCGGCCAATGCTCATTTGGTTTCGTTTCTCGTTTCGTTTCAGCTTCATTGCTCTGCGATCGAAATTATTTACCGTTGATATGGTTATGGTCAAGGCGAACGGGAAAGAATCGGACGAAGAAGGCCAATTGCGATTCCTAGGAGGTGGGAGGATCATTGGGTTACCTTGTTTTTGGTCCATATAATGATTTGAGCGCCGAAAAGAGTGGGAGATCAGTTTATTTGGGGAACATTAGGGAACCATGCGAACCCATCTAAAAATGCTTGTCTTTTATTTATATTTTCCCAACCGTTTTAAGGGGTATAGGTATACAGATAAGTTTAAATTCCTAAAGAGTTCCTGACTTCAGCGGGTCAGCTCCGCCTTATATGCCCCACCATCTTTATAACTTTGCAAACGAAAGACCTGGAAAACATTTATTGAAATCCAGGCATTCATTTGTGAATATTTTAATAAGTTTATTATAAATGCACATGACTCATGGCAGTCGAAAGGTGGAGTGGGAATCGGACATGAATTATTTATGCAAGAACGGATCGAATCGGATGGGTTGGTATAGGATGGGATGGTCTAGGATCGGATAGGATGGGATGGGGTTGTACTGGATAGGTCCTGATCGGTTTGCTGGTCATGTTCCTGCCATTTTGTGGGCTGGGCCCTCACGACAGTTGCCACGATGGCGATGAGTGTGTGCGATGTGACCTCCGATGCAAATGCTGATGACCTTCGTACCGCCAAGGACACACACACACACCTGGCTTATCCGATCAGAAAGATATTCTAATTAGAACGCAGGCAAGTGGAAATGTGCGATGTCCGCCTCAAAAGAATATCGGAGTGTCATTTCTCAAGCCGCGAAACCCGATTCACATTAAGCCTTTGATCCCAAGCGGAAAAAGTGTGTATTAGTGCTTCCATATCTGCTTTTCTACTTTTGGTTGTTCATTTACACAGAGAGAAAAAATGGCTGTTACTATAATATTCAAATAGATATTTACTTTTTAATACCTGGCTAGTAGAGTCGAAAGGAAAACTGTTCTGAAAAAATGATATCTCCATCTTCAACAACAACTAAGAACAGTATCAAGTTCTCAATACTTTATTTAGGTACTTAATATTAAGATATTTGATTATCATATTTGGATGTGGTAGTTTTTATTAATACGAAAAGTCTACGTTTTGTATTATTAATGGTTCACATCATACCGCTCTCAATTGATTTCCTTTAAAATGTATTCTTTCATTGATCAAGTCAGATCCATCATATATCACATTTTCTTTCTGTACACTTTAGGCTAGATGCCATGTCCATGTCGTCATCATCAGCATCATCGCTAAACTTGACGCTAAAATGGATGTGGATACACAGGAGCAACTCACACACACTCACAAACGGGCCTGGGGAGAAGAGCAGGGCAAGGCGGAGGAACGCCGAGGAGCAGGAGAGGCTAGAGGACGACAAGAGAAGAGCCAAAGAGGCAACCAAAGTCCGTTGGCAAAAGCCAAAGTCGAGGATTTCTACCAAAAGGCGAATTAAATTCCTCAATCTGGTGCCGAGTTTATTTTTAGACCAAAAACAACAAGCAACAGGAACAAGAACAGCAACTAGCAATGAAATGGGAACAGGAGGTGGGGCAGGAAGAGGAAGAGTAGGGGGAGGCGGCCAGAACAAGAAGAAGACGACAGCAGCGACGAAGCCAGGAACACACATGCACTGGAAACAAATTTAACGTCCTCGGGGGTAGCTCGTTCGTTATTAGAATTGAATTCCTACGTACATAAATATACATTTCAAACGAGTTCCGATTTTTGATTCCGATATTCTTGCGATCTGGGAGGAAAAATGTAAAAAAAAAAAGGAAGGACGCTATAGTCGAGTATTTCCCAGGAATCTTAGGAATCTGCATGCCTAGTCCCAGTAATGTAGCTTTTATAGTTTCCGAGATCACAGCGTTTATACGGACAGACGGACAAAGGGACAAACGGACAGACTGATATGGCTAGATCGACTCGGCTAGTGATCCTGATCAAGAACATACATTCTTTATGGGGTCGGAAACGCTTCCTTCCTTTTCCGACGAATCTAGTATACCGTTTTACTCTACAAGTAACGGGTACAACCACATGTAGATTCGTGGAGGTGATTATATATTTTCGGATAAAATTATTATTATCATCAATAGATTTCGGCATTAGATGTCGGTTTATATGTAATATACGTTTTTTACATATTATTTCTGTGATACTTATTTTTAGTGTTAAACCATAAAAAAAGATTTCACATATAAACAACACCTTCAATCCAAAGCCATCAGCACCAACTGCTGATTTCGGATTAGTGAAACTTTTAAATTAATCATACTTCCCAAGCAATTGTCTAAACCTAAAAACTGCTTATGTTTTCGCATGACGTTTTGTTGAATTCTGTAATTTAAAAACAACATTTATTCCAGTGCAATTCTTCACACAAATACAAATGGTGAGGATCAGAAGATCAAGCTAAGAAGAAGCAGCGGCAGCCGCGAGTATAGATGGATGAATGCTGTTAAAGGCGAAGGCCATCCAGGCCCCTCCCCCCCACGAGAGCCTCCTGGTGGAAAATCCAGAAATCCAGATTGCAAGGAGTCCAACCAGCAGCCGCGTCGGTCACATTAAGCCCACTGTGCGTCGCAGTCGCGTCGCAGTCAACCTCGTCGTCGGCGTCGGCGTCCACCCGGCGGCCGTTTTACCAACAAAATGCCAACCAAAACGAAGGGCCAAAATCTCGGTGCGTTATACTTGCGATAGAATTTTCGATTGCAATGGGCACGCACAGGTTTTTAGCAGCAGTCGCACCACCCAATCCACGGACCCACGGATCCACCGATCCTCCACATCCTCCGCCGTCCAACTGGGAAATTGCGGGCAATTCATTTCCCATGACTGTTAATCACTTGGCCATTATTATGTTTAGCCGAACGCGTACATAATTATAGCCTGCAACGGTCGATCGGGCCATGTGTCCAATGGGATTAACTATTGGTTGAGCTAGAACTGAACCAGAATTAAATAAGAGTGATAAAGGCGAGATGGGAGTATTCCACAAGCCGTTGAAGCAGGGATCAATTATCCATACCTGGATGGCATCTATACAAAACGAATAAATGTGTCCCGAGACTAGGTCTTGGTTGGGATATCGAAATCCTCCACGATGTTGCTGTACAAGTTACCCTTTCTTTCTTCCCGTGTAAAGTCTCTCTCCCTCCTTTAGACCTGCGCTTATAATTGGTGGCTAATTTTCTCTAAGCCACTGAGAGCTCTCGGTTATTAATAATCATTAAACCAATATTTATCCTTCTCCAAGTTCTAAGGTTAATTAGAAAGCTCCGAGGCAGTAGCCAAAGACGGCGGAAAAGAAGCCAAGAAGGTGCCTTTAATTACACATGCACACATTTATCATATTTTCGGTGGACGGAGGTGGTGGAAAAAAATGAAGGAGTGTAAGTTCGGGTTTTGCGGCTGGCACCCGCAGAAAAGAAATATTGTCAAAATGCAAAGCAGAAGATCATTATTACATTTCACGCTTCCAGCAAAAATATGTAAGTAAAAGAGCCAACCGAAACCGCAGAAAGCAGCGAGTTCAGTTCCACGGGCGACTCTACGTCGCGATAGCGTACCAAATTAATGGAAATGGAACCACATTGCGTTGGGTTCATGGAAGAGTGGCAGTGGCGGGGGGTTTCGGGAGGGGCCTTCGCAGGGGGTTGGCCGGGGAAGAACGTGCAGCGAGCCCTACAGGTAAGACTGTAGCGAAGGCGAAGAAAGACCAGCAGAAAGAACCTAAAACCAAAGCGTCGTTGTGGGAGAAAGAATAAAACTAACAATGGACTGCGATGACTCTCCGCCGACGCCGCCGTCGACGTCAGCTGAGCAGTCGACTGCGGCTCTGACTCCCATTGGAATGATGACGGCGACGTGCAGTGGAGTTGTACATAGGTGTGAGGGGCACTGAAAAAAATAGTATCAAGAATGCTTTTACATCTGGGGATCCCTTAACTCCCAAAAATAATTCGTACACAACATTAGTTCCAACGTTATTAAGGAGGGTTGGGGACAAACTTCTCTTGTGAGACATTTATTTTAATCCTTTATAATTTTCGGTATTTCCCCGCTGGAAAAGTTATATAATGTTGAATCGTCTTACAATTTAACACCGACCAGAATTGTTAAATTCTGAAAATATTGCGTAGCATCCTTTTAGAAACCTTTTCAAAGAAAACATGGTTAAAATTTCCATCACAGCCAATCATACCAATTTCTCTCCGTGTATTAATATTTCGGTTCGAGCCCGCTTTTGTATGCCTTTGGTTTATTGCGCTCTTTGTCTAGCACTGACTTCGGCTCACACACACCACGAAAGACAGGAAGAACTCGCACTCACACAGACGCCCAGTGAGGCCAATTTCCAATCACATCCATGAAATAAGCAAATAGTTGGTTCTGTCCGATTCGGCTATTTCTTCTTTCTTTTCCACGGTCTTTTCCCGTCTTTTCCGTTTTTCAGCCAGCAATTTCCTTCTTAAGCTAACTGCTTTCGGCACCAAGCGACATTTAGCAGCGCTAACTTGGCCAGAACAGAAGCTCAGCGGATCTCAAGTTTCCAATTACCAATTCCAATTTCGGGATCCAAGGATTAACACAAGTCGCAGCCTCGAAATCTGTATCTGTGTCTGTTCGTGAGTCGCCCTGAGTGTGTGTGTGTGCTGACTGGAAGAGGAAACTGGAACTGGAATCGCTGGAGTTCTGGAAGCAGCGAGTCTGATCGTCGTTCTTGGCCTCTTCTTCGGCTCTTCTTGGCCATCCATTCCCGAGTTCTTCTTGGCGGACATTCGCGGCTGCGTGATATTGGCCTGATCAGTTGTGCGATCAGTCGACGACGAAGGCTTGCAGTGAACGCGACGTGAAGTGCTGAACTCCAAACTCCAAACACTCCTTTAGAACCACCTCGAACGCGCGTCCCCGAAACGCTGAGAACCCGATTCGTATTCCCCGACCGTCGCCAGTGGCAATCAGATAGCAGATAGTGCTCCGCGCTCCCAACAATCCAACCACCCGAAGAAAAGATGGCCAAAATCGTACTCTTCTGCCTGCTGAGCCTCTTGGCATGCGCTGCAGGTTAGTAAAGTCACTGAATTTTGATTAATTTTCTGGCAGGAGTTAGAGCCTTTATATTTTGTCGGTTATTATTATTTATGTGCTGCCTTTGGTTTCAATACTCAGGTTCACTTAAATGGATTTGGAATCAGATTTTATTCATTGTTGAAAATGATCTTTTTCACTTTATTAGGGGATGTAAAATATTAAAGATTGTTTGTTGCTAGAATACTTTTACGTTGATATTATAATGAATGCAGATTCAACTTAAAAGGCAGTAGGCTCAGCGATTAGATTTGAATTCGAATTATATTTTCTATAAATTTGTATAATATTAGTTAAATATTTTAAGAGTCTGCTAAAGTGAAGTTGTGTTTTTCTTTTTAATATTTGTTAGAAACTTATCCGTAGCTAACTCTCAGAAAGGGCAGAAACTTATTTTTTAAGTGCAGACCTCTTTTAAAACGTGACTAGCTGCCAAGCAAATTATACAACTTTTCAGAACAAAAAAAAAAGGAATAATTAAGCTTTTATCCTCCGCATCTGTAAATGCCTTGCTAATTGGCGGCTTACCTCTGTCCGTCAATGATAATTCAATCTCCAAGAAACCCTGTAATTATTCCTACCTTCTCGCATTTAACAAGTAAACAAAAGATGTTCTACAGAACTGCAAAAAGTATACAGCCAAGCCTGAAAAACGAGGAAAAAGAAAAGAGTTTCTGGCGAAACGAATGATGCATTCCCATCATTATATCCGAATCAGAGTCGCGTCATTAAGTTTGCTCAGTGTTTTTGCATCGATTCTTCTGTCTTCATTCTTCGCTGAGCTCTCTTCTCATCGATTACCCACCAGAATTGTTCCCGTTCCCATTCCCATTCCCCATTCCGAACAAACTGGCTTTTTTATCAATTTCCCTCTGCTTATCCCAGTCGGCATCTCCATTATAATGATTTGCCTGCTAACTGGCCCGAGGGACGTTAGGTGCCAACAAATAACTAGAGTTAGCCGCATCCTCCGGCAATGGCATCAGCCTCAACATCCACGGCAGATCCCCATCAGGTCCCCTTGGAACACTAGCATTGACTTTGACTGCATCATTAGAGACGTGCTAGATTCGCGATCTATCGCTGGCCAAGCGTAATTACCTTCGGAAATTATGGTGCTCGAGAGCTGCAGGCTAGTTCCCTGCCCAATTATGGGGTTACCTATCCCGATCCCGATTCCGATCTCGATCTTGCCTTGCTCTTGCTCTCGGTCCCAATCCCGCAGTCGAATTCACGTCCAAAGTCAGTGTCAAATTAACTGCAATTGGGACGGGGCTCGTTATCTTCTAAGCCAAGTGGCTTAGCTCTCTTCTATTTCGAATCCGATTTAGTTTGAAATTAATGCTTGGATTGAATCCGATCCCCCGAGCTCCAAACTTAAATTGCCCCATTAAAACGAAATTTAAAAATTTCTTTGCCTCGATGAGCTTATGATATCATGGCGTGGTCATTATTCTTATTAGGCAGATGGAAATCTCAGCAGCTCGGACGCATAATAAATAAACCCCCGAAATCTTTTCATTCATAAATCTTCAACGTCTTCTTCTCTTGTCTATCATCAGCCTGATCGGGGCAAAGACTTTGACTTGACTTTGTGTGTGTCTTGCATTTAAATCGCCGGAAATAATTTCATATACGAGCAAAGAACACATAATGATGTGTGTGTGCTCAAACACTGGAACTCTGTTGATGTCTAGGAACCTGTCTATATCCCATATCCCCTATGCCGTATCCCATATCCAATATCCATCCACGACAAGTGCCATAAATGGCCAAGTGTCTAAGAAGGGGTCGTTGGTTGAGTTGAAAAACAAAGTACTCGCACTGGTATTTGTGTTTATCTTTTGAGCCGCTTTGTAAGGGCCAATACACACAGATATGTGTGTACACAGAGATACTTTCCGAGAGGGCCAAGATCTTTGTTCCTCGGCTACCTGATGCCCCGAACCAAAACTCAAATCCGAACCCAAAGTCACTGTCATCTTGCATTGTTCCCAGCCTCGCAGACTTATTTTTACTTTACTTTACTTCTCGGGTCAGCTATTACTCAAGATTCTTCGTCTGTTCATTTCGGACTGACCAGCGGGCTAATTAATGTCATCAGCACCTTGATTCCCCATTTGGGATTTCGTGTAATTAGCCGGCAGAGGTCAGGAACCTCATAAGTGCTCCTGGTCATCATCATCATTATCATCATTGTGATTCACGCGTCCAATTTGGGGTTCCAAAGTTTTGTTCCTCTTTCTTATGGAGTGGGGCCCAACGATGGCTAGCCACTTTTTTGGTAATCCTATTTAATGATGTTTCTGCGATTACGCATGCGATGTCCGCAGTTAAAACCGTTACCGTTTTCGCTGTTTCGGTTACGCATTGCGATTCCAATTGCGTTCGAAATTCACAGATATAGGTAGGAAGGTTCAACAACCTACAGCGAACTTGACTTATAGTTTGATAATCTGAATAGGTCTTATAGCTTATATTTCTTTACCATTGGACTCATTTTAGGATCTTCTAATAAAATTAAAAACTGTTGAAATCTCATTTTCTTGAAACCCTATAGGTCAACGCATTACGACGATCCACTTAGATGGAGTGCAGTACTTCATCAGCCGAATGAACCCCTATTCCCCGGAGCTCAACTACTTCCTGGCCTATCAGTACTGCCGTTCGTTGGGCCTCCAACTGGCCTCCTTTGAGACGAAGGAGAAGGCCGAGTCGATGACCACGTATTTGAAGAATGCCGGTTACGGCAACTACGATTTCTGGACCTCCGGCAATCGCCTGGGCACGGGCATGTTCCTATGGATGAGCACTGGTTTGCCTTTCAATGCCACATTCGATTTCTTTGAGAACTCGGCGGACGCCATCCAGGCCGGTCTGCTGGATCCCGTCGATCATAATAGCAACACCTCTCCCCAGCGCACCGCCCGCGACAGGTAAGTAGTCCTAGTCCAATGAAACACAGAGAAAGCGGTGGTATAAAACGAATTGGTTGTTGAATTTGTAGAGAATCAAAAATAAGATGAGTCAGTTTGAATTTATTGTTAAAGACTTCTATTACTATGGAGACACTTTATGAAATGACTATAGAAAAGATACAATCTCTATAACAAGGAGGTATTCCATCAAACCCATAGAATAACCCCCTTCTCTGTGTCTCTGGCCTCACTTAACCAAACCGATCTACATCGATATCCTCTCCGTTCCGCGTCTCCAATCTACAGCAGCAGTGGCGCCGAGAAGGGATGCGTTATCCTGAAGCAGCCCACGCTCAAGTGGATGCCCGAGGACTGCTCCGCCGTAAAGGACTTCATCTGCGAGCAGACCCGCTGCTACTACTACAACTACGGCAGCATCCCCGTCTCGTCGGCGCAGGGGTAAGGACACTTGACCGCGGAGCCACTCCACCTAACTCCACATAACTCCACAACTCTACCACAATCCACAAAAACACGCAAATCACTGAGAACAGACATTTAGAGCACTGATTGGAGGAGGAACTAAGAATATTGATAATGCAATAAACAAATTATGCTATAATTAACGTTAATTAATTCGCTATACGAGCTGCCCGCCCTGTGGCAAATTAAACAAATGTCCCTAATTAAGTAAAACAAAAACATATTTATACCAGATACCAGATAAAAAAAACTATAAACTGAAACTTAAACTAAAACTTAAACTCAACCCAAATCAAGAGATTACGCAAGGATTATTTAGTTGACCACAAACACACACACACTGAGACACACACACAACACACAGACATTGACAGAGTGCGAATCCGATTTCGGTTCCCAAAACAGAATTTGCAAAAAGAATGAACCAATAGGTGAGCTAAACCCCAAATCGTAACCAATCTACCATAACTACACACACAATCTATATGCATATGTACATCTAAAGACTAATGCGACTTCTTACTAACGCCACTCCAAGTTCTATAAGCCATACCAAAAAAAATGGGTGGCCGAAACTCTACTCAATCCTGATTGAAACTTTAAAGATCCAAAAAATATCGACCAAAAGAACACTACCTTGTAGACGCCAATGGGATGACCAGAACAAAGAAAGTTAATGCAATTTTAAATGTCAGGAGCCTTAAGATATTAGCAAAGAAGAAGAAACAATCTTTTTTCATAGAAATGTAAATTCAAAAATCCTTTTTTAAAGACCCATCTATAACTTTTCTTTATAATAGGCATTTTTAAAGGACTTGGTTTTTAACTCCATACAAAATTATACTTGTTTTTTGACCATAATAATATACTTAAAGTAAAGTGTTCGATATTTTAAATGACAAAAGCTAAAAGTTAGGAAAGTTGAAGTGATATTTCCTATAAGATTGCATTGGCTTTTGTGGAACATCCCATATGAGCGCCAGAAATGTATTTTGTTTGGTGGTTTGGGGCTTAGCTTCCTTAGATGTTGTATCGCTCTCGTTGCTGTCGTTGTTGTTGCTGTTGTCATGATGATTTTGTGTTCAACTAACTAACTTTAGGCTAAGCAACTTTCGCACTAACCTCGCCCTAGAACCGCCCACGAATCAGAGATTACCGACTAAAACTTTTATTGTTATTTCTCCACGTCGTTGTTGTGCGATTTAGGCGTCCCATCACCTCGACCACTCCCAGGACTCCAGCCTCCCTGATGAACCTGCATGTGGCCGCCACCACCACCCCGTTACCCCTGTTAATGTCCACCAGTGGAGCTATGTACACCGCCGCCAAGGCCAAATCCTCGCCAGCTGTGGGCCATCGTCTGATCGATGATTCCAGCTCCTCCCAGCAGCAGCCTTCCTTCATGTCCTTCAAACTGAACCACGATCGCTCTCTGCCGGATACGGACTCCGCCGATGTGGATGTGGAGGATCAGGAGCACGATGACCACGAGGTTGAGGAGGAGGGCGAGGAGGAGCACGAGGAGCATGAGAACTTCGAGGAGCATGCCCGCGAGTTGGGCAACGATGGGGATATCAAGGAGCACGTGTTTCCCCTGAGCGACAACGAACTCCATCCCGAGATGCATTCCATTGAGGAAGTGCAGCAGCAGTTGCAGCATCAGGATCAGGACCAGGGTGAGGACACGGAGGCGGACTCTGCGCCATCTCCTGCGGCGGCTGAGGAAAACGAGAGTTCGCAGCACGATTCGGAGGCGGACGGGGAGCACGAGCTGGAGGCTGAGGGCGAGACCGAGCCGGAGAACGAGTCTCCGGTGGCTCCCGTTCAGGCCAGCGAACCCTTGATCCTCCCCAGCTCCACGGAATCCCCGGCTGCCGCCATCGAGGAGCGTATCAAGCAGATCGCCCAGGACTTCCAGAAAATGGCCAGCTCCCAAGAACTGCAGCCCAAGGAAGAGCTAACGCCCCAGTCCTCCCTGTCCCTCAACGATCTGATACGCACCCTGCGGCCCAACGAGCAGCAGATCATCCCGCAGATCGACTCGGACTACTCCAATGCCATGCGAGTCCTGGGCAAGCCGCTGGGGGCCAACAACTAGGCCACCTCCCACTAACTTAAGTTGTGTGTGTGTTTTGGGTCGGGGGCCTATATCATCTATCCAGGTTGTCCCGGTTCCACTGAGGAATGGCCATTTTCGAGAGCCGGCCGGACATGTCCGAAAATGACGCTTCTCTCTGAGGACCCCGATGCCCACAGATGACCCCGCTGAAATTAACGATCCAGCAAGAGATTAAAGGAGCTAAGACATTAATCTATATATAAATATAAATATATATGTATTGTATGCTTTAATTGTATGACAACCACCACAAAAAAGGAAACTCTTGATTAATAAACGTAATAAGTAAATAAGCTGATGGGATTTTAAATGGAGCTAGTGGAGCAGGGGATTAGCCCTTACGGATATAACTATGAGGTGACACTCTTTCTAGTGAATGTTTTGTAATTCAAATATCTAGGGATGTAATTCTGTTTTTATGAGCTACGTGAGGAGGCATTAAGGCACTAAGCTATCATGGGTTCCTCAAGAAAAGCCCCAAAGTGAAATTATCTTTCTTTCAATCACTCGAAAAGCAGTAAAGTATTCAATAATAGATTATAATCCTCAAAGGCACTGGCCTTCTGAAGATATATCTCATAACGGCTCGTCTTGACCATGGCCCCAGCGCAAGACATAAACAAGTCCGGGGGATTTATTTGGCTTAGTCGAAACGAAGATGAAAGCCAATAATCGTAAATTAACTGCTAAGGCTCTAAAAACTGAAGTGTGTGCCGTGGAATTTTATTGCACTCCGAAAGCCAGCGGCCAAAGAATAAATAAAATCCTCGGTGGGCTTACATCACGATGCCCATGTGTCCATGTCCGTGTCTGCATTCAAATCTGCAAATCATCTTTCTTAATTTAAAGAGGATTCCGAGACGCAGACGCATCACATCAAGTTTTATGTGTGTCGGTGTCGTTCAACAATTGGATGAAGATGAAGATGGAGATGGGAGTTGAGACTTGGGACTTTGGCCGCAGCACACACATTAACCAGAAGATCCAAAGGGGCCCCTGCCCAAGATCCTACACTTAGAAAAATTGAGATCGAAAAATGCATAATCAAATGTTCTAAACTTAATAGTTTTTCTTCTTACTTATTCGAGAAGAACCCTTATTTACGAAAGTACAGTAGATATAATAATAATGTTATTGTTATTTACGAAAGTACTGTAGAGTTTGTTTTACGAGATGAAGCGATCTCCTAATAGATATAAAAGTAGTCTCGAGAAGAAAGTAGTTTTAAGGGTTCAAGATTTCATCGAAACATTTCAGCTCTGAATAATTTGGAACTACAAAAAGCCAAGCTTAAATGTTTATCGTTTTCAAACCGTTTTTTTTTCTGAGTGTACCCTTCTCCCATCCCTGCCCACCTGCTGCTCCATCTTGGTCTTGGTCTTCATCTTCATCCTCATCTCGAGCTCCACCTTCGCGCATGCGCAGACGACTGACTTCGTTTGAAGTTCTGTTGACTGATGTTGTTGTTGCTGAAAGTGGTTAATGAAAGAAGCACACACAACTAAATGCGTATATAGAGGCATACCTATATGGTATATGCCAGCAGCAGATGCCAAGACAACCTTGAAATGTATAGCAGGGTCCAACGAACGAATATAAAAAAGGTTCTTTGGTTCTTGCTCTTGGTCTCTATATTTTCTTTTTTTGTACTTCAAGAAGCTCCAAGAACACCCGAGAACAGTAAGTAACTGCTAACTGGGAATGCCCCAATCTGGATGAATCTCTGGGAGAATCGCGGCAGCAGCTCCAGAAAGCAAAAGTGCTTGATATAGGGGTTATTTTTAAACAGCCAGTCTTTCAAGTGCACAAATTATTCAGTTGCACTCACACCCGGAAGTTTCGGAAGTAAACGCTGGAGAAAGTTCCGACTTGGGGGTATTATATAAAGGAATATCAGCTGAATCCAGAATCATCAGTGCAAGCCCAACAGTTGCCTTGAAAACCATATTCCATATCGCTTACAAGCACACAATGAAACTAATCCTGATTCTGACTTTCCTGGCGACTTTGGCTCTTTCTCTGGCTTTTCCCCAGGTGGGACATGGATCTGTTAATGGACCCAGTGGGGTGAGCATCTCAAAAACAGATTTTAAATGAATTACTCACGACTTATATAATTTTAGCGCTTTCCTATGACTAAAAATTGGGCTCAACCTCCGGTGGATCTGGGAAAACCCATTATCTTCTTGCGAGAGGCCACTCCCATTCATGAAGCCCAGGAATCGCGACCGGGACAGATCAGACGTCGCAAGAGTGGATAGATTCCTAGCAATACTACTATATTAATTTGTTGAATTTGTTGAAAAATTTAAGAAAGTTAAATCCTTATAAATATAATTTGTTGTGTTCATAAAAAGATTATTTAGTCAGTTGGGGTAGGCCTTGGGAATTTCAAACAACTATCTTAAAAATGTTTTACAAAACATTTACTTTGGTTTAGTTTACTTAGACATCTGGCATCAGATCGTCATCTTTAATATAAATTTATATTTTTTTTAAATATTAAAAAAATTATAGCTATGGCAAAAAGTTTTTTTTGGTTTGTAGACTAATTGAATTTGCATGGTAGCGCAAACAAGGCAGTCCCTGAGCCTATAAACTGCCGGTATTAAAAACCACAAAATATGTTCCTTAGCTTATAATATTGATAAATTGCTTAAAAAAAGATGAAACCAGTTTATTTTGCCTCCATTTGTGCCGTAATAAATTATGATCTTAAATTAAACCACAATTTTTTTTATTGCTTTTGGTAATACAAAAAAAAAAGCGATATAAAAATACCTGCTAAACTGTGATTAATTTGAATAATTTAAAGCAATATTGCAATATATACAACAAGTGAAACTAAAACTCGGAAAGTGATTCTTTATTACTCAGTAGAAAAAATCCGAATCTACATACTGGAGAATCTATATATTTATTTACATACTGTTTGCTTAAAGCTAAAAACTAAAGCAACAGCGATAGACAGCCATAGCTACATAGGCATTAGGATACTAGAGAATCTATTGTTTTATAGTTAAAATGTAATATTTCATTCGCAGCTGGCGGTTTGCTACATTTCCGTATCAAACTCTGTCCCTTGACCATTCACGCCTAATCTTCTAGCTATTTAGTTTATATATGTAGTAAGCAAATTAATTTGTTTAAACTATATATGTGTTTTTGACTTTGGTTCACCTGTGAATGCCGTAAAGTTTTTACGACTTTAATTAAGATACAATACTATTTATCCTGTGTTTCCGGTATGCAATTTCTGAAAGTTCTCAAAAAGGTTTCTAAAAAATTGGCATTTTAATAAAAGCTTCTTTTCTTGTCCTATACCCAATTGGGTTTAGAGGATTTGCAAGGGTAGAAGGTACGCTCTTTCATTAATATGGCTCCTTAATACAAATATTGAAATTAGATTCTAACAATCTCGGGACCCATAGCGATAGCGATAATCTGAAAGCCAAGTCTTTTACGGGAAAGGCATCAACAACGACTTAACCTGCACCAATTACGGGGTATTCCCCCCTTCCTGGTCGATAAATGGATGGAAACTTATGCCAAATTGCACATGAGTATCATACCGATTAGTACCTTGCTCGCATGTTACCTAACACCTCCTAAGTTTCTTGTTTTTAATAAATATTCATATTCTATTCTGGAATCGGAAATCGGAGCTTAAACTTACTTACCATCTGTTTTAGGTACCTGACACAAGATAGCCAATTTATTTTATGAATATACACAACATTAAAAACAATCATTTCCATTTGCTCTATGGCCGCTATAAATAAGCTGAATATAAATATTCATGTTTGTTTTGACATAATTACCTTATGGTCACCCAATTTCGCTAAAAACAAAAACCTGTATTCTTAGATATATGGGGGAACCCCCAAGGGAAGCGAAAGAAGTCTACTTATCTATTTACATCTGAAATTCTTCCGAGAATCGGTCAAATTTACTTTATAGGGCGGCTACTGTTTTCTGTTTATTTTAAAATATTTGAAGCTAAAAGATATCGATTTAGTTTGATATAAAACGTTAATATGTGTTAATTGGTGTAGGTTTTAATATGCATGCAAAGACTAGCTTTTGATGGCGGTTTTTGTTTAAAAGGAATAATAAGTAGAGAAATACATTAGTTAGTCACGCCTCTGTTTAAAAATGTTTCTATAAAAGGTCGGACATATGATGATTCCAAAAACTTTGTTCGAAGTCCATCGTCCAGTAAGGTTGGTTGACTTATTTGATTTACAATCCGTATGATTGATAAAGATCCTGTATTAACGGTATTTTGATTTAGTGGAAACGGAACTCAAGCGTGTTAGGATTTTAAAGATGCATTTTTGCCCCCGTGCAGTTAAGATAATAACGTAATACTTAATTTACTCGAATTTGTCAACGGGTTTTCGGTCGAGTTCCGGTTTTTCCTGAAACGATACGTTGTCAAAAAGCGACTTTGAAAGGGATTAAGAGTGCTAATTGCAAACGGGAATCCGTGAGACAAAATAACAATGCACCCAGATAGAAACATCGAAACGCGTAATTATTGCTGACATAAGAGCCAACTAGTCAAGATGTATATTCCTTTTTTTATTATTCGTGTATTTGGTGTTTAAGTATCTGCTCCAAACTAGATTTAGTTCTAATTTGTTCAGAGCTCTTTTATTTATATTCTATATTCTGTATTCCGTACCATCTTACATAGAGCTAATGAAGCAAGACGAGTTCCCGAACCACTCGGCGAATATCGCCACATATAGCACACATCTGTATAATCAACGCGTTTCGATTTCTGTATAATTCCGAGTCACTGGACTTGGGGTTTATGGATTTGATTGGTTCGGGTGGGGGCGAGGTTGGCCAGTTTAAAGCCTGAAACTCAATAGTCTATTAGCTATATAAGCTCTGTCCGCCGGTCAAGCCAAAAACATTTGTGTGGACCGTGTGAGCGCGTAAGGTTAGTCTATTAGGGAGAAGTTGCTCGAAAAGCGGTGCTTACTATATAATACTCGACTGCATTGGCTGATAAGCATTAAATATAATTATTACAACGTAAAGATCAGCCGTAATTCCCCGCTCTTAATAGATCGTCGTAAGCTACGTTAATCATGGAAAACCAGTTGGAACCGCTTGGACTTAATCATCGATCAATCGTTTTTTTCGCAGATCAGAATGAAGCTTCTTTTGGTTCTTCCACTTCTGGTGGCTGCGGTCTCGGCACAATTCGGAGGTTTCGGTGGAGGCAGATTCGGAGGAGGACTTGGGGGAGGTCTTGGTAACCTGGCCAACAATCGCGCGGGGGGAGCTCTACAAAATGCAGCCGCCGGCATTCAGGGTGCTGTGAGCAACATTGCCAGTGCTGTGCCCAAAGTGCCTTTCCTAACTAATGTCCAGAGCTTCGGTGACTTCTTGGTGAGATGTGCAGGATGTCCCCCCTAAATAGATTACTTAAATAGGTATCCATTACAGTCCCAGTCCGGAAAGTCCTACCTCAATGCCGCTGATCAGGCTCTCCACGAGGCCGCCTTTTCGACCACGAAGAATCTGGTGGACGCCGGTAACGAGGCCTTCGCCCGAGGAACCGCCTCTTTCAAGCAGGCTGTGAATGCATTTGCTGATCTGACCCACGGCGAGTTCCTGAAGCAGTTGACCGGTCTGAAGAGGAATCCAGCAGCTAAGTAAGTGTGCTCCCTGCCCTTATACTTTCGGTCAACGATTCTATAACCGCCAATCACGCCCACAGAGCTCGTGCTGCCGCCAGCTTGAAGGAGGTGAGCCTGCAGCCAGGACCCGTCCCGGATGCCTTCGATTGGCGTGAGCATGGTGGTGTCACCCCTGTGAAGTTCCAGGGAACTTGTGGATCCTGCTGGGCCTTCGCCACCGTCGGAGCCATCGAGGGTCACACTTTCCGCAAGACGGGAAAACTTCCCGTGCTCTCAGAGCAGAACCTGGTGGACTGTGGTCCCGAGGAGGACTTTGGCCTGATTGGCTGCGATGGCGGCTTCCAGGAGGCCGCCTTCTGCTTCATCGATGAGGTCCAGAAGGGCGTGTCGCAGGCTGGAGCTTATCCCTACATCAACAACAAGGACACCTGCAAATACGACGGCAGCAAGTCGGCAGCCCAGCTCCAAGGATTCGCCACCATTCCGCCCAAGGACGAGGAGCAAATGAAGAAGGTGATTGCCACCCTGGGACCCGTGGCCTGCTCGGTGAACGGCCTGGAGACCCTGAAGACCTACGCCGGGGGCATCTACGACGACGATGAGTGCAACAAGGGCGAGCCAAACCACTCAATCCTCGTCGTGGGCTACGGATCCGAGAACGGAAAGGACTACTGGATCGTCAAGAACTCATGGGACGTCGCCTGGGGCGAGAAGGGCTACTTCCGGCTTCCTCGCGGACAGAACTACTGTTTCATAGCTGATGAGTGCTCCTATCCACTTGTTTAAGGAGAAAATTTATTGTTAAGTGCCATCAGTCTTGTGAAATGTTATGTTACATCAGTTTCTTAAATAAAATAAAGTAATAATACTACTCGTTGTATTTAAAATGTAATTATGCCCGTTACTCGTAGAGTAACAGGTAGAAGGAAGCGTTTCCGACCCCATAAAGTATATATTTTCTTGATTAGGATCCCTAGCCTAGTCAATCTAGCCATGTTTATGTGTTCTCATGAATACCTTTCGATTGACACAAAAAATAGTTTGGCACGCCCACTTTAACGCCCACAAGCCGCCCCAAACTGGTCACGCGAGTATGCCACGCCTATACTATCCATCACTTTTAGGAAAAGTAATATTGTCACCCATTTTCGCAATGTTCTTATATTATTTCGCTCAATGGCAGTCAAAATTCTTAATTTTTTTGGTCGAAATGGTAACTGAAATCGAAAGTTTCCCGACAAATTTAATCAAAATTCCCTACAATCAAATTTAAAGTCGATAGAAATTATATTTTCAAAATACCTCATTTGCTGGAAGAGAAAACTGCCAAATAGGTGGATTTCTTAATTTCAGACACCAGGCGAACATAAACGTTTAGCATGTGTAGAAACGATCAGCTGATCAGTTTAATCACAGCTCACTTGGAGATGACCTCGTGATTGCCTCCTCTTGGCACGGCCTAAGCAAATACATAGGACTTATATTGTATTTCGTGTATATCGTGACAAGCTCGTGATACGGCCATGGTTGCTCATCTCTAGTCTGCGCCTAGCTTTCAACCTAACAGTCCTTTCTCATGAATATCGATTTCTATTGGTCAGTAGTGTAGGGGAAATATGGAAAGGGCCGCCATTTTGAATAATAACGGTTCTATAAGTTAGCTTATAGCTACCAACTGTCCCTTGCTATAATTTCTGTTTGCCTGGTGTCTGAGAGCCACAAATCCAGCACATCGACTGAAAAAAGTGTTACGAAGCCCTTCAATATGTTGAAGAAAATTAGTGATTTCGCAATTTCAAACACCAGGTGAACAGGAAAATTCGTAGGTCGCCAACAATTAGTTTTTAAGGCCTATTTAGAGGTGTGACACTTCAAAATATGTGGGAGCTTTGTTTCCGATCAAGCGATTGCCCATCTCTAGTCTGCTTGTACAAAACTAACGGTTGTCTTCCAGTAAGAAAATGTTAGCGCCCAGCAGCCACTTGCTACGGATTATGGGGGCCTGGTGTCAAAGATCAGGAAACTAAATTTTAGACCTTGCTGAAATGTAAATTTATAGAAATCATAAATCCAAAACGACTTATTTGCGTGTCGAGAAAATTGTCAAATTGATAGATTTCTTAAATTCAGACACCAGGCGAACATAAACGTTTAGCAGGTGGATAAACGATCAGCTGATTTGTTTAATCGAAGCTAATTGGAGATGCCCCCGTGACTGCTTACTTTTGGCACGGCCTATGCAAATGCATAAGATTTCACTTTTATTTCGTGCATATCGTGACCAGCTCGTGACACGGCCCAAGTTGCGCATCTCTACTTTGCGCTTTGATCTCGACTAACGGTTGATTCCCATGGTGATAGATTCCTATTGGTCAGTAGGAGAAGGGGAAATATGGAAAGGGTCGCCATTTTGAAAAGTAACAGTTATTTAAGTTCACCTTTAGCTACCAGCTGTCACCTGCTAAGTTTTCTGTTTGCCTGGTGTCTGAGAGCCATAAATCCAGCATTTTGACAGAAAATATGTTAGGAATCCTTTTAATTTATTAAAGTAAATTATCGAGCGCCGAAATGTAGGCATAAAATATGTTTATGTTTCTTTGGTCAGATTTTAAAGCTTGCTGTTTTCAATTCCAGTCGATAGGGAATTTAATAACGAGTTCAACGGTGATAACATTCCTTATTCTAAAACTATTTCGCGCAATGGTAATCATAATTCCTAATTTTATGGCTGAAATATAAAATTTTGATTTTATGAAAAAATTCGCTTTTTTCTTAGCTTTCTATACCCGTTCCTCGTAGAGTAAAAGGGTTTACTAGATTCGTCGGAAAGTATGTAACAGGTAGAAGGACCGTATAAAGTATATATGTACATATGTGCTTGATCAGGATCACTAGCCGAGTCGATCTAGCCATGTCCGTCTATCCGTATGAGCACTATGTTTTCGGAAACTATAAAAGCTACAATAAATTACTAAATGGAAAATATCAAATTGACATTGAATGAAAAGCTAGCACGTACATCTTTCTATTTCAAGTTTCACAAAATATTTGATAAATAAAATCATTAGTAAACAAGATTTTTTAATCTGTATAATTGCAACGGAAAACTCCAGTCAGATTTGAAAATGTCAGTTTGTTTTGATAAATGGTACTTAAATTGTATCTTGGAAACTGAAATGGTATTTATTTTAAGGTCGTGTGGTATTTTTTATCGTTATCGGTGCGGTCACGCTGCAGACAACAATAATAGAAATAAATTAAATCAATTGGCGAATTAAACTATATTAGGCGCGGCGCGACGAAGGGAATTTGATGAGCAGCAGACGGGGATTGCCGTGACGAATGGCGGCAGTGCGTCCCATGGAAGGCCACCGCGCAACAGTGTTCCTGCAGGTGTGTCCGCATCAAAAGCGACGTTCTGATCAGAAGAGAAGAGCCCAGCCCACTTTTGGGAAAGTGGGCGTTGTCACCAGACCGCGAATCTAAAGCCCCGGATCACCTGTCTCTCTGTCCCATTGTAGCATTGTACCATTGTCCCATTGTGTGTGTGCTAATCGAGGTCTCCCCTTGGCCCCTTCCTTTCCAGAAATGTGCGCGATAGAGCATGTGCATTGCGACTAATCCAAAGAGTCCCCCTGTGGTCATAACGCATTTAATAACCAACCCAGCCGCAAAGGCTCGATTCACCAGAGATCCTCGAGTGTCCTGCACCCCGTCCCCCTAACCCTATAGCCCCACCCCAATCATGGACGAAGACATCCTGAACGCTGTGGAGTCGCTGTTCGGAAAGGATGTGAAGATCGTGGACTGCGAAACCTCGTCCTCGCTGCAGCAGGAGGAGGTGCTGCTGGTCAACGGAGTGCCCGTCAAGCTGGATGGCCTGCCCGCGGATGATGCCAGTGCCATCAAGGCCGCTCTGCTGGAGGGACAGATGCCCTCGGTGGAGCACTTAAATCAGCTGCTCTTCCGCGCCGGTTTGGCCCAACAGCCCATCGAGGTAGAGACCTCGTTAACTGTGAAATCCTCCCTCACCACTACGGAGGAGGTGCTGGTTTCCCGTAACGGACAAATCCTGGACGAACGCACAGTGGAGACCAAGGAAAACTTTAACCACCAGTCGCACCAAAAGGAGATCTGGCATCCTGTTAAGCAGCATTCGGCCTTGGCTCGCGCCACTCCCGAAAATGCCCTCAAATACCGAACCACTTCGAATTCCACGTTTGCCTCGCAGGCCACGGACTCGGACGATCGTCCAGCTGACCCCTTGGGCCGCCAGCTAAACCAAACCTTCTCGAATGCTTCCCTTATGTCCAGCAGTTCGGCCATCACTGGATCCGATCAGGTCATTGGATCCGTTTCATCCACCACTATAGGAGACAAGAGCTCGAATATAAGTAGCTGCGACTCCGGCCACGACGGCCTCTTCCACAGCGTGTCCATGAGTGCGCCCTGGTCACATCCTCGTGACACTTTGACCGACTCCCTGTACTGCGATATCCCTAGCTCGGCAGATGAGGCGGATGCGGTTTCTATCCTAGTAAGTTCTATAGGACTTGTTATTTACTGATTGACTAATCTTTTGCTTCGTCAAGAACACCCACTTGCAGATCACAGAGCTAGCAGATTGCCAAACAGCGCCAGTTTACACCAAAGACATGCCCAGGCAGGGCAGCCTGGACTCGCTAGTCAGTCTGCTGATCAATGGCCACGATGCTGATGTGCAGTTTGCCTTTTTGACCTCTGCCCGATTGTTTTTGCCACCAAATGAGCTGCTCTCCAAAATCATTGCCAAGAGCCAGGGAAAGGAGGACAACCTGATTCGACTGCTAAGCCACTGGTTCATCATTTGTCCCAGCGACTTTCGCCACGAGTTGCTGCTGCACGAGCTGGAGAGGAAGCGTGAGGTCAAGGGAATGACAGCATTTTTAGATGGCATTCCCCAATCTCAGGCACAAAGAGCCGAAAAGGGACGAAGCCAACTACAGTATCTGCTCACCAAGCAATCCTCGGCCAGCTCCTTGGGACGTCAGAGCAGTATTAAGTCACTAAAACGCTTTGCCGCCAATGTCTACAAAACGGACAATGTGCTCAACAACTGCAACAGTGCATTTGAATTGGCTCACCAACTGTATGCCGTTGAGTACGCCTATCTGTCACAAATACGCGTGGAGGAGTTTGTTGAAATACTGGAAAAGGATGAGCTTAAGTCGTGCATGAGCCAAACCAAGGCGGGCACCTTGGGCTCCAATTGTCTAAGCCAGGTGACAATCGACAGCTATGTGCAGTGGTTTAACCAGCTGAGCTGCTTGACTGCCACCGAAATAGTGAAGGTGAGGGTAGTAAAACATAATTAAAATAACGAAAAATGTAAAATTTTGTTACCCTTAGCTGGGCAAAAAGTCTCAGAGAGCACAAATGATCGACTTCTGGGTGGAGACAGCTCTGGAATGCTTTAACACGGGCAACTTCAACAGCTTGATGGCCATTCTAACAGCATTGAATCTTAATGCCATAGCTCGCTTAAAGAAAACGGTGAGCTTTTTAACTATCAATTTTGTGGCTTATTATGACCAAGTTCATTTTAGTGGGCCAAAGTGCAGACAACAAAGTTCGAGGGCTTAGAGCATCAAATGGATCCCAGTTCGAACTTTCTGAACTATCGATCCACCATGAAGGCAGCTGTTTGGCGTTCGGAAAGGGAAAAGGCCAACAAAATTGAGCGTGCCATTATTCCGTTCTTCTCGCTGTTCCTCAAAGACTTGCATGCCATCAACGAGAGCCATGAAACGAAGTGAGTTTGCCTTCTGGTTAACACAAAATGATGTGAAATAACAAATAGCCATTTCAGATTGGTCAACGGAAACCTGAACTTTGAGAAGTGCCTCCTCTTGGGCACGCAGCTGCGTAACTTCAGCAAATGGCAACGACTGGACTGTCCCTACGAGCAGCTGCCCAATGTGGTGTCCTACCTTTTAAAAGCGGAGGTGCTAGCCGAGGATCTTTTAATGAAGGCCTCCTACGAGTGCGAGCCACCCGAGAACGGCGAGGAAAAGGATCACTACAAGACGCTGAAGGCCACGAAGAAATCGAACACATAATCACCAATCATTAACGACAATCTTCGGGATAGTGCAACATAATATACAATGCAATAAGTCTTGCACACTTTCGTTGGCGTTCCATTCTCACATCTTGCATTTGTATCGCGATAAAACAGTAACAATAATAACTCTTACACTTCCATTGTGTTTGTTAATTTGTACTTAAGCTTAGACGACGGTATATATTTATTTGCGAGCGATTTATATATACAAGTGACGGGCATTTAATTAGAAACACCAAAAATATGCATACAATTACTAAAGTAATGTTTTAAATGTTGTATTCTAGCAGTTATATACCCCGAAAAATACATAAAAATAAAAGACTTCGAATAAGCCACGAGTATTCCTCATCGGATGGTGGCGAACTTTTGGAAATCGACCGTTCCGAACTTTCCAAAGAGCTCCAAGGGATAGTGCTTTCCCTCGACAGGAGCATGAATGCGGATTTGGCGCATGTGGGTGTCCCTGCCGTTCTGGTGGTTGGAGATCACAGCGATCTGCAGCATGAAGGTGCGAATCGACTTGACATTCCCATCCTTGATGGGTATCTGCACCCAGCCAGTGGGTTCGGTGAGGTCCATCACCTGAAGCTCCTGCAAGTCGTTAAAGTTGGTTCCAGATCGTATGGAGATCCTCGATGGTGTGTAACTCTCGTCCAGCTTGTAATCCGTGTATATGTAGATCTGGCTGATATTCGTTCGCTTGTGGAACTGGATGTTTACCAGGTGAGGTAGCTGTCCATCTGACTGCCAATAAGTGTCCATGATATTGTCCCGCAGACGCTCTACGCCAAATCCTGAACGGGCAAGGTCTTGGATTACTTTCTGGACGGGATTCTTAAAACTAAACTTACCCGGCTTGCAAGAGGACAGACTCCAAACTGCCTGGGCGCCCACTTCGCGCACAAAACCCAGGCGCTCCTCTGCCAGGGGATCCTCCTCATTGCTGGGCAGGGGATTGGCGGATATATCCTCATCCATGGAGGCTGCCATTGCAGCAAATGTAATCTTAAAACTTTGTCCCAAAATGTATTCAACAAAAACCGCTGAAAGACGCACAAATCAGCTGTTTGCTTTGGCGGTATATTAAATTTTCCTTCTTTGGTCACACTGCGCGGCCCATGTGTGTTTTTAGACAACAATAACTGAAAAATTATTAAAAATGGTTCGTAAACTCAAGTTCCACGAGCAGAAGCTGCTCAAAAAGGTGGACTTTATCACATGGAAGGTTGACAACAGTGGCAAGGAGAACAAGATCCTCAGGCGCTTTCACATACAAAAGAGAGAGGATTACACCAAGTGAGTTTTCACCGGAAAGTATACACTTCGCACGGAATACAATATTCTTGAAACCTTTCTAGGTACAACAAGTTGTCCAGGGAGATAAGGGAACTGGCCGAGAGGATAGCCAAGTTAGACGCCTCAGAGCCCTTCAAGGTGGAGGCCACCACCATGCTCCTGAACAAACTGCACGCCATGGGAGTCTCCAACGATCAGCTAACTTTGGAGACGGCGGCCAAGATATCCGCCAGTCACTTTTGCCGCCGTCGACTGCCCGTGATCATGGTGAAACGTGAGTGTTATTTCCAAGTCTCACTAGAACTCCTAATAACCAAACGTCTTCCCCTGACAGTGCGAATGTCGGAGCACCTGAAAGCCGCCACAGACCTTATTGAACACGGTCATGTTCGTGTGGGTCCCGAAATGGTAAAGGATCCCGCCTTTTTGGTTTCCCGAAACCTCGAGGACTTCGTCACCTGGGTTGATGGCTCCAAGATCAAGGAACACGTACTCCGATACAATGATTTGCGTGATGACTTCCAAATGTAAACCCTATTTTTAAGATTCCCAAATAATTGATAACTAGAAAAACTAATAAAACCAATTGCACCTTTGTTAAATAATCATGTTCAATAACTTTATTACATTTTATATAATAATGTTTAGATCTCATTAATATTCATTATTAAGGAGCGAATTGCGCCAAGGGCACAGCTGCGCCGACACGCACATACATATACATATTTATTTTAACCTGATCCCCCGAATTTCACCGATCTGCTCGGAATCATTCCATAATGGCGGTTCATAGTTGGATTATGTTCTATTAGTTTTTGTTTTACCCTCACTTCGCTATCTAACGTCAATCGTTTTGAAATACATGCGGCGTGTGAAATACCTTTCAGATATTAGAATAATATCGGTTTTGTAAACAAGTGAGAGAGCCAGCGGATTTACGCAATAAATTATAAGATAGCAGCGTGGATTGATCGATCGCTTTATTTATAAAACAGGATGAGTGTAGGGTGTTAGGGACTAAGGTGCAAGCAGGTGCATCGAACGGTTGAGCAATCTAAAAAGTGATCATTGAACAAAGTTAAAAGTAAGGTCGATGGCAGTTACACAAGTCAATTCCAGCCAGCCTCAACATAGGAAGCAAATGCATTCGAAAGGGTTCTCTAATCGTTAGGAGTGCAATACAATTTGTGAATTTTTTTTTAGAGTCTGACTGCTCGTCGTGCATCTGACTTTGCAAAAGAAATCTAAAAGAACAATGGATTTCCGTTTCAGCAGTCAAAAGTCTTTTTCTGGTTGTATAGATATAGATATCTTTAAATATTAGTTGTATTATTATTCCTTTTTAAATACGCATAAAAAGTAAGTATTAATTAGTGTTAAAATAAATAGCTAGTGGCATTAAAATTAGTTTCGACTTTGGCTGCGGCCCATACACGATTTCATATCCGCCTGCCTAAGGCAAAGAAAAATTTCACATGAATAACTTCATAACAATATAAAACAAATTAATAAAAAGGATTTTCTACATTTGTTCCTCATACTCGTCGTTCAGCGGAGCGTTCTGTTTGCAAACAAAAATACATTCATTCAAAATTCCATTACATTCTTTTGGCTTTCGAGTGTGCTCTGCTGTGTTATTTCTACTTGTTATCTGTATCTGATCTGTTCCTTGTTTACATTTAGATGGTTCTCCTACTGTTTCAGGCTTGCGTGAACAATAAATTCTTAGGCTGGATATATGCATTTATATTCAAAATAAATATTCAATCGCATTGTATTAATCACTACAATATTTTCCGTAAATTCCGTTTTCTTGTCCTTCAAACATGTGCAAATAGTAAGTAGCCGTATATATGCCCCGATGAACACCAAAACCCGCGATCTACAGAATAACTTTCGGTATATGTTTTGTTATGTTTCCATAGATGTCTTAATGCGCAAACTTGTAGAATAGTGTTGTTCCGACCAAAACGGCGCCAGGCGCCCGTTGGCCCAACCGCTCCACCGCCTCCTCTCTGCATCCGAGTCGATGGACGCCGTCAAAAATACCCTGCCCGCCGCTTAGATAACAAGCGCCATGTCCTTTTTGCTTGGCAACTGCACCCGCTTGCCCTGCCACAGGGAATTGTGTATTGTAAAGGCGTCTATGGTCACCGTCAGATGCTTTGTGTGCACTTGCGAGAAGCACTTGCCTCCTGAGTTGTATCTGCAAGAAGGGGATGTTTTGGGCTTACCAAGTCCCATAAGAAGGAACCTTCTAGGATCACTTACTTGAAGAACTTGTCGAACATCACTTCGTCGACTTGACTAGGCCCAGTGCCATACAGCTTCGTTACCTGGTCCGTTTCGGGCTGGTAGCTGTAGAGGGCGCGGAACTGGCAGCCCGCATCCCGGAAGAGTACCAGAAAGTGCTTCGCCTCCGAGCGAGCAATCTTCTCCAGCACTTTCTGTTTGGCCTCGCGGTTGACAACGCCGGGGAAAACGCAGTATTCAACGGCGTTCAGGATAATCCCACGATTCGATTTGGCCGCTGGTTGTTTATAGAGTTTAGGACCTGGGAATGCAAGTCAGACAAAGCTAGAGCACTCGAAAGTATAATCGTACACTTTTCTACTTTTTGGTGGCAATGGCAAGCTTCTAAATAGTAAATTCTTCTAGTTAATTGTTTAAAATGCAGGCTACGTACAAGATTAAATACTAAACATTGGATGAATCTACGGGATCCACAGTTTAGATACTTGGAAATACTATATAACATATTAAAATTCATTTTTCAAAAGAAAACAAAAAACTTTTTCACAAAATGTAATGAAATTATAAATTAAATGCAGCCTGTCTTAAGTTTCTATTACATACAAATAAACTAAAAACTTAAAAGCAAAATATTCAAAAACAAATAAAAACTTAACAATAGTGCTTGCAATTTTGTTTTTAGTATTGCAAAGTGAAGCTGTTAATCGGGCCAATCTGGATTTATGGATTAGAAAGCTCTTGCGGTGTTTTTAAATCACTAAGAACACATTTTTTGGGATACATTTGACCATCGAAAGTCGTGGATTTGACGACGCTAGGGAAAGTAACAAGTAGACAAACGAAGAATCGGATTCTACAGACTGTCGCAGCCCTCTAGAATTTGTATATCTATGTAGAACTCATATGTATGTCGAATAAATAAAATGCACTCTGCACAAAGTATGCCAATTCGTAATGAATGAACAAACGGAAATACAATTAAACTGAAAACTTTAAAATCATAATGATGCGTTCCAACTTAGGTAGTACTGATGCAAGTGATGACCAATGGTGTATGGATTGGTGGAAGGTGATTATATAACTGAGGGTTGATTTGAAGTATTGGTATGGCATGTATGGTTTGGTTTTGTTTGTTTTTTTTTGGAAGACGAGAGAGAGAGGATACAAACCCGAATATTCCATGTTCAAATTCGGAGTTAAAGAGAAATCGCTGGATCCATCATCAAATCCGCGACGTTTCGATATCAAACCTGGCGGCAAAGAGCCCGGTCCGGAGGGAGATGGCATATGCCTACCTGAAGCGCCCATTCCCATTCCAGGCGACGGAGCACGCCTCGGCGGAGTGGCGCGTCCCAGTCCCGAATCTGTGTCTAACCGGCAAGCAAGAGAGCAGGGTGGAATCCGTGTCAATCGAGGCATTCAGCGGGCATTCGGTCACATGCACAAAACAGATCGGATCGTATTGGATCAGAACGGGATCACCCAGTCCATGCAGGTGGTGGAGTCATTCGATGGATGCGTTACGATGCGTTTTTGTTAGTCACCAGTCACGTGGATGGATGGCGAATTCGATGAGTTTGTTTTATTCGGTTAATATTTGATAGTATTTTTGGTTGGTTAATTTCAAGAATCGTTTTTTTCAGACAGGTTTGAGTTGAAAGAAAGAGAAATAAAAGAAGAGAATGTGTGCACAAAATTTAGTTAAGCAATTTCGTAGAACTCTTAATAGCTAGTTGATCGTGATCTGGATTAAAATCGAACAAATGTACTGATTAGTGTGGCGGTGCAGATGTTTGAGTGAGTGTTTTTGGGCTAGTGTACCATCCCTATATTGTATGTATATATCACAAGTGGAGTAAGCAAATTCGATCGATTGAAAGTATGCCAGAACCAGTTGCGAATTTTAAGCTGTAGAAACCAACCACAGTCCCCGCAAATCAGCTGACGAACACAAGAAAGCTTGAGAAGGGACCAGACCACCACCACAACCACCGCATCATGGTAAGGAGCTCGGGAAAACCGAATCATCGCAGTGAAAGGTTAAAAACTAAAATCGCAAAACAGCAAAGTATAGTATATTCAAATATGTACATTAAAATGAAGACAAGAGTACAGAAAATTAAAGTAAATTACTTATCACCACCAAAGATACCAGAACCAAAGTACAATAACAAGTCAAAGCAAAAGATACCACTAGATACCATCCGAAATCAATAGAAAGTAGCAGACAGGTAAATACTTAGTTGGATAGAGAGTAGAGTAGAGTATTGGGATAACAGAGAAAGGTAAAGGTAAAAGGCAGGCAGCTTGATTGTTGCTGCTGTGGAACGCTTCTTACCGCACAGATTCATTAGCGAATTGGACTTTCGGCCCCGGAAATTAAGCGTGCTGCCCTTAGCGACGGAGATACGCGACAGAGTGCGGCCCCTTTCTACGCCGGCTGGCTCTGAAATCAGGTCAAGTCGGGTCACGCAAGACGCGAGCCGAGTGCATCAGTATACATGATTCTTGTCCATTCGAAATTCGTTAACACAAATGAATGGGTGGCACAAAATGAGGTACAAATATCGTAAATCAAACTTATCGCCCAGGACCCCCAAAACCAAAATTCATCATTTCAAATAGCAGCCCCAAAACCAGTTAAATAAAGTTAAAAAAATATGTACTATATATATCCTCAACCGCGTCTCAGGTCCACTCTCCACTTCAGGTGCAATCTTTCTGGCAGTGCATTAGATTAGTTGAGGTTGTATGCAGGTAGCTGTTAGCCATATATCAGTAATTCAACCAAAATAAAAAACTCGTTAGTTAAAAACAAACCATAAAATCTGGAAGCGCTTGAGCGTAACTTTCGTTTCATTTTTAGCGTGTTCGAATGCGAATTTTGTGGAAGTAAAACAAAGAAAACAAAAAAGAGAACTTAGTGGGCGTGTTATCCATCACCAACCTCTGGAAGTTTTGTACGATCCCCGTCGTCCAATCGGAGTTGAACTTGTACTGGGATAATCATCGGGTGACTCTGTTTGAACGAGATTAGTTGTTATGGCTTATCAAATAGGTGTCCAAATACCAAAGTTATTTTTAAGTTAACTTAGAACTACAATCAAGTCGAGGTGCAATTCAAATCGTTAGATTATAAGACCCATCTACCGGAAAAGTACCATAAAATCAACCAACTTAAAGTGTAACTAAGCATGCTTAACTAAGATAAAACTACAAAGGATGAAATAGACAATGCAATGAGCGTAAAATAATAAAAACATAAATTACCTTTTACAGTGAGGGAGTCTTGCGAGCCCCTGTAGTAATCTCTTTTCATTGAATTTGAGCTTAGTTGACCGTAGCCTGTTCAGTTCAAATTCAAAACGAAAACAAAATATCAACAAATTAGCAGTGGTCAAAGGGATAAACCAAATCATTATATAGGTGGGTGTAAAGCAGGTCAATCAAATTAGAAAACACAAAGATAATAGTACTTTCGGCACGCCGAATATCTTATAAACTTGGAATCGACTGTTGTGAGTTGCAAGTTCGGCTTTTTAGCCCCGGTTAGCTGCTCACCGGTTAGATTCGAGCTTGAGCCTTTCTTGCCCCGACTAGAGATGCTCGAAGCCTCGCTGATGTCCACGCTGGCATCGTCCACATGGATCGTCTTGGGCCTGGGACGCGTGGTGCGCTGCTGCCTCAGTCGCGGAGTCGTTGAGGTGGATGAATGGGGTTGCAGTTTCACATGCAAATCGGGCCGATCCAGGGTTTTACCCTATAGGAGAATTCAAACATTGGGTTACATATTTCTATTCCTTATTTCGACGGTCGTCGTACCTCTCGCTCGGCCTCTTCGATGGCTTTCTTGAGTCTGTGCTGTTCCAAAATGGCCGCTCGCCTAGCCATTTGCTCTTCCTTCTTCCTTGAACGCTCCTCCTCCTTCTCGCGCTCTTTTTCCCGCTTCTGGGAAGACTCGATCTCCTTGCGCGCCTTGGCCTCCTCCTGCTGCTGGCGACGTTGCAGGGACAGCAGCATGATCTTCTCCTTGCGCCGCTCCATCTCATCGACAGAGTCCTGGGAAGCAAATAAATAGATACGTTTAATATGGGAAGATCTTGAGACACTTATCTGCGACTAACGTGACTGTTGGATTCCGCGCAGAAAAAATTGAGATAGTTCTTCATTTCAATAATAATAATGGTTTTCTCTAGTTTTTGAATTTCTCTCGCTTTATAACAGGTTTTTCAAATCAATTTTGATTACATTTCCTAACCCAATTTCGTGCACTTACCGGATCCAAGTTGGTGGAATCTGCTCCGATGACCAGTGCCTTGTTTTTGGCCGCCTCTGCGTTGTTGCTGCTCTGCTGGAGTCGCGTGGGCGACATGGGTTGCTGCATTAACTGCTGCGGTGGCTGGTTGGTCAAATCCTCCAAGAGCCGACGCTCGTTGCCAGTTGGCGAAACTGCTCCCGAGGCGGCCAGCTGGCGGAGTTGGATGGGCGGCTCATCGGTGTACTTGTTGTATGTGGCATTCCCGGGGGATTTGACACTGTTGGAGTTGTTTAGGCCATGGATGCTGTGCCTGGTCATCGGCTTGCTGTTCACATCCTCACCACCGAACCCAATGATGTTGTTGTTGTGCAGCTGACTAAGCGATTCACGTTTGAGAGTCGCCTGGTTATCGACGCTGTCCCTGCTTCCCGGCGGAGCCTCCTTTTTGGGCGATCGCTTGGCGCGCAGCGGTGGCTTGGGTCGCTTGGGCTGCTCATCGTCGAAGGAGATGTAAAAGCCCTTCTCAGGCGGCTGGTCCTCGCCGCCGGATGCCGCTGCCATTGCTCGGGGATCCTGGAAGCTGTTGGCTTGGATGGAGGGACGGGAGGGCGAGGGTATGCGGTAGGTGAGATTGCCGCTGGTGATGTTCAGCTTGTTGGAGATCATCTCCCCGCTGTCGTAATCCTCCGAGCTGCTGCCTCGTCCACTGTGCCCCTGCAGCCGCTGTTGCTGCTGAAGTTGCTGTTGGTGCTGCTGCTGCTGCTGGTGGACAAAGTCGGAGATGCGCGTCGACTGCATGGATTCGATGATGTTGCGCTCCAGCTCATCCACATCCTCCTCGTCACCGATGAAGCAAATGCTCTGCGGCGCCATCATGTCCTCGTGTTGCATAGGCATCACCATGGGCATTCCCATTTGCTGCGGCGCCTTGGGCGATCGATTGTCGCGCAAGTTAGTCAGCGATTGCTGGCGCTGCACGCCATTGGATCCGCTCACCTGACGCTGGCCGTGCTGAGGTGAGGCCTGTACCTGAAACAGGTGCTGTAGCTCGCCACCACCTCCGCCTCCGCCGCCACCTCCTCCGTTCTGGTGCAGCACAAAGCTGCCAGGACTGGGAGCCCCTGCACTCGACGGCGGTCTGTTCATCCAGGTCTGTTTCTGCTTCTGGTGCTGCTGTGTCTGCCAGGCATTAACATCCACCAGAGGCGGTTGGATCTGCTGCTGCTGCTCGTAGGCGGCAGCTGCCGCTGAGTGAGCCCAGGTCCTGCGCTGCGGATGAGCCTGAGGCTGTGGCGACGACTCGTGCAGATAGAAGTGGTTGGTGGGCTGTCCGTAATCGTCGTATACCACACTGCTCCGATACTGCGGGGCTCCGCCGTAGGGCGAGTGGTTGCTGTGGTTGTTGTACGCCGCACCGTTGTCACTGTAGATGCTCTGCGGCTGCTGCTGTGGCTGCTGCTGCATGTAGTGGGCGGGCTGCGGCGGCGACATATACTGCCCGTGCTCGTTGACGTACTGCATCGGCTGGGGCATCGCCATCGGCTGTGGCTGCTGATGCTGGTGCTGCTGCTGGTAGGGATCGCGGCTGGGCGGACGGGAGCTGTACGCACTGACTGGAGCATTGTAAGCCTGCGGAAGATGCGGCGATGAACCAAAGCTTTGCTGCATGGGTCTCGGCTGCTGGTAATGGTGATCGGCCAGGTGCTGCTGCGACCCGTAGGTCTGCTGCTGTGGATGCAGTTAGTGAGGATTGCATGTGGGCAGGTGGCGATTTGCAGTTTTCAAGTGTTGCGTGTGTTGCAGGGTTACAAAAATAGAACAAGTAGTTAGTTAATAAACGAGCCTTGAATGATGTTTTCGAATCCTTTCCCAATTCTTAACAAGTAATAAACAATCATTATCGGGATACGCTGGGAGCTTGCGGTTAAGAATGAGGTTAGTGATTACAGCATTGACAATGCTTATAGATTACTTAGAAAGAGCCTTTAATACAAGATTTTCGACCATATTTATTTTAGAAATTATAGAAGTTCAGTTCAGGAATCGCTAAAGATTGAAAGAGAAATATATTTCAGAAATACTCGTATGTGAGATCCTTTTTTTTATCATGATTTTCATTGATACGATTGGTTAAACTTATTTGTATCCTTATTCACTTCAATCAGTAAAGAAACGCGTAGACTGAAGTTTACATATTAGCTGACGTCAGTAGTCAACAATTAAGGACATTTAAATATTAATTAATAATCAAAAACTTGTATAATCGTTTATCAAAATTCCAGGCGGATTTAGAGTGTAATCACTAATCAGTTCTTAAAGAGCCAGCCAGGGACAACACAAAACAATAAGCATTCCACATCCATCATTAATATGCGCGGCTGCTGCTATGAGGTAGAGGCACTTGGTCGGGGATGTGGTGGGCGGATGGATTACCTGGTTCAGCATGTTGGCTATCTGCTGAGCCTGCATCAGCTGCTGGGCCTGCAGGTGCTGAGCCTGCATCTGACTCTGCTGGGTGGCCAGGCGGTGAATATCCTGCTGAATGTCCTGCAGATTCATGTTCATGATGGCGATACTTTGCTGCTCGTTCCACATACGGGCGATTAGGTGGTAGGTTAATTGTTGTTTGGTGGGTTAATGGGCGTGTTTTGTGTTGTATTGTGTAAGTGTTGCGTATGAGTTTGTGTGGATGTTGAAGCAGGCACAGACACAAAATGGGGGTAAAAGAGAGACACAGGCGTTAGACGGTAATTCTCTGGCACTCGGAGGGTTGGTTAGAGGAGGTAAGGGCATTAATAGGTAGCAAAACAGGTCGCACCCACCTGGTACTTGTCCAAGTCAACGGGATCCATGTCGGGCGTGCGCTTCGATTCGTTGCTCATGGTCTCCCACTTCATCACGTCCGGACACGACTCCAGATCCTCCTGCGAATACATCGAGAAAAGTTTCTAGATAAGTTAGCAAGCTCAAAGCTAATGAGTCAAAGCCTACCTTCTCCTGGTGTCGCAGCAAGGCCATCTCGATCTTGCGCTTGTCCTGCTCTATGCGCCTACGCTTCTCCTCCAGCTTCATCCGAATTGTGGACAGCTTGCTGGCATTCTCCAGCGATCGCATGTCGTCGTCTCCCACATCCAACTGCCAGGCAGCGGGACTCGCCGGCATGCTGCTCGTTGAGGATTTGCGCACGGGAGTGCTCTCCGGGTCGTAGCCACTGGTGGAACGGGTGTCGTTGTAGGCATCCGGCGTCATGCCGCTGTTGCTGCTGTAGTCTTTGTCGCTGGAATGTTGCTTGTGCCTTGCCACCGGCAACGGGCTGCCCGTATTCGAGAGATTGTGCGACGAAACCGTGGGCACATTGTCGACACTATCGATAAGGAAGTAAGGGAATCTTTGTTATCAACCACAATTCTTTTCAATTTACAACACAATTTATCGGTAGATGACTCACCTGACCTGCCGGCGCATCGAATACTTTTCCGTTTCACGATCCTGCTTCTCAGAGCCCGAATCCGTGTCGTAGCCCAATTGCAAGGTGCCTCGAGCATCGGCAATCGAAGATCGCACGGCCACAGCGGGTTCAACTGGATATGCACTGCCCACACTGGTGTTGGACAACTTACGTTCCCTCTCGCGTTCGTACCGCCCTAGGGTATTCAGCTGATCCTGGGAGCCGCCAAAGTTCTCGATGGTCAGCTGGGAGTCCTCGCTGGAAGAATTTCTGCGCGATCGACGACCTGAAAGTTCAGAAAAGTGTTATCGAACTGAAACTAAAAGAAAATCACAACACTAATGGATCAGGAGAGAGATCAGCTTTGAAGGATATGTAATAAAGCCAAACTGAACCATAACACAAATTAAATGGCATTCAAGTCAACGCACAAAAATGGACAACTACAACTACATTCGGCTACAACGATTCTGGGTCAACAGTGGCTGTGTTGGCTCATACCTGCAAAGCTTGGCCGGCGGCTCTGTTCCCAGTTACTTGGTCGACCCGCAGCGACAAAATCGCCTGTTCGTTTTGATACGATGGCAAAACAAAAAGAGTTAAATAAAAAAGAAGATAAAATAAATTAACTTAAATAAATAATAAATCAAAATAGGGTACAGACTTGCATGTGGCACAAACGAAAATCATTTTAAAAGTTAAGGGCCAGTTTCTCAATGTCAAGAGCTAGCTTGAATTTATATTGCTTGGAAGGACGAAATAGTTTTCTCAATGGGACTAGAACAAATTTTCTGTTTAACATTTTTCAGTCAGATAAGCACTAGAATGATGTTGAGAAACTGAATGCTTCCGAAATGCAACTAAACTTAACGGCAATAGATAACTTGACAATGAGAAATCGGCGCTAAGCCAAATGGGATTTCCGATATGGCAATTAACAAGTTCCCACACGTTATTCCGCCACATACAAGACGTCAAGTCTAAGAAAGCAAAAATGAACTGCTAGCAAGCTGGGCAAACCTCTCTCGTCCGCCTTCGACTCGACATTGGTCTTTTCTTTAGCCTGGCGCAACCGAGCCGGAACCAAGGGCTCCTGCTGCTGAATTTGGAGCTGCGACTGGGACGGGTGTTGCTGCGGTGCCTGCTGGTGGTATTGCTGCTGTTGCTGCTGCTGGTGTTGCTGATGGAGCTGCTGCTGCTGCTGCGAGTGCATGGAGGCGAGTGTGGTGATGCCACGCGACTTGTGCACCACGAAGGCTGCACGTTGCGGACCGGCGGGATCAGCGGGGAGCAGTTGCAATGGTTGGTGGTTAAGCGGGTGGGTGGTGAAAAGAAAAGTTACAAAATTTAAATTTAATCATAAACCAATAAAATGTTAAGATTTTGTGTCTGTTGTGCATGTCAAAAGCAAACAGAAACGCAGACAAACTAAATGTAAATAAATACGGGTAGACATATAATTAATTAATAATAAACGAAATAAATTACCTTCGGCATGATTATTACCATCGAAATTATTTGACTGAACCGTCTGGTACTCGTTGGGCGGGGTTGATCTGCGATTTAAGCCGCCGCCAAATGAATTCGAGTGCGGAACTAAATACACGAAAATTCCCAAAAAAAAACGGAAAAAAAGAAAACGTAAATGAATAAAATCAATTTGTTCAGCTTGCGAGGTAAATGAACTTGAATATTTCGGTTGGTTATTCATTGACTCGTTGCATCGGAAGCGGGCAAAAGCAAACAACACAATTCGAAAGCAGAATCAAGGTGAATCGCAGTCCGTGGATGGGTTATGGATGTGGCCAAGTGAGCTGAGAAGTCCCAGTCCCCCATGAACTCTGTAATTATCCCCAAGGGAAGTCTGTCAGCCAGGTGACTAACGCACAGCACTTTCACTCTCTGGAACATGGAATTCTGACACACCAGAACCAAGTATTTTGGTATAGCTATAGCACCAAATATTCATGATCGCTATTTACATAGAAATGTTTTCCAGTTCACCCATGATTCCAGGTTTACCCGATTTCTCTGCTTAATGGGTCAAGTCATGTTCAGTCATGGTGCTTAGAGAATTATGATGACAAAATGCAGTCTCTAAAGTACAACAATTTCTACTGATTGATCTGATGAGAATGGTGCACTTATTACAGACATTACAGAGCTTCGGTTTCTGTGCATCGTGTGAGAGACATTACTTAGTACTTAGGCTATATTAAAATGCATATCACATTATTATAAGTCGATCTCTTTGGCTAAACACCAAGGAATAATCAATGAAGCAAACAAACGAACAAACAAACAAACTCAATGTGAGCAGAACAAGCAAAGAAAGAACAAACATATGGAAATGGAAACACATTCATGAATAAACGAAGGAGGAAAAATTGAGATTTGGGATTTTTCGGGGTACATAGAAAATGCTCGGATAGAAAAAGTTTGACTTAAAACCTTGGAACGGTGGTCGATTCTGAGGCGAGCCCACTGGCGGCTGGTCGAGATCGCTGCGCAGATCGGGAATGGGTGTGACGGGCTGTACAGTGAGCCCTCTTCGATGGCAGATCCCGTGCTCATTGGCGCCCAAAGTGCGCCGGGCGATGACATCTGGATATCGTCGTGTCGAGTCGGGATTGGATTGGAGAGCGGATCAATCGAGAGTCACATATCACATTGTACGTAGTGTGTTTTATTTTGGAAAGTGTAAAGATGTGGTTGGTGTGTTTAGTTTGGTTAGAACCCAAATTATTGGTGTATTGTTTGCGGATACGAGTGGCAAAAGGAAGCGTTTGCACATAAACAAAGAAAGAGAATCAAGTACAGGTTTGATTTATTCGATTTTGATTGGATTTCACTACTTTTGTTGGTGGGATCGGGTGAATGCTAAGATGATGAAAGATTATATATGATTCCATGTCAATTTCTCGGTGAACTCGGTGGTTAACAAACGAAAACAACCGCAGGAACTATACAGAAACATAAACAAGATTTAGCTAGATTTCTGTGGTTTCACTGACAGATCTTTTCCTAAAAGGTGCTTTGCGGTTGATCTTAAACTGAGACTTATTTGCGGCCTTATCAACGAAATCTACGAGCTGTGAAGCGCTCTAAATTCCTAGGTACTTAATAAGCTTTCTGTGACTAATTGATGGATGCTTTTGCCCTTTGTTGACTATTGATATAAGTTGATTCACTCACAATTCCAGTTGAGTGCAATTCTAAAAAGGCTTTTATGGATTTCCTCGCACTATGACTAATTTCTTTCTCATTTTCTTTGGTGACCAATTCTTAATTAAATCAAGAGTAAAAATTAAAGCAAATCATAGGAAAAACGAAGACAAAACGAAATGCAAACAAGGATACTTCGGATACAATTGGACAACAATATGCATGCCCCGGACTGATATTCAAACACAGGCAGGCCAATCGTTTGGGGGGTTGAGATCAGGGGACTTGGGGGTAGATGCGATGCGGTGCAGAGTTTTGGGAATGGATACTCGACAAAGAAACGATCCACTTACCCTGACCATCCATGCCGGGGTAGCAAACACACTTGGCTGGGTGTATCTCGAACAGATTGAATAGGTCCGTGAGCAGCAGTACCAGATTCAGTTTCATGGATCTGAAATAAAAAGATATCGTATTAATGGAATACTTGATTTAAGTGGGAGACAAGTGGTAGCTACCCGCGCATATAGGTTACATCCTCGGGCGTCATGTGGAACACGCTATATGGCAGATGCTTCTGCGAGAAATTGCACACAAGCAGGATGTTGTGAATCGAATCCTCGACGGCCGGCAGATAGTTAATACGCACACTCGTCCACGGCACCACCTTTGGACAGTAGTACGAGATGAGCAGTGCCAAGCAGATGCCATCGCACAGATCCTGGAAGTCCCTTACAGGCGGTATGTCCGGCGTCTGCAGACGAGAGCCCTGTGGTTAATTTGTAAATAAGTTAAGATGGGATGGAGACTAAGGGGAGTGGTAACCCACATTATCATCGGGCAGTCCGGCGTCCACCTCCTTGATAATGCGCTTCTTGAGAGCGGCGCAAGCATGTGAAATCCAGCCCAGCAGAGCTTGCTCGTAGGACTGGCCAGGAGGCGCCTGATAGTTGTTGCCAGATATTCTGAAGGAGTTACGATGTCAATGATTACTTTATGTAGCTAATAATATCAGTCAATTGAGTCACCTTCGTATGGCCGCCATGACGCGGTCACCCGACGATATTTCCTTCGCATACAAAACCATCAGCGATTCTATCACAGACATGTGGGCGTTCTGAAAGCGATAAAAGCGAATCAATAAATTGGGGAGAGCCCACAAAGATCGACTTTTATACTCACAATTCGCAGCGGATTCGTTTGAATTAATACCGTTTCGGTAATGGGCATGTCCGAGGATTCCGCCACGGGAACTCCCTTGCGCGCTAGCGTCTGTATTATTGACCAGTGGTTCATGCTTTGGTAGTTGGGATCTGAGTACAGATTGGACAGCGTCTGGCAGTAGAGCGTGGCGTTGCCCAGCTCCACGATGATCTGCGGCTTGAGGCGCTCCTGGTTCTCATGGTCGCGGTAGAAGGGCTCCTTCAGGTTGTCCGGCACGCGATTGTTGAAGGCCTTCGAGAGCAGCCACTTGACGGAAGCACGTTGACGAGCCTGCAATGGCGCAATGATGGGAAACAGAGTTAGCGATAATGTGAGAACATTCTGTATAGCAAGTGGCACCCATTCCCATTCCAATTCCAATTCCAATTCAAGTTCCCACTCCTATTCCGAACCCAAGGCCAAGTTGAGCCTGCGTAATCAATGCTCTACAACTGCATCCTCTGCGGATTGAATGACGGGCCTTTTCTTGGCAATTAACTAGTGCACTCTTAAGTGCTTTTGTATCTGTAGCCCCGATCCCCATCCTCATACCCATCCCCTTAGTTGCCTGCTGCATCTGGTAACCAAGTGAAGCCATGCGTACAATCTTCAATATGAGTTCGATAAACTCGCTCGTGTTTGGCTTGGCGTGCGCCGCCAGCCGCCTTCCATTGTTCGCCCCAACCCTCCCTCGCCAACTCTTTTTGATTTTGGGGCCATGAAGGGAGTGGCCGGGAAGTGAAGGGGCAGCTGGTTGTCCGATGGACGATGGTCACTCAGCATGAAAGACTCTACTCCACTCGCGGGCACACAGCCTGCCTTTTTTCCTGCTCCGTTTTTAGAATCATCTCGAGTGCTGCCATGTTTCGCCAGCCAACCCATTTCTTGTTGCTGCACTCATAATCACAATTCCGCTCTATTCCGAATGGCCTCTTCTTGGTCTAATTGAAACTGGGGGAAAAGCAATCAAAATAAATTCTCAAGAGGGATACTGTCGCCGTTGGAGATGCGGAAATTGGTTTTATCGGTCGAATCCAATACAAAATATGTTCCTATTAGTGGTATCTCAACGCGAAAACTTAGAAAACATGTGTTTCTATCTGATAAGGAAGGTGTGGAGAAACAGAGGGTCCCCTACTTGCTGTCTATCTTTTGGAATCCCCTTTAAATGTTAGTGGGATTATAATAATGAAGAAAGTAAACATAAAACAGCCGACACCGGTCAACAGAAGAAGATAAGGTAGAAACAGAGAGAGTACCTATACATAGCCGAACCTCGTAAAAACAATCCATTAATTCTCATATTGCTTTCGGCATGCTTGTCGTTTGGGCTGCAAGACTTCTGTGGTGTCTTTATTATTTGCTTTCATTCCATAAATTTCAAACGGGTTTCTTACAAAATCGTTGCATGAAGTCATCAATAACTATGTCAGAGAATCTCATCGAAGTGGTTCAATTCTTTTGTATACCTGTGTACCCATAGAGCGCTGATCTTGGGCGTTGTTTGGAATTAAAGCTTATTGCAAAATGCCAGAAATAATTTTAGCGCAAAACTGCATCGCCGGGTAACAATATTGGCGTAGGTCGTAGACCGAGCAACTATGCGAATTGGTCAACAGGTGGAGGGAAAACCTGTTTGTTTGCCCAGCGAAGCGCTTTCCACCAAAAGCACAAGAAACTGTCCGCAGCATAATTTGAATGGCCAACGAAACGGAAAAACGGAAAATCTCTGACTGCACTTTGCATTGACTCGCGGGGAAAAATGTCTGAAACTCAAATTTCAAAAGACCGTGTAAACAATTCGAAGAAATACAATAAATGAGGGCTGGTTTAGACGCCCACTATGAATGAGCGCACGATGGATGGATGGATGGCATATTTTTCCTCGAGCATATATATACAGAAAACAAAAACATGACCTGATTATAAATGGTGTAAAATACAAATGACAACTGTGAAAATAACGTCTAAAACGGGGGATTTAAATTCCTGATTAATTATATGAGATTCTCAGTCCTTACTATTAAAAATACTTGCTTGTTATCATATATCAAAGATAATATAAATAAATAATAATTGAAAACCTTTCCACTCTAAAATATTCATATTAACTCGTGTCTCCCTAAACCCATTCTGGTATGAAGAAATTGAACTAAATTTATAGTTTAATGATGAATTAATATGAAGAATAATGTGATGCTGACTTCTGGGGATCTTTTTGCTCTGTGCACACACATCGCCTGCATGTGTTTGTAATAAAGTTTCAGTTGCTGGCGGTTTTTCAAATGTCACAAATTGAAATTGGCGCGGCTTTATGATTTCATTATCTATCGTTTGTTTTTGGCATTCCATTCCAGAGAACGGGCGGCGATACGACAGCTGGGGTAGAGCTAAGGCTAAAGCTAAATGTATAAATACAACAGAGAGTGCCGACGAAGGAAAGCGGCAAGAAGAGAGCGTACCGCTTGAGTCAGCAAGTTGATGTTTGGATGTTTGAATGGGTTTAGCTTTGAGTTATGGTCTATAGTCTGTTTGCTGTCCAAGAATGACTTCGAGCACAACTTTCTAGGGAGTTGTCTGGGGGAAAAGTCGGAGTGGAGTGTACACGCAAGGCCCCAAACCGCGGAGCACAGTGTTCACGGCGTTTCTCCCTTTTCGCCTGGCTTTCGCATGCGTAAGCCGTTTTTTTTTGCTTCTCTATTTTTCATATTTAGCGATTAGGTCATGCAACAGCAGCTGGCTGAGAGTGAGAAAAACGATAACAAATGCCCAATCGAAGGGTTTTCCGGCTGTATATTGCCGTTTTATGAATGGAAGTTGCAGGTATTATTTTCCGATCAGCTCAAGCACACCCCACACACAACTACTACCGGTTGTAGTGGTTTGCATTGGCCATCGAAACTAAAACCAGTCGAATGAGAATGAATATGAATGGTAAGTAGGTGTCTGTCGGTCGCATACTAAGCGTTACGTTTTTGAGCAGAGCGGCATTACCTCAGCGCACCATTTTGGCCAAGAGAGTAGGTGTTAGCCTCAGTTGGAATGTTAATGAGTGTTGCTTTCTGGTCTCAAATATAGGAGCCCAGAGGGGAGACCCTCTTCTCACCTGTCGTATTTCCTGTGTTTCGACATCCATGCTGACGGATTTTCCTGCGACGGACTCCGGCTCTCCGACGCCCGCCACTTCACTTTCCGCACTTTTTGCACTTTTCGCACTCTTTGTTTTCCCACAAAACACACCGCTTTTCCTTTTACCGTGTGTCTCTACCGAGTGCGTGTGTGTGTGTGTGTGCGAGTGGAGTTTTCTTCACTTTAGGGGGTTTTCACTTGGAGCCTAGACACGGGGAAAAAGAAAACACGATTGGCACTTTGGCAAACAACTTGGAAATCGAAAAAAACAGAACTAATTGCGCACACGCATTGGGCAGTGATTGTTTTCGAGGATGGGGCGGGGCGGGGCAAAAGGGGGGCTTAAGGGGGGTTAAAGAAAATGTGAATCATTCACAGAGGGCAACGGGCGACGGTAGGCGGGGGGCGGGGCTGCAGTGCGACAATAACAGAGAACACTTTACAGTTGTCTGTTCGCTTTTCTCGAGATGCTGCTGATGCTGCATCAGCTGTTGCAATTTGTTGGCCTGGCCCAGCCATTTACGCACTTTTCACCTCGCCACAGTCTTCAATCGCCCATACATGGCATAATTAATGTTTTCCCGATCCGTTTTGAGCCAGCAAGTTGCCGATTTTCTTTGGGGAACCCGTCGACTTTAGAAAAATGAAAACATTTTCCTTCGCTTCGCACTGTTGTTGTCCGCCGCCCGCTGTTTGCCTCTCTCTCGCTCTCGCTGCGCTGTCAATGCTGCTGCGCGGCACTGTTAGTGTCGAGCTGCTCGCACCCACGGCGAAGGAGTGTTGACCGAAAAAGCTGTGTATGTGCGCGCGTGTGTGTGTGAGAGTGAGTGTGGGGCCTACGCACATTTGGGATGTTTTTCGCACTGATTTGCCGCACCGACGACTTTCGCATGCATTTCACACGGCCCGCGCTCGTCCCCGACGCATTTTTCAACAGTTCTAATACTACAAATTGGCCTTAAATTGAGGAAATCACGGACACCGATCTGCTCTAAAATCTTACAAATTTTCATTTGACTGTGTGACCGCGCCGATGCAGACCAAAAATACTATCCGGCCTAAAAAATACCACTTGAGTTTCAAAAAATACCACTTTAATACCATTTAATTATTAAATGCAGGGTATTCCGAAACTTTTGAACTGTGAAATTTTAACCAACTGTTTGTCGAAAGTTACAAATACAAATTAAATTTGCATTATAATTTGGAATTTAAAAAACCTGTGAACTGTTAAGCAGTTAAAAATCGGGTTGACAAGTAAAACTGCACCAGTTTTTGTTAGCAATTAAATCACAGCTGTTTGAAAACCAAATGAAAAAATTCCAGAAATTGAATTAAGTTAGTCGCTGTCTTTAACTACTAAAATTTTGTCTTGAATTTTCAACAATTTAAGCCATCAACTTTAATTCAACAATTTGAAAATCAATAAACACAGTTCCAGAAATTTTATTGAATTGAAATTGAATTTCGGACGCTGTCACTATGTCAAAAAAATTCAAGCCGGAACAATGTCGGCTTGTTCGACTTTATTGCAACAACTAAACAGTACCGGATATACTCCAAATATCTACTATATTAAAGATTTTGTTTAGGTGGATCACATTCACCAGTCTGGCAGCGCTGCCAAGTAACATCCAAAGAGGAAGCTTTAAATTTGCAAATAGATGTTTATTGGAAAGATCATTATTATAATCGTAACAACACTCGTGTTTAAAAATTGAGACACTGACAGAATAAAATATTTGCGTGAATATACAAATACAATGCTAATAGCTTTAATACATTCAAAAATTAACAGATATACGAAATAATTATCACAATCTGGTCGCCGCGTTGCCAACTCAGATGCCAGTTGGTCATTCACACAAAACTACTTTCAATGTGTGCAAACATCGATGTTTTTTCAAAAAACATCGATGAAACATCGATGGATTCCATAATTGTATTATAAAATATAATTTAAAAAATATTGATGGAATTTGTATTAAAACTAAAAAAACAAGTAATTTATTCAAGTAACATGCTAAGAAATAAAAATAAAAAATAAAAACAAAAACAAAAGTTCAGTCCATTGAGATCATCTTATATTCTAAAGGGATTACTTTGTAAAGCTATGATAATTCTTGTTAACAAACATAAGTTGGTCAACGATAACGGACTTCAACCGGGTACGGCGATCTGAAATGATTTGGCCCGCCTTGCTAAAGGCTCTTTTTGACTCGCATGACGTGGCTGGAATACATAAAAATTAATTAAACATTATTATTAAGAAAAAAGGAAAAATGTAACAAATTACAAACCCTTAGCGTGCTTTTGTCCTTCTTGAACCAATATAATGATATACACCTATTAAAATGGGAGAACATTGACGATACAATAAAGTTTTGGGCGGAAGTAAATCTTTTCAAGGACTCTGGGGGCAACGAACGATTTTCTGAATTATCTTTGTTTGCGATTCAGATGTTGTCCTTGCCATGGTCGAACGCTGAAGTAGAACATGCGTTTAGCCAAGTAAACATTGTGAAATCAAAACTGAGAAATAGAATGGATGTTACCACTCTTAACTCAATATTGTGCATAAGGTAAGCGCCAATTTGTTATAAACTTAATTACAAAACGCAAAAACTTATTTAATTACAGATATGGGTTGCGACGGCACAAAAAATGTTGCGTAGACTACAAAGTCCCCTTAGAATTTAAGAAGCTAATAGGATATAAAGGATATAAAGGATGACACGGTTGATGTTGAAGATGACATATTAAATATATTATAATTAAATAATTATTAAGCTCAAATTCTCCTTAATACTAATAAAACATTATTTTGTACTCATTTAAAAGAAAGCTAAACGATAAACCTGGTGATTTTTTGTTCAGTTTTTTTTTTCGAAAAATACAGATACTTATTTTTTCTTTAATAGCAAAGATTGTTTGAAAATCTTTGCGCTTTTTTTCAGCTTTATTGGGCAAAAAAACCGGTTTTTTTTCCTTTTCCCGCTGAAAACGGCTTTTTTTCTCAGCAAATGTTGGCAACACTGCACCATTCACACAAAACTACTTTCAATTGCTTTGCTGTGTGAATGCGGCATCTCACTCTACCTTTTTCACTTTGTGCGTGTGTGTTTGATGACGGAAAATTGCGAATAGATCGCTGAAAATGGCCAAAAAGAAAAGCGAGGAGCACTCCGGTGCGGATGCGAACGACAGCGACTACAACGAGGAGCCGAACTTCGAGGATCCGCCCAACTTTGTGGACAATATCAGCGATGAAGGTGAATTTCCCCGACTGCCAGCGCAGCACCAGCACACGCGGCGATCTAACCTCAATTTAAATCCGTGTGCGGTGTGCGAAAGTTTGCATATTTAATTAAATATACATTTGCGATGTTGTTTCAGACCTGCTCGGCGACATGCTTGCCCAGCGCCCCTCGGAGGCGGATGGCGTCGAGAGCGTGGTGGTGGTGGACAATATCCCCAAGGTGGAGCCGGTGCGCTTGGAGAAGCTCAAGTCGGTGATCAACAAGCTCTTCTCGCACTGCGGCGACATCGTCAACGTGGTCTATCCCGTGGACGAGGAGGGCAAGACCAAGGGCTACGCTTTCATGGAGTACAAGCAGGCCAGCCAGGCAGAGGAGGCCGTCAAGAAGTTGAACAACCATCGTCTGGACAAGAACCACACCTTTGCCGTTAATCTCTTCACCGATTTCCAGAAGTACGCTTGAATTTAAGGACTATAATTAAAGGCAATTGCTAAAATCCCCATCTTTCTAGGTACGAGAACATCCCGGAGAAGTGGGAGCCTCCAACCGTGCAGACCTTCAAGGTACAGAGCGATTTGTACAACTTCATCAACGACCCGGATGCCTATGACCAGTACTGCGTGGCTGCGGAAACCGCGCCCAACTGCGTGCAGGTTGGCTTCTGGCAGAACGTCCTTCCCGAACCCTTCGAGCTGGAGACCCGCGAACGCTTCACCGACACCTTCGTCAAGTGGTCGCCCCTGGGCACGTATGTGGTCACTTTCCACAAGCCCGGCGTCGCCATCTGGGGCGGCAGTAGTTTCCAGAAGATCCAGAAGTTCCCCCATCCCGGCACCCAGTTCGTGGAGTTTTCGCCCTGCGAAAATTATCTCGTCACTTACGGACCAACGCCCACGGGACAGAAGATTATAATCTGGGACATCCGCACCGGAGCCGAGAAGCGTTCGTTTGTGGCCGATGGCATGTCGGTGCTTTCCATGTTCCGCTGGTCTCACGACGACAAGTTTGTGGCCCGTATGGGCGAGAACTCGATCCACATTTACGAGACGCCCTCTTTCTATCTGCTGGACCTGAAGTCCATCAAGATTCCCGGCATTCGGGGCTTCTCGTGGTCGCCCACGGACAATGTGATCGCCTACTGGGTGGAGGAGCAGAACCAAATACCCGCCCGCGTCACTTTGATGGAGATCCCCAAGAAACGCGAGACCCGCAACAAGAACCTTTTCCATGTGGCCGACTGCAAACTGCACTGGCAAAAGTCCGGCGACTACCTGTGCGTCAAGGTGGATCGCTACTCCAAGTTGAAGAAGGACAAGAAGGACTTGGACGTCAAGTTCCTGGGCATGTTCTACAACTTTGAAATCTTCCACATGCGCGAGAAGGAGATTCCCGTGGACTCTGTGGAGATTCGCGAGCTGATTCTGGCCTTCGCCTGGGAGCCCATTGGCAACAAGTTCTCAATCATCCACGGCGAACCCAACTCCTCCAACGTGAGCTTCTACGAGGTGAACAAGGGCGTGAAGCCAAGTTTGGTGAAGCGCCTCGAAAAGAAGTCGTGCACCCATCTGTTCTGGTCGCCACGCGGCCAATTCATCGTGATGGCCAACCTCACCATGGGAACCTTTGAGTTTGTGGACTCCACAAACGACTACATCATCAGCGCGTCTCCGGATCACTTCCGCGCCTCCGAGGTTGAATGGGATCCCACTGGACGCTACGTTGTGACTGGAGTCTCCTCCTGGAAAGTAAAGGAGGACACCGGCTTTAACATGTACACGTTCCAGGGTCGCATCATCAAGCGCACCATTCTCAAGAACTTCGTGCAGTTCTTGTGGCGCCCGCGTCCTCCCACCCTGCTCAGCGAGGAGAAGCAGAAGGAGATCAAGAAGAACCTGAAGAAGTACTACGCCGCCTTCGAGCAGAAGGATCGCCTGCGTCTTACCCGCGCCTCCAAGGAGCTGCTCGAGAAACGCTCCCAGCTGCGCGAGACCTTCATGGAGTACCGCAACAAGCGCATCGCCGAGTGGGTGGATCAGAAGAGTCGTCGCGTCATGCTGCGTGGACGTAAGTATTTTGTAGAATATATATTTCCGCGTACCTTATACTTGGCATAGATTTTCATTAAGAGGGATTCTTATAGAACCGATATATCAAACAGCTTAACTAATATTTTACATAATTTCAAAGTCCTTTCCCGACATTGGTCGCCATTCAAGATCGATATCAGACACTTCATAGAGGACGGGGTTGATAGAAATGTATACATTATATTATTGAAACGAATTTTCTTTTTTCAACAGATGTGGATACAGACAACTTGGAAACTGATGAAGTGGATGAAGAGATTGTTGAATTTTTAGTCAAGGAAGAAGTCACCCTGCTGGAGTAGACGACCCCCTCCACGCTACACATAACGCTGTCGTCCCCTGCCTACTTCGAAGCGATTCTGTCGCCTCACATTTCGTGTCCGGGACGCGTCTACGTCCTGGTTGATGCCAGGACACTAATCCATTATTCAAACCGGTAGCACGCGTCTGCTTGCAAACAACTCTAAGCGGAACCTTTGCCTATACATACAAAATACGAATTATAAGCCACAAAGTAAACTTCAACAAAATCAGCACTTGCTAAAACAACATAAACACCTAATTAAATGACCTTTATTAAGCACACCCCTTCATCCAGTATGCCTAACAGTAGATTTGCGATGTATTTGTATGTAAACAGCAAAAAGAAAACGAAAACAAAATATGTTCG